ATATGGGGAATAAAGTGGGGAATATGGGAAAATACAGGGGGGTGCAGGGGAAATACAGGGACGACCAGAAAATATGTGACTTCAAAGGGACTGTAAGTATAATTTCAAGTAGTCAAATTTATGCAAAGATGACAATGTCCGATTACAACGATACCTTGGTAACCTGACAAAAAATGTGGAGGATGTTGTTTTTTTACTAGTGTTTGATTCTGAACATTTTTATATGTTTTCCTTCAGTAGAAATGCCCAAGGGTCACATGAAATTAAGAACGCTTACAGTCCCTTTAATAACAATATTTTGCAGGGAATTGATTACACACCTGATACTTTAATTTTCTAATCTCTATCTTTGCAACCATTGATAGTTTAAACTAAAACCAAACTATACTAAATCAAATTGTAAGAAATGGAGGAATTATAGAACTTTAAGCGAGTAACCAGTTTACCCTTTGAAATATATAAATAAAATAAACAGGTTCGTCAAACTATGAACACTATGCAAAGTTAAGTACAACCTTGTAGAAGTTAACAAATATATTAGGGACGGGTTGCATGAACTCGAAAAGGGCAAAAGGGGAGTTTTATGTCCTTCTTAATTGATCAGGACTGGTTTTGGTGAATTGCTTTAAACCAACGTAAAAAAAAATATAGTTTATTTGTCTTTCTTCATAAGCCAGAAGTTTGAGAGGTTTACCCCTTAATAATTTAAACGATATTACATCCGTCGAATAAAAAAAAATTAAGCGTTTCCGCCAACATAATTGAAATTTTCCTAGAATTAAATTTGTTAATAGGATTATTATAATTTTGTAAATATTATCTGCGAAACGTCAGCTGCGTGGTTCATGCTAGGCAAGATTATTTCCAACTGTTTTCAAGGATATTAAATACAGATGAATTTTCTTCAAGGTTATTTCAAGTGGCCCTCCAATGCTAGATGGGAATGTCCGATTCACAAAGCTTTGTCTGACCAGGCATGATTTATGATATTCATGATTTTCTTTTCAAAAACTGGCAGCTGTGCATTTTTTTCTTCGGAAACAAATGGAGAAATTGTCAAATTTTCAAACCTAAAAATCGGCGTCATCTTCCGCACTATTTGATCAGATAAAGGTTTAAGGAGAACCGTTTTTAAATACAGTTCCCTTAAATTTTCGACGACAGTCCCTTTAAAGGGATTGATCCCGTATTTTCAGACAACCTCAAAAATGTTCCTTTGGGAAAGACTTTGACCTCATTTAAAAATCAGAACAATATATCATAGTAATAAGCGTTATATTTATATAGCCCCCCCCCCTCCCCTTTCCTTCCCTTTTTATGTCCTCACCCCTCCCCCTTATCCATCTTCCTTTCCCTCATGATTTTTTTGTTTTCAGAAATATCCTAAATATCATTCAAATTAATTATTAACACAACTAACAAAATTTTATATTTTCAATGATAAAAATTAAATATTTTAGGTGACCTGGTGGAACGGAACTAAAAAAGTAAGAATTAAACATTTATGAATAAAATTGTAAAAAAATGATTCCTAAATTATTTGGACATTATTCAATCGTTTCACTATCACGAGATCAATCTGTCTATTTTCATGTTGGAATATATTTCTCAAGTTGATTTAACATTTTTAATATTCTTTATTTAATCAAAGCTGAAGATATTACTCAACTGGAAATAGAATAAAAGTACCAGAATTTTTTCCAATCAAAATACCAGTGGACCTCCTCCCCCCCCCTCTCTCCCCATTTCATTCCATCGAAGACCTAATTTGTTCACTTCTACTCTCCTCATATCAACTAGTGTTGTTGATAAATTAGAATATAACCAAATAAGATGAAGTTCAAGCTAAAATTACTCGTTTTCATACAAAAATTCTGAAAATTCTGCAATCCCCCCCCGCATTCACTACGTTCTACTCGGTGATCCTGGGCCCGTACTACAACACATATCTTTGCATCCTGGTTACGGGCCTGCTCCAGTTATCAAATGTGTAATATCTATAATTATAAAGTTGTAATATTTGTTTGTTTGTTCGTTTGTTTGCTTGTTCGATCATAACTCAGGAACCCTTCAATAATTTGCCTCAAATTTTTATTCGGGAACTCGGGAGATCTACGGGAATGTTCTTAACTGGGTTTTGAGATATAAACTGAGTGGTTTCACTGTTAACGGGAAAAAAGCTAAAATCGTAAATTACGAAAAAGGACGGGTAAACGGTGGGACTAACAATGACTCCCCCCCTGAGCTTGACAATCATCCTTGACAAAAATCCTTTTGTGTAAAATCGGTCTGTGTACTGCACTGCAGAGTAACAATAGCTTAACAATCTAGTTATCAAATAAAAATGGGTCTGTTAACATTTCACAGTTTCTGTTTTTCATCCTCATTTAAACTTTTTAAAATCATTACTTGAGTCGAATAATTGTCTTCCTGGTCCATAGTTTCCCAAGCTGTACACTGATATATTTAGCTAGAGTTGTCTTCCTGGTCCATAGTTTCCCAAGCTGTACACTGATATATTTAGCTAGAGTTGTCTTCCTGGTCCATAGTTTCCCAAGCTGTACACTGATATATTTAGCTAGAGTTGTCTTCCTGGTCCATAGTTTCCCAAGCTGTACACTGATATATTTAGCTAGAGTTGTCTTCCTGGTCCATAGTTTCCCAAGCTGTACACTGATATATTTAGCTAGAGTTGTCTTCCTGGTCCATAGTTTCCCAAGCTGTACACTGATATATTTAGCTAGAGTCTTGGGATTGGAGAGTGGAGCATGAAAACGGGACAGGGAACGCCAAGGAAAATAATCACTATTTTCTTCAATTAATAAATTATTTTTAATATTAAAGGAACTGGAAGCGTAATTTCAGGTGACCTTCCATTTATAGAGAGGCATGTCAGATTCACAATGGTACCCTTTGTCCGTAAAACGATGAGGTAGATACCCTCATTTGTATAGCCGAAGATTGAATGCCGGAAGAAGAGACTCGAGGTTACAGTCTACACTGTACACTCCGAGCTAGTGTTTCTTGGCACTTAATTTTCCGCCATATCTATTAATAAACCTTTGATCAGACATAAGTTTAAAGGGTATCGTTGTAAATCGGACAGACCACTCTACAAATAGAAGGCTACTGTAAAATTTGCTTACAGAAAATTAAGTATGATATACTGCAGATAACCGCATATCTTTGTTTACAAACTAAGTGTACTGCAGGTTCTGATGTACCACCAAATTTTGTTTATATTTATCCCTAAAATTGCAGTTCACTTTTTATCTCTTGGTTAAATATTTTACTACTTTTTGAATTTTAAAGAAAGTGTTTTACTGTACATAGAGCGAGATAAATCTTGTACTGTCACGGTATGATCTAGGAGGTACATTACACTGTAGAGTCAACAGTACAGCAGTACAGGTAGATATGATAATTATAATATTAAAATTAATATAATAATAACAATTACAATAATAACAATAACAATAATGATAATGATAATGATAATACTGCTACCAGGTCCCTATCCTGGCCTCTGTACAGCTAAATGTCGAAATTCCTCCTCTTGATCTTGTACTGCAGCCTGTACATCAACATGTAGATGAAGGAGGAAGGATTACTCTTACATGTACAGCAGTACAGGTTTGTATTCAAGATAAATGCCTTTTCCTTAGAGTTAACAATTTTGGGCTTTATTACACATTCAGAATTATATTAGACATGTGCATCGTATTAGGGGTCGTTCTTAAATAATAAAGGATTTAAGGGTCGTTCTTAAATATTCAAGGATTTTTTTCTGAAAAAAAAATCTGTGTAATTTTTATATTCCTAACTTTTACGTTGTTACGTAAGTTTGTTATTTAATTATTCTAAATTTTTTACTGTAGCATACAATAAAAGTCAAAACAAAAATTTTAATCAGTGAATTGATACGGTTAGCTATTAACAAAAACCTTAACAATACCTTTAGAAATATGTGTGAGAAAGCGTGAGGGGTTTGAGTGAGTGAGTGAGTGAGTGAGGGAGTGAGAGTGAGAGTGTGTGAGTGTGTGTGTGTGTGAGTTCTAATTACCATGTTTTCATCCCTCCTTGTGTCTTCCAATTACTGATAGTTGGCAAGGTATCTAGGTATCTATACTGAGCAACGGATTATTATCATTTCTTTATAGAAACATCTTCTAGCGACACAGGATTAAAGGGAGGGAGGATAGGGGGCAGAATACGGATAGAGAGGGTACAATGCAGGAGATAGGGGGCTCAAGGGGAAAAATTAGGGGAGACAAAGGGACGGAGATATGGGACAAAGGGGGAGACAGGTGACGTAAGGGGAAGATAGGGCACTCAAGGGGGACATGGGACATAAGGGAAAGATAGGCGACACAAGATTGAGACAGGGGACACAAGGGGGTAGATAGGGGACTCAGGGGGCAGATAAGGGGACACAGGGGGAGAAAGGAGACTTGGAGATAGTGGGTACAACACATAAAGGGACACAAGGGGAGGAGATAAAAAAGATAAAGATATGGGACTCTTACTTTAAATTCATTTATTTTCTTCTAGAGGGAAAGGGGGGAGGGTCATGTACTTCTTTAAAGCATGAAGATTGTGTACAAATAAGAATTATTGGTTTTTAAATCTATATTTACTGATATTGCAGTATTGAAGCTTGATCTCAATGCAGCTCTTTATAGATAAAAGGAAATCTGTAAATATGATCAAAATCTAAAGATTGGTTCAAAGCAAGGAAAAATAAAATAAAAAAATAAAACCAATTAAAAAAATAGATTTCAAAAAAACAAAAATAAAACCTTTTTTTGGAATGTTACAGAAAATATATTGAAATTTTTCAAGAACCTTTAGATTCCTTCGAGGGCTTTTTGATAAACACAATGCTTAATGTTGGACCCTCTGTATAATTTCTCTAAAGTGTATTATTGATAAACACATTGCTTGATGTTAGACCCTCTGTATAATTTCTCTAAAGTGTATTATTGATAAACACATTGCTTAATGTTGGACCCTCTGTATAATTTCTCTAAAGTGTATTATTGATAAGCACATTGCTTAATGTTGGACCCTCTGTATAATTTCTCTAAGTGTATTATTGATAAACACATTGCCTGATGTTGGACCCTCTGTATAATTTCTCTAAAGTGTATTCTTGATAAACACAATGCTTAATGTTGGACCCTCGTATAATTTCTCTAAAGTGTATCGTAACATATTTACAAGCTCCCTCTAAAGCCTATCTACTATTGTAATTAATTGCCCTACTCCATAAACTGCTCTGAGACCCGTATCTATCCAGGTACAACTCAGTCTCACTTGATTATCAATATCAAAACCTGGACACGACCCTGGGAACTATCAATGCCAAACCAATGGGCACGACCTCGTCAGCTATCGATGTCAACTACGACACTAGCTTTAATACTATTAATGCCAAACCAATGGGCACAATCTCTTCAGCTATCAATCTCAACCAGAACAGTAGCTTGTAAACTATCAATGCCAAACCAATGGGCACGATCTCTTCAGCTATTGATGTCAGCACGGACACTAGCTTGTAACTATCAATGCCAAACCAATGGGCATGATCTGGTCAGCTATCAATGTCAGCATGGACACAAGCACTTAATCGATCAATGCCAAACCAGTGGGCACGATCAGCTATTAATGTCTACACAGACACAAGCACTTAATTGAACTATGATTTTTGAAACAAGGAACAATTACTCTCTCGCAGTAAACAGTGCGGCGTCTCTATATCAACTAACTATATTTGGATTCTACATTAAAGATTAAGTATTAAGAGACGTAATATTATGCGTAATGTTTTGCGTCGTTATATATAATACAGTTAAGCTAATCTCAATATGGATTTTAAAGAGTTTTATAAATAGGTATATGGATCGGGTTAATCGCAATACATGATTTGTGTATTTACTAATGAGCGCATTTAGATCCGTGGACAATGTACAACATAATTTATCTAAATTTCTATATTTCTATAACTGTATTTATTACACTAATGTATAGTTTATCCTATAAATACGTAGATAATAAAAATACCAGAAAAAGGCAAGTACAGGTATGTTAATTAATTGTAATTTACAATGGTATCCTTGAAACCTTGATATTACCTCGTCGATGAACTATCATAAAAGATGTGTTATTTACTCCATCATGAAGCCGAAATTCACAATTCAATTTTTTTAGAAATCATAATTAAAATGATAAATTTTCACTGAGAAGAGGGTGAATATTATCACATACATATCTAGCACTTTTTAGAATTATGGTTACCTTGACTCGGACATTCCATAAATACCGTGAGTATTCCCTTTAATTCTCGTGTAGCTTCATAAATCATAATAATAATAATAAAAAAACAAAAGCATTTATAGATTGTAAAGGTTTACAAAGCATTGAAAAGTTTTAACAATACAATTTGCACTGTCAAAACAGCACAAATAATAAGCAGGTAAAAAGTAATTCACATTTAAAAAAGAGAATTAGAATTAAGATAACATCCAAAAGCTTAAAAATGCTAAAATTGTTGCGTTTAAGGGCTTTTACAGTTTAACTATGTCAGCAAGATTAAAGAGAAAAGACAAATCTGCTGGGAGGAGGAGTGGGGGGGGATTATTGCTTATGAACGGAGGAGGGGGGGGAATATTACTCATGAATGGAGGGGGAAATATGAAGATATCAGATCAAATGCTTTATTGAGATTCTGATAGAAACTAAAACTTATGGAGAAAGAGGGGGGTATAAGTGAATGGAAATACGGAATGTGGAGGGGGGGGGGGGGTAAAAGGAGGGTTGAAAATAGGCTTTTCGTAATGGGGAGAATTGGGGGAAAGGGAATAGAGGAGGGATGAGGAAAAGCGAGGGGGTAAATATTAAGGGAAATAAAAGGTTCGTAAGTATAGAGAAAAATATGATAGAAGAAGGGTATACTCAAAAATTAAAAGTTCAAATTTAAAAAAATCAATTTCTAAAAATGAAACCTTTGCAAAAATACTAGACCTGAATGTTGTGTAAAATATGACTTGCACTTTGGATATACATTGCAATTTCATATTCTTTTTTGTTTGTCTTTCTGCAGACTTTTGCATGAAAAATTCAAAAAAGTTGATGAAAAAGCCATAGAATAATAAGTGTTACAAAAAGGGAAAATTTTATGAAATCGGAAAAGGCTTCCAAAAAAATGAACAAAAATATTGTGCTTTCAGGGGACTGTTCATAAATATAATATAATAAACTAGTGAGGTTTCTTTATTTTAGAAAAGAGATCAGAAAAAGTAAAAAAAAGGTAAAAAATGAAATATAAAAAATAAAAAATGGTCCTGCTTTTGATCGATGAGTACGTAGAAAAGAAACATTGAATAAATAATCTAAAGTTTAAAACATTTTTAATACATTAAAATCATGACATTTTCGCCATTTCCCCTTTTCTCATTGCTCTTCTTCAATCCTTATCCTTTAAAGGAGATTATAGCTTAGGGACCCCCTCTAGATGCANTTTAGGACGACCTGCTCTCTATGTATTGTGGAACTCTGTAATCATGAATATTTCCCTTTATTTATGTTTAGGACGACCTGCTCTCTATGTATTGTGGAACTCTGTAATCATGTATATTCTCTTTATTTATGTTTAGGGACGACCTGCTCCCTATTTATATTGGACTCTGTTATCATGAATATTTTCCTTTTTTATGTTAAGGGACGACCTGCTGCCTATGTATACTGGAACTCTGTAATCATGTATATTCCCTTTATTTGTATTTAGAGATGACCTATGTATGTCGGAATTCTATAATCATGTATATTCCCGTTATCTATGTTTAAGGACGACCTGCCCCCTCTCTAGGCTGGAACTCTGTTATCATGAATATTTCCCTCTATTTATGTTTAAGTGCGAACGCTCCTTATGTGTATTGGAACACTGTAATTATGTATATTCCCTTTAATCATGTTTAGGGACAAGCTGCTCCCTATGTATATTGGAACTCTGTATGTAATCATGTTTATTCTCTTTAATCATGTTTAGGGACGACCTGCCCCCTATGGAACTCTATAATCATTTATCTCTTTAATCATGTTTAGGGACGACCTGCCCCCTATGTATACTGGAACTCTGAACCTGAAATCAAGGAACTGAAAGATGCGAAAGAAAGAAAACAGAAAACAAACCATACTTACAGCACAACTAGCACGGTAAAAAACCTCATGTACAGCACAACTAGCAACTAGCATGGTAAACATCATGTACAGTACAACTAGCACAGTAAACAAACATCATGTTCAGTACAACTAGCACGGTAAGCAAACCTCAAGTACAGTACAATTAGCATGGTAAACAAACCTCACGTACAGTACAACTAGCACGACAAACAAATCTCACGTACAGTACAACTAGCAAACAAACCTCACGCACCGTACAACTAGAACGGACAGCAAACCTCATGTAGAGTACAACTAGCACGGTAAGCAAACCTCACGTACAGTATAACTAGTACGGTAAACAAACCTCACGTACAGTACAACTAGCATGGTGCACAAACCTTATGTACAGTACAACTAGCACGGAAAACATACCTCACATACAGTACAACAAGCACCGAAAGCAAACGTCACGTACAATACAACTTGCATAGTAAACAAACCTCCTATACAGTACGGTAAACAAACTTAACGTACAGTACAACTAGCTCGGTAAATTAACCTCATTTACATGACTACTAGAACAGGAACAAGCAAATGTACCGCAATAACAGTGTATGAGAAGAAATCTATCTATCTATCTATCTATCTATTAATTAATCTATCTATCTTTCTATCTATCTATCTATCTATCTATCTATCTATCTATCTATCTATCTATCTATCTATCTATCTATCTATCTATCTATCTACCTATCTATCTAGGTTACTATAAAAGCAAGAAGAGAGCTGGCTAGCATCTCCTGCTTTGCCTCAAATAAAGTAATGGACGATAAAAAGGTATGTTTTTTATTTCTTCATCTTAAACACAGATTACACAGATAGGACTTGACGGCCGGTAACTTTGTACATAATAATTACTGAGATTGTGGCAGCGGCCAATCTGTGTTACTCGCGATTGCCGCAATGAATTATAAGACAGAGAGAGAGCAATTTCTAGCCCTGACTCCCTAGCCTGTCCTAGCCGCCGCGCGCGGCCCAGAAAGTGTCAAAACCTAACCTTATCCTAAAATTTATACTAATCTCTCTCTTCTTATAATTCATTGCGGCATTCGCGAGTAACAGATTTTGGCCGCTACCTGAGATTTTAACCTCGCAATTGATCAGCCCGATGTGTAGTGATTTGTAATAAATTGGTTCGTTTTTGGAGGATTTACAAATTTTATTTTTAAAATAGTTTTTTAGAAATAAAATATAAGTTTAAAAAAGCCAACTTTAACAGAAAATAGCTGCTTTCGATGTATGGAAAATGTGACTTGAAATAAAAGATTTGGAGATTTTTTTTTCAAAATCAAATTTTTGCAAACAAGTTTCTCAAATTTCGCAGAAGTGATCGGAATATTGCGAAAAGAAGATTTTTCGAATAAATTATCGAAATTTTACGAAACCAGATCTTTTTTGAGAGACCCTCCCCTCCATTCATAAAAACTCAATTTTAGGTTTCAGAAATAAAGAAATTTCCGTCATCCTTTTTTTGAAGGATCGGACACATGCCACTTTACAAATAACCAGTTAATTAAAATTACGTCTGCTGTCTTTTTAAAGAAATGTTTATATTTAATTTAATGTTACATTCAATGGCAGTAATTTTCACAAAAGTTTTGTGTCATTCATTTTGAAGCAAAATTTGTTAACTATTTGAAGCATTTTTATCCAACCCTTTGCCCTCGGATGTGGGGGGGGGAGTTCAATAATACGTACCCCCCCCCCCTCCCTCCTCCTTGATTTTTCACTTTTGAAATATGAAATATAATTGATATTGTGAATCTACTAATGGAAAAATAAGCAGATATATTCCTAGAAAATTTACAAGATAAACACAAATTAATTTTACAATCAAATACGTATATAATGAAGTTTTTCTGTTTTCTATTTGTTTTCCATAGTATTTCCTAATTAAATCTTAAATAATTACCCTTTTTTATATTTAATATAATTGTTATTAATTCCACGATTAAAGGGACTGTAAGCGTAATTTAGAATACCCCTCCTTGCTAAGATGAAATTGCCCAAATCACACACAACGGTACCAGCTTTATGCTTTGAGTATGAATTAAAAATCAATGTTTGCAATTCTGAAAACTGATTATTTTTAATTGCGGTTTAATTACAAAAATTAATTGGGCAATTATACTGCATGAAAACATGTAGAAATTTTAAAATTGAAACACTTTCATACCTAGAAAAACGACAATATTATTTCATCAGAAAAAGGTTTCAAGGGTATCGTAGTGCATCGGGCAATTGCATTCTTGTATGAAGGATTACTTGAAATTTCACTGACAGTCCCTTTAATATTTCTATATTATATTTTTTCAGATTTCTCACCTATCCCGTTCTGCAAATCTAAATGTGAAATTTCCACCAGAGGTAAATAAACAGTTAATAAAAATTTGTTGCGCTATTTCTCATTCATGTTGCATCGAAGGGAATTTGAATAAAGCTATATCCCTGTCATCGTATAATCAATAATATTTCTATCTAATTTTAATTTTTATCAAATGTTAAAAATGATATTTTTTTCTTTTTTTGAACATTTGAAATAATAAGCAGCCACATCTACAGAAGTTAAACGTTTATGAAATGTTTTTTTCCACTACTTGTCATTTTTCATTATTTCTAACCTTAGTCGAATTTTTTTTTAACCATTATATATTATTCTGATAGAAAACATTATTGTGATTTGACAGTTATTATGATTTGATCAGTGAACAGTGTGCATGGTGTCAAAAGTTGATGGGATAATTAGATTTATTTTTTCCATATTCATATCTTTTTTTATGCTTAAAAATGGAATGAAAAACAAAAATTGCATTACACTAGACTATCAATTATATTCAAAACAATCAAAGGCTTAAGAATTGTTTTTCTCTATTCTAATTCAAAAGTTGTATAGGAATGAATTTTCTTCAAAAAAAATGCAAATTAATGTCTTTGCTGAGAGCTTTTTGGACTATGCATCTTTTAAAATATTATGTTTTAGAATTAATCTTTCTGCAAGGCTTTCGTCCATTTTGAAAAAACAACCATAAAAAATTTCGCGGATTTGCCAACTCATTAGTGTATTTTCATCATTGGATCCTAAATTGGATAAAAACAAACAGATGAAATGAATGACAGGATAATTAGTTTTGAAATGTCATAGCAATAAAATGCCATGATCTTAAAATGTTCGTCCTTAATATTCTTTTAATTTAGATTTCCCGGAAGGGTCGAGCTACAGATGAAATCTATAAAGTTTTAAATGAAAATATTACTTTAATCTGTCCATATACAGCTAATCCAAACCAGGTATCCAGTAAGTACAGTAAAGAACAGTACAGTACAGTAAAGAACATTAAAGCACAGTACAGTAATCTATAACCTATATAAATTATACAGGTACTCCAAAACAGTACGATAAAATGCATAACATTACAGTACACTACAATACTTAATACGCTTCAGTAAAATACAGAACAATATGGTACAATTCACTAAATAGAATACAGTAAAATACAATACAACACGCTACATTAGAATACATTATAATACAATACAATACAGTACAATACAGTACAATACCGTACAATACAGTACAATACGCTACAATAAAATACGATACAACACAGTACAATAATTCACAGTAGAATACAATACAATACGCTACAGTAAAATACAGTGAAGTACAATTCACTACAATAAAATGCAATACATCACAGTACAATAATCCACAGTAGAATACAGTACAATACGCTACAGTAAAGTAAAGTGCAGTACAATACAATACGTAAAATACGATACAATACAGTACATTAATCCACAGTAGAATACAGTACAATACGCTACAGTAAAGTACATGCAGTACAATACGCTACAATAAAATACGATACATCACAGCACAATAATCCACAGTAGAATACGCTACAGTAAAGTACAGAGCAGAGAAGTACAATTCACTACAATAAAATGCGATACATCACAATACAATAATCCACAGTAGAATACAGTAGAATACACTGCAGTAAAGTACAATGCGGTACAATACGCTATAGTACAGTACAGTGCAGTACAATAAGCTACAGTAAAGTACAATGCAGCACAATGCACATAATCCCGTCAGTTGCACAGTGCAGGGGGTTTTATAATTCAATTTTTCTATGTTTATTCATCTTAACTTTTGAGACAAGTAGTAGGGAAGTTTATGGACTAAAGATCATTATTAAGTGCACTTCATATACTGAAACATTACTTAGAAATCTTACTTTTCATTTTTACTTTCGTAACCTTTAGATTAGGTTTCGTAGCCTTTAGATTAGGTTTTGTAGCATTTAGATTAGGTTTCGTAGCATTTAGATTAGGTTTTGTAGCATTTAGATTAGGTTTCGTAGCATTTAGATTAGGTTTCGTAGCCTTTAGATTAGGTTTCGTAGCCTTTAGATTAGGTTTCATAGCCTTTAGATTAGGTTTCGTAGCCTTTAGATTAGGTTTTGTAGCCTTTAGATTAGGTTTTGTAGCATTTAGATTAGGTTCCGTAGCCTTTAGATTAGGTTTCGTAGCCTTTAGATTAGGTTTCGTATCCTTTAGATTAGGTTTCGTATCCTTTAGATTAGGTTTCGTAGCCTTTAGATTAGGTTTCGTAGCCTTTAGATTAGGTTTTGTAGATTAAAGAATGTCTGTCAATTGTATGGCTTATGTAATTTAAAGTTAAAATTCAAATTTCAGAATGACTTTCGGATTTTCAAAATTTGAAAATTGAAATTAAAAATTATTTTTAAATGTTTAAATGTTTAAATGTTTGTAGGTGAACGTGAGTTGGTACAGGAACAGTGAACTTTTAGATTTTGACAAATTTAATGTCAAATCTCTATCATCAGACAACTCTAAAATAACTCTACAAAATAGTAAGTATTTATTGTATTTATCGTTTTTTCTTCATGCAAAGATCAATCCTAGATCTCCTCTTGTTGTTAATCTTCAGATTAATTAACCGATTAAAGATATCCCAATTAAAAAGATCCCAACTCAACCCATTTCAGTTTATCAAAGAAATTCTGTCGTTAAGTTTATACTTTTTGAGCTTATGTTGAAATCTACTATATTCGAGTATTAAAAAGGCTTTAAATATCACAGGTCTGAGACAAAATTTTGCATAGGAATAAGGGTTTATCATATTCTACAAGAAATTGGTTGAAAAAGTCGAAATGTGAAAACGTAAATTTAAATTTTTAACTCACTTATTACCTCACTTAGAATGATTTGAAAAAAAGAATAAAATATAGAAACCCCTGAGGTAAAAATAAAATCCACTGCTTAAAAAGTGTGGGCCTCAAATGTTTAACAATACCTTTAAATCATTGCTCTTTAAAAATCTAGGTTTGTTAGGTTTTATAAATTGGGACTAGACAGAATTTGAAGTGATTCTTTCACGGGCAGCCGTAGTACATTTGAATTTCCTAGCTGGGTCAACGTTTCCGGTCCCAGTTTGTACTGTATCGCCCGGACATTGGGTAAATAAAGCAGACACTCAATAGGACTAGCCGGTGCAACAAGGTTGACGCGGTCAGACTTTAGGCTAAATTTACCTTTACTAAAAGGTCACCCAACAAACAAAACACAGGTTTTTAACGAGATTAGCATGATGGAGAACTGGTTGATAATTCAGCCAGACGTTTCACCTTCTTCTCTTGGCGGCAAATTCTTGATTTTACAGTTCTGGTAACTGGCTGAAACTAACGTATTTTATGTTGGAGTAGGGTTTGACGAAACTTGCATATTAATGTTCAACTTACATTGTTTCCTCTCAAACCTATTAGGTAAGTCTAGTTTGAGTGATATAGTTGATATAGTGTCTGTATATGTGGAAGATGTTCCTAATGTTCAACTTACATTGTTTCCTCTCAAACCTATTAGGTAAGTCTAGTTTGAGTGATATAGTTGATATAGTGTCTTTATATGTAGAAGATGTTCCTAATGTTCAACTTACATTGTTTCCTCCCAAACCTATTGGGTAAGTCTAGTAGATAAAGTACGTAAAGCAGATATATCTTCTTTAAAAGATTTAAATACCCCTCCTTAAACTATCCCCCCCTCCCCCTTGATTTACGTAAAAGTACGTTAGTTAGCGACCCCCACCACCACTTTTTCTTAAAACATTCTTTAAAAAGGTGAATTTTTACAAATTATCTTTTTTTCCCATCTCATGATGTTGGTTCGTGTCCCTCTTGTCCTTTTGACAGACCATTTTAATTTTTTTAAATAATCTTTTTTGTTTGTTTATTTTCTTGTGGTTTGTAACATTTTTTATTATCGATTTTGATGGTTCTTATATCGTTAGAACTGACGAGGCCGGGTCAACCCAGACCGAAATATGTTTTCAATAAATGTGGAACTAACATCTACTTTTTTACTCATACAGAGGTTTGGTCCATCACCATCACCAAGTTTTTTATATTTATACAAAATTGTAATCTCTGCTTGTCTGGGTGTCCCAAAACCCCTGGACCGATTTGCCTCAAATTTTGATTGGGTAACTCGGGAGAGCCACAGGAAATGTTCTTAGCTTGGTTTTGAGATTCTAAGTTGATTGAATCTAATTTTAATGGAGAAAGAAGCTAAAATCATAATTTGCTGAAAGGGACTGTATGCATAATTTAAGTGACCCTCCATTTATAAAAGAGTAGCATGTCATGTTCATAACGGTACGACCTCTAAATCTTTGTGTAAAAAAGTTTTTAATTCTATTAATTGCCTACATTGTCTCTCAGACATTAATGTGCAAGCCAAACTTATGGAGACCCCAAATTATTATTTTTTTCACATGCAAAGGTTTAAAAGCTACCGTTGTGAATCGGACATGCAGACCACTCTATTAATGAGGTCACTTGAAAATGCGCGTACAGTGTCTTTAAATGACAACTTTTCCATATTGTAGTGAGAACTTAAATGAGAATGTAACACTGCGCTGCGCTCCACAGCTGCCTGATAAACAGCTGATCTCCGTAAAATGGTTTTTAGATGGAGCTCTTCTTAAACAACTTCCAGACTGCAGGAACAGGTATTCCACATGCACATCAATTTAACCAGCTTACTTTTTGTGCATAAAACGTGCTGAGCTGAAAACTTTAGAGTGGTGGATATCGAGATCAACGCTTGATCCACTCTTTTCATTTTAGAGATTAGAGATTCGCGCATTAAATTTTGAAAACCGGGGTTCCGGTTTTTTTTCGCATTTGTAGTGTCATATCATTAGGAATAATGATCGATTGAACAACTCAAGTTTTTGGTTAATGTTTATTCAGAACTATATAAAGTCTTCAAATGTGATAAAATATGTTTTTTAATAAGTTAATATTGACATGATTAAATTTATATTTGTTTAAATTCTATTTAAAAGCCGGCTTGTGAACAGCTGACTTTAGTTTAATAGGATAATAATCCAATCGATATCGCATTGTATTGGTAAATGTGTGTACTTTGGATGTACAGGATACTTAGATTCAGAGATCGAGATTAAGGCTATCCCATTCTAAGGTTTTCAGCTCTGGCCACTAGTTATACTAAACTTATACTCCATGATTTACAACAGGGTGTCCCAATAAACATGGGAATTCAGTGACGAATTCGATATCGTCTTTTCAAATAATTCTTTGATTTAGTATGGTGATACCTACTGAGAAAGCTGTAATCTCTTAAGAGTTTCGTCTGCTACCTTCATATTTTGTTTGTTTATGTTTTGACTGCATACGGTTGAACTTAGTAAAACAAGAAAATTGCTGTTTACAAACAGAGTAAACTTGTCCGTCTTCACTGTTCATCTTTCGGAGACATTATAGACACATCTTTACAGCCATTTACCGTTCTCAATAAATAAACTCTAGCAGACATAATAATATTATGGCTTTTAAAATTAGGTATTACAATGCTAATTCATAACAAAGACGTTATCGAATTCGTCACTGAATTCCCATGTTTTTTGGGACACCCTGTAGTTGAACAGAAGTTTCCTGCATTTTTCTTAATTGTTAATTCTTGAAAAAGGTTGTGACTTCAATGACTACCAACTACTCCTTTAATATCTCAGAATTAAATTAGTTTTATCTTTTTAATTCTATTTCTGATGATAGAGCAAACATTTTATAGATTTTTTGGTGTATACCATTGTTTGGTTTACAGAACCAAAAGGATCAGGAACTGGGTAAAAAAACTTTTATGAATGAGTTTCCTTTAACTTTTAATGTTAGAGAAAGAAAGATTTGTCATTTTCTATAATATTTCCCTCACCCCTGAGAAGAAGAAATAATCAATCAGCCTAGAAATTATTATTTGATATCTTTGATGTAGAAAATATTGTTAAGAGTATGGGTATCATCTCAAGTTTCAGTAATTTTTAACAAAAATAATGAAAGAACAATAATAATTTTTGTCAATGTGGAGAGATAGCAGGCTCTCATTTATTCTTATCTATAACAGGAAAAAATATGATTCCATCTTAAAACAGAAAAACATTTTATTGCATCTTACAACGGAAAATATAATTCCATTATGAAACAGAAAAGATTTTATTTTATCTTAAAACAGGAAAATTATGATTCCACCTTAAAACAGAAAAAGATGTTATTTCATCTCAAAACAGGAAAAAATATGATTCCATCTTAAAACAGAAAAATATTCTATTCCATCTTACAACAGGAAAAAATATAATTTCATCTTAAAACAGAAAAGATTTTATTTTATCTTAAAAAAGGAAAAAAATATGATTTCATCTTAAAACATAAAAACGTTTTATTCCATCTTAAAACAGGAAAAAATATGACTCCTGATTTGGTTTTTATTAACTTCGTCATTCTTTGCCATGAAATATTTGTAGAACAAATCAATCTCAATTCTCAATCTTAGCTGCTATCCGATATCTATAAAAGTAGTGAGGGGGGGGGGGTAGGGAGTAGGAAATCAAAACGAAAGGGTTAATGCCTTACCCCTGCGTTTTCTTGGCTCCCTTCAGTGGCGACTGTCGGTTCGACTAAGCTCAGCGGGGAGCACCATTGAGGTACTAGATTCATAAGCCAAAAAACTGTATTTATGCAATATACAAAGTTCTATTATGTAAAATTATTATAAAACATGTTTTGTATTTTTTCTTTTAGAAAATATAAAGAAAAGATGTAAAGAACAGATTTTTTTGGATGGGGGGAGTTTTCCCCCTTACTTTTTAAACGGGGGGTTGACAACATAACGCCCCACCCCCTCTATCATGAATATATCAAGTGCAGAAAAAAATACTGTTGTTTGCAGACCAGTAATTGAGAAACTATTAGTATTAATTTATATAATATTAGTGTCCCTCCTCCCTTGATCATTTATAATGTATATTAGAGAATAGTATTCCCTTCGCTCAATCACACAGAACATTTTCTTCTAAATAACACTGTTATTACAGATTCCTTTTCCAGAAAATTTTAGAAAACTAACCGATAAAAAGCTTAGTTTTTCCATTCCAAGAGGGGGTTTTTATTTTAAGTAACCATCTATCTAAAGAGAGCCATGCCCAATTTACATCTTTAACTGGAAGATTTGGAAGATTTTTGTTTTTTAAGCTGGAAGAAGTGTTAAATTTTCACAATTTCCTCCATTGTTTCTCAAGCAAAAATCAGCAAGTCATTTCTACAGAGAAGTAACAGCTTAAAATTACCAACTTCTTAAATTAAAATCATAAATATCTCAATGACTCTTGATCAGACAAAGCTTTTAAGGGCTGGAAGCTCAGGCTCACTTAAAAAACGATTACAGGCTCTGACTGAGTGACGTTTAAGGATTGAGGAAAAACTGGTTTACGAATTTTTGACTATTTCGACTTATATTAATAAAACTTGCAAGCTGAATTTTGGTCTGTTTAATAAATTGCATAATGCCATGGATATTGATCATGTTTTTAGATTTCCAGAATTTACGTTTTAAATTAGAAAATATATTGAATTATTGAGCTACCCAACTCATGGTTACCTTTTGTTTATTGTGTTCAGTTCCGAACCTCTCTTAATCTTGAACCGACGCAAAAGAGAAGTTGTTGAACTACGTCTACGTCTATCTAGTTCAACCACTTCTCCTCTCGCTATTTATTAAATCTGGTCACCATGTTTGTAAAGATATCAAAAAAATTACAGTTTAAGGTGAGTGTCGACTGTAAGCGTAATTTCAAGTTACACACTAGGGTTTCCATTTTTCCGGAAAAAAATTTCCATTTTGGAAATGGAATGATCCGGAAATTTGTTGCGTAAACCGGAATTCCGGAATAATTCCGGTATAAATGGAAACCAGAAATTTTTACGGTTTACGTAACGTTAACCGGAAAATTTCCATTCCGTAAACCGGAACTTAAAGAATTATTTCTTATTTTAATTAAATTCATATTTACAAAGTTTGAAAATTTGAAAAAAAAGAGGATCATTGCCCCCGGCTCCCCGCTAGCTACTGCCCTGCTAGTGGTAGAGTCCCCCCCCCCTCGGTTTATCAGTTACATTTCACACTATAGTAACTTTGAATACTAGCCTTCTAAATTAATTGTGAACATGTTCTCTTTGTGTACATCGTAAAACAAAACAAAAATAATTCGCGGATTTTCACAAAAAATTTCGTGGATTTTCAAAATTTTAAAAATTTGATGGAGACAAATATTTGTTCATAAACCTTCCCTGGGGTCCCTAGATGTCCCACAAAAAATTTGTGCCCGATCGGTTTAGCCGTTTTGACGTTGATTGGATACAAACAGACATAATGGAAATGGAAAAAATTTCCGGATCATTTCCGTACGTAAACCTATTACAAACCTATTACACACTCCATATAATTATTAGGCAATGCCCTTACAATCTTAATCTGATCAATTATGAATGTGGACGATATTGTTGTTTTTCTATGTTTAGAGGCGTTTATTATGATAATTCAAAAATATTATCTGCAGTAGAAATGCGCAAGTTAGTTTTAAAGAGAACCCGCAATTAAAAAAATCGGTTTTACAAAATATAAAACCGAATAACTATTTCAGACCAAGCTTTAAAGGGTACAGGTTGTAAATCAGGCATTGTAATCTTTGCATGGAGAGTCACTTTAGATTACGCTTACAGTCCCTTTAAGTTCCTTTAACATATAGTTTTCTCATTTAGAAAAGACAGTTTGTATGGAGCAGATATGGAGTATACAAGTGCAGTGGACTCCCTGTGTAGTATGGATCCAACCAAGATTATTCTAGAAAACGTTGGGAGAAATTTCAATGGAAACTATTCTTGCCAGGTTAGCATCAGCAGACTTAATTCATGAAAAAACTTTATTTTTAAATCTTAAAGAAACTGTCACCAAAAAACGATAGCTTTTTAATTAAAATAGGTAGAAACTTATTCTTGCTTGTTTCTGCTGTAGAAATCCGTATTGGCCGATCAATGTGGTCCAGGGGGCGGAAACGTCATGTGTGTGTGTGTGTACCAAAAGAGTGTGTGTTAGTTTAAAGTACCAAAGGTGTGTACTGTAGGTATATAGAGTACATACGAATCTCGGTATTTGTACAGTCTAGGAGAGTACATTTGTTTATTGTTAATTTTTTACTTAGACATAAGTTTAATATACATGAAGCATATTATTTATATATTTAAATCAACACTATAAGCCAAATGTTCATGCAAAGAAAATAACTTGATTAAAGTTTACAACAAATATAGTCGTTATTCAAGTTTAATTATAATTGACAACATTGTTCTGCAATTTCCTTGACTGTAATCATGTTGTGTGTCTGTACCAAAAGAGTGTGTGTTAGTTTAAAGTACTGGTCTGCAAAGCAGTGCGACTGGCTTTCTCATGCCAGACCAGCGCCATTTCCTTTCCCTTTATTCCTATTCCCTGATGTGGTCTAATTTACTGCAAAATATCTTCATTGGTCAAATCTATCGTAGGACAGAGCACATAAATTTCGCTATTTGCCTCCTATAGTCTGTATTTGTACTGTACTGCTTGCGCTGGAAGGTTAAAATTCGGCCCGGTACATGAAACAAACTGGAATGTACCGTGAGAGGAGGATGTAAAAAAACATCGAAACATATTTCCTAATTTGAAGTTGTGCATTTCACAGTAAAAGAATACTTTTAACAAATTTTGATTTTTTAATTAAAATATCTTTATTGTCATTAAGCATTGACGAGTATAGTTGTAAATTTCTCTTCAAATAAATTGACACTTAATGGCTAAACGTGATAGCTGAGCTGAGAATGCATAATTGTCAGGGGGGATGATAGTTTCCTACCTGTGTGCTTAGTTAGCTGTACTGTACACCTACAACTGTTTACTAATAATTATATAATATAGGTTAGATCAGAATCTCCTGATAATAAACAAATATGCAGTACGCTCTCGGTATAGTTCATGGCCTATACAATTAGTAAAGGATTAGCGTACATCATCACTCTATACACTATAACCTCGTTGATAATTGTAGAGAAATTTCTTAGAAACCCTTTAAGAAGTTTGTACGGTGTAAAATTGCTAAGCAAGAGCGCAACATCGATCTTCATGGCGGCGATGTTTCGCTCTTACTTAGAAAATTTTCACGGCACAAACTTCTAAAAGATCTCAATTTGTTTCTTTAAATTTCTCTCCGACCCTGGACACTCAGCTCAACTACTATGTCTAGCCAGAAACTCTCTTTAATGTTTCGTCTATGTGTCTCTTTAAATACTGGTTTCCAGGATTTCCCAGAGTCAGTAATTCTTAGCGTGCCATTGTTATAAAATCTTCAAAGAAAATTCTGGACTCATTTAAATTCTATTAATTTAAATTAGATTTCATTCACATTAGTTGAATTCAAATGTTAAAATTAAAATTAAGACGGATTGTTGGAAAATGTAAATGAATTTGTTTCACTCTGGCTTACCCATAATACCGTAAATAATATTGTGCATCATATGTATAACTAGCTGAAGTTGCCCGTGGAATAAATAAATTTCGAATTTTGAAAAAAAATTGATTTTGAAGAAAACAATGAATTCGAAGTTTTTTAGCCTATGTTCCCCCCCGGGCACCATTGGGTTCCCTCGAAAACAATTCATAGTCCAGCCATTTGGCCAGCTATAGCTAAGATACATGTTTTTGTATACAAATATACATATATATATATATATATATATATATATATATATATGAGCGAAGAGCTTTATTACGTTTAATGATGCTAATCAGACTATATATACAAATATATAACAATTTCTAAGGTAGCATAAAGCATTATACTTTATGAACAAATTTAGCTAAATGTTTTAATCTTTAACATTTAGCTTGTTATTTTAAAGTGACGTTGACAAAAAGAAAAAAACCAAATTTAACAATTAGTAAATAATTTCCATAATCTATAAGATGTAAAGGAATTTAAAATCATTTACGACAAACTAATAATTGTTAACAAATTACAAACGAATGACTTCTGCGAGATCAATTAGTTGTAATATCAAAGGTCTACGATCTCTTTTTGATTTAAAAAAAATAATTGAAGATTGCAACAAATAAATAATTGTTTGGCAGGATGTAATCAATCATGTAGCAAATAACGCAAAATTATATAATTATACAATTTGACACGAATTTAACTCAGAAATTGGAATTTATTAATTTTGATTTTGTATCATGCAACAAAATCTATTGCTTCCATGCAATACTAGAATCTATTACAATAAATATATTAATTTGCTCTATCTGTAAACCATAAACGGACTGTTAATCATAAATAATAAGTTTCTTGTTCGATTCGTTTACATTGCGGTCTCGTTTTTTTTTTCTTGAAATCTGCAGGTTTAACAGTAGTGCTATGTGTTTAGAACGGTGTTTAACTCGTTAACTATTGTTTTTTTATTGCTACTTTTTGATGAGCCTAATATTTTGAATGTTAAAGGGACTATATAGACGCAATTTTAAGTGTCTCTCCATTTTTAGAGTGCAGTTTCCGATGTAAAAAATTTCCCTGAAAAGTTTTTTCTTCATGAAAGTTTATTATTTTTAATAGTGGTTTAAGATCAAATGCCGCGGAAAACCGAGTTTAACATATCAATTGCTATCCTTCATATTTCAGGACTATGAATTTACCTTGAATTTAAAATAAAAACCAGTTTCTTAAGAATTATCAACTTTACATTCTACAATGATATTTGGATATATTTTCATGAATCGTATTCAACCCTTTGAAGCTGCGAACATCTCAGCAGATGTCATAGTTTTAAAATAAATTTCAAGACGACATTTCATGTTCTCTTGCTATGTATTCATATATGTGAGATTGACTGTAAAAAGTGACTTGTGCACTTCAACATAAGAAATTTTATGAGAGAAAATTGTCAATTTTCATTTCATTTCATTTTCATTTTTTCTATCTTGATTTATTACTTTGCTTAATGTTTATTTACAATATATATTTCGTGTGATTATTGTACTTCCACCTGCAGTAGTTCTGGTTTATTTTATTACTCTTTTATTTTAAAAGGGAAAACTATATTAGAAAAAAAAATCCAATTTACATTATTTAATTTTAGAAATTTTCAAATTTTAATTTAGCTAATCAAAAATTAACGTTCTAATTTTTTTCCATTCTTCTTTATTTCCAGAAAATTAAGCTTTTCACAAAAATGTTGTGTTGGAGTTACCCTTTTTATATTGTTTATAAAAAGAGTTTTCAACAATTTGTCATGTTTTTAGGGTCAAAACAGAGCAGGCTGGGGCCCACACTCTAATAAAGGTATTTTTATCATTTAATTTGTTATGGATTTGTAATCAGAATTTATTGGTATGTACTCACGTACTGTACGAACTGTAATGTATTGTACGCAATGCAGCGTTTGTACAGCAATAAAACGTTGTAGCTGTATATGGCCGGGTCCCAAATTTTCACAAAACTGTACACTGTACACTGTAGTCACTGTACACTGGACATACAAAATACAGGAAATCAGTTAAAACTAGCGTAGGAGACTTTATTTATTTAAATATCTAAAATAAATTTACACTAACAAAAAGGTATAAAATCGCAAATAATAAATATCTACACTTGATGGGGGAAATGGGTTCTAAAGTTAAGCTTAATTGGCCTTTTAACCAGGACATTCAGTTTACCGTGTCCACTACTTACCACTAAAACGGTACAATCAAGGTTGTGTAATTAGATTAGATAATCTGAATGCGTTAATTCATTAAGTTACTATACTTTTTTTAAGAATAATAGATTTTGCGACTCACTAAATAGAAACGAACTCAAAAATTAAAACTTGAAGCTTTTTTAGCTTCCAACTTGTTAATACAATCAATATTTGTTAAATGTGATGATTGTTAATTAAGTATCAGTGACGTCTTATGAGGGTTTAGATTTTCCATTGTAAAAAAGACGACATTTACTTACATTAGAGCGCATCCAAAGTTCTAACCTTATATCATGGTTACAACAGAATACATAAACACAGACTATAGAAGTAATATTTCTTTGATCAAATCTTTTAAATAAATCGATCTGAAATAATTAATATCAAATCAGAGACTTTTATCTCTGTTTACACAAAAACCCGCAATGCTGCATTATTATAAAACCGATTTATTAAAGAGACTGTGTACAAATAATTTAAAATTTAAAGGGACTATTTGCAATTTATATAAAAATATTATCTATTTCAGAAGAACTGATAATTTACTACTCTCCTATATCAATGGAAGGTGTGACACCTACCCAGATAGTCAGGTACAAGAAAAATAAATACCAGGAATTATCTTGTTACAAGAAATATAAATACCAGGAATTATCTTGTTACAAGATAATATAAATACCAGGAATTATCTTGTTACAAGAAATATAAATACCAGGAATTATCTTGTTAAAAGAAATGTTAATATCGCGAACTATCTTAATTTTACAATTTAAAAAAATATAAAGATTAGGAATTTTCTTGATACAAGAAATGTAAAGATTATGAAATTTTATGTTACAAGGAATATAAATATATGGAATTATCTTATTCCAATAAATATAAAGATTAAAAATGGTCATGTTGATAGAAATACGAAGATCATGAAATCTCTTTATACAATAGATATAAAAATCATAAGATCAGACCAGGTTAAAGTGTTTTCTGGTCACAAAAGGAGTTGAGTTTTTGCCACAAACACTGATTTTCTAATCTCTATATCTTCTTAACCCAATTTCGTAGACCTTAGATATTTCAAACTATTAATACTTTTAGATAAAATAATCTAAGTTTGAAATATGAAAGGTTTGCACCATCAGGATGCAAAGATATTGGGATCAGAAGATTTGAGTTTGTGGCAAAAACTCAATTCCTTTAAGTTAATATTTGACCATACATGTTTCTATATTAGGAAGGGTGAGAATATAACTATCAACTGTACCATGAAGGACCCAGGAAACCCGGAGGTATGTTGCTTACGTTTCTGAAATAAATCAACAAAATCTTCAATATCAACAAATAAAATTCTATCTTTCTCCTAAATTATATATGATTTAACCCTTTCTGTTCTATCTTTCTCCTAAATTGTCTATGGTTTTAACCCTATCTGTTCTATCTTATTCCTAAATTATCTATGGTTTTATCCTTGCTTGTTCAATGTATTTAGTATTTACTGAACTATCTATGATTTCACAATACATCTTTATTTTCCTAAATTATTCATAATTTAACCCTACATTTTCAATCTACTTTCTAAGTTATCAATGGTACCTTGCCTGTGTTATCTAGTTTACTGAATTATTTATAATTTAACCAAATGTAACTATTTTTCCCAAATTATTCGGGGTTCAACACTACATGTTCTATCTAGTTTCTAAATTATCTTTGACTTTAACATTTTCTATTTTTTTACAGAATTATCTATGATTCTAACCAAATATAACTATTGTTCCTAAATTATCTATTTTTATCTAGTTTGTAAATTAACTAGGGTTTTTACCCTTTATGTTCACCCATCTTCTCAATCATGTATTGCTTAAAATTACAAGTTTGATGTTTTCTATGGCGTTAACTCTATCTCCATGCTCAGTGGCGGCTTTTTTGGGGAAAAGGGGAGATGTACCCCCCCCCCCTGGAAAAATAAAGAGCGAAAGAAGAGAGAGAGCTGGCACCGTTTAGTCCTTAAATTTTCATTTTTAAGAATAAATTCCAAAAGAAGTTTGCCAGTGGGAGGATTTCGGTGCTCTTCGCGCGCAACATTTCAATTATCCCCCCCCCCCCCCGGAAAATATCATAAGCCTCCCCTGTCTGACATATGCACTGTTTTAGGCTGAGTCTGCAATATGGTTGAGAGAGGGAGTGAGGATAAAGGAGAAGCGGGGTTAAATTTAACCTTAGTCAACGTAGGGGTGGATCATGAGAAAAACTACACATGTATTCCATTCAATCAGGTAAAAGTACAGAACTTTGGAGAAATCGAAAGAATTTATAGAATGTCGTCTTGACAATTTTTCAATGGATTTTATACTAATTTTGTAAAAATAAAAAAATATAAAATTGCGGGAACATTTTTAAAGAGCTTCTTAAAATTATTCAATAAAAACAACTAATATCTGCAGCAATCCATTATCAGTATGGTTAAGTTACCAACATTTCATAAATGTTAAACTGTATAAAAAGTGAAGAAATTTACAATAATTCTTACCATTTAATTTTCTGTAAGGAGAAATTTCAATTTTCACGAGCAGTTCCTTTAAGGTTGGTAAAGGGAACGGCTCCAGTGTACGTGTTACAGTGACCTCACCCCCTAGGCTAGTAAAGGGACTTAGTCTAGAGTCCGGGGCACCTGTAGAGAGAACTCAGGTAGATAACAACAACAACAACAACAACAATGATAATAAAAATAATAATAATAATAATAATAATGATAATAATAATAATAATCTATCTACATATATTTTGCTGGTCTGTCAACAATAAATCCAATAAACGACAAAACGGCTTAACCGATCGGGCCAAAAATTTTTTGGGGAACTCGTTTGTGGATGATCGAATTTTCAAAAATTTTCCTTTAACAAATTTTGTCTTTTGCAAATTTTGAAAATCCACGAATTTTTTTTTTTTTTATAAAATACTTTTTGTTTTTTTTTACAACAAAGAGAAAATGTTCACTATTGAAATAGAAGATGGGCGCGAAGCGCCCTAAAATAATGATAATGATTATAAAAAAAAATAATGAAAAAAATAATAAAAATATCGTTTTCCTTAAGGAATAATATTATTGTCTTTTACTAAAGATATCAATTTAGAAAATAAAGAAAACATTTTCTCGAGTTTTTATGAATTACGTTTCATTATGTACCTTATTTAGGTTGAATTGATGTGTTCTGTAGAATGTTCACCTCTCTGCTCTATCTCTTGGATGAAAAACGGAATTAGGTAAGAAAAAAGGAACTAGGTAAGAAAACCGGAACCACCAGGTGTCACAGCAAACATGACAGTTGGTAATGTCTAATTTGTTAAGTTGTTTAATACCAAAGACAATAATAAAAATATTATATAGGAGTCATATTATAGTAAAATTAATTTCAAGGTAAAAGTGTATGGATGACGGCATTCAAACTATTTACTAACTGATATGTTTCGTGGGACACCCTGTAGACGTAAGAAAAACGTAACTAGGTAGAAAGCCGGAACAAAGTAAGGAGAACAGGAACCAGGTAAGAGAAACGGAACTAGGTAAAAACTAGATAAGGAAAATAGGAACTGGAATCTGGATAAGAAAAACCTGAACTAGGTAAGGAAAATCGGAACTAGAGTTAAGAAAACCGGAACTAGGTGCGAAAACCGGAATTAGGTAAGAAATCCTTAAATCCCTGCATGCAGAGTGCAGGAAATCAACATCACAGGATATCGGAGAGAAAATAGACTTATCCGTAATTGTAAACTTCTATTTGGAAAAATGCTTGTAATGGATCTGAGCTGAAAACTTTAGAATGGGATATCCTTAATCCTGATCGGATAATTAATCTGAAGATTAAAAATGAGAGGAGAACAAGCAATATTTAATCTCGAGATTAAGAAAAAGAGTGGATTAAGCATTAATCCCGATATCCACCATTCTAAAGTTTTCAGCTCTGAGCATTATCGATAAAAAAATCGTCTTCATTGTATTGATATAACCGCCGACCACTTTAGTAAAATACTGAATCTTTTGTTGTCTCTGCCTTAACATGAGAACAAACATTATTTCTATCTCAACTAGAGATGGGCATTGTTTTTATGAACGAACGGAAATTTTTAGAACGAAAGAAAAATTTTGTGAAAAAGAGTGTCGTTCAGACAAACAAACAGAATGGATCATTCAGAGAAATAAAAAATTATCGTTTTAAAAACGAACGATTTAAAATCGGTTTACGAAAGATTTTGTTCCTTTTTTGGCTGAACGAACGATTTTTTCGAACACACCTAAAATTAACGATTTTTTCAGAAAATGACTTTTAAAAGAAATATGATTTTTTTCCGAAGAAATGATTTTATTGAAAGAACAATTTTACTGGACGAACGAACTTGCTGAACGATTGTTTAATGAAAAGACTAACGAAATAGATAGAAAATGAACGATAATTTAGAGAACGAACCAAATCAATTATTTTAAAACGATTGAAAAAAAAACACGAACGAAATGAAAAAAAAGCGGAACCTGCCCATATCTAATCTCAAAGAGTACTTGACATTGGTATGATAGGGTTTCCATATCTTATCAATATCATCAGAGGTTTAAACCTTTGTGCTGCTAATCCATATGCAGAAAGCACTGATCATGTTTCCGTTTTGTTTTTGTTGTAAAGGTCCGCACAATCAAAATCCGCAAAAAAATCTGCTCTTTGCATGCAGATTGCAAATAATTAATCATAAAAATGAAGTCAGCTGTTTTCACGAATTTAGCACGTTAGATCTATTCAAATTAAAAGGTTCTACTTTGAAAATAAAGTTCTTACAAATTCTTACCCAGAAAATATTATGCTTTACACAAAAAATATTTTTTTTATTGCTTTCCTTGAATAAAAAATTCCATAGAGATAAAATAAAAAGAATAAAGAGGTCTCTTGAATGTATACAAAGATTTCTTTTAAATTTATTCCATTTTAGTCAAAAAAAATCATTTTTTAAATACATTTTTTCCCTTAGGTTAAAGAATGGTTCTAACTATATAATGAAGGAAGTTGTTCGTCTAGCAGATTATTCTACCAACACTCTATCACAGGTTAGATATTCATTTTTAGATTCTAGACCACAAATATTTTTTGGATTAAATTATCAAACTTTTGAATATTTTCAATTCAGAGTGTACAAAATAGAATGAAAGAGGTTCTACAGGAATTTTGCAATGATATATTTTTTGGAGAAAAAGAACCATCGGTAACGGTTGAACCAGCGGTTGAGAGTTGAGACACAGCTTAGACAATTTTCAGTTTAGAATAAGAAATAAAAAATAATTTTTTGAAAAAATTTTATGTGAACCAATTGAAACTCAAATATTATTTAATACTATTTTTGTTTTAATCGCTGGATTTAAACATTTTTTTACATTTTTTTACAATTCTTTTGCATTCAACTGCTGAAAATGCAGGTTTGTATTTAACTTTTATTTACTTTCAACCATAAAAATCTCACATTTTTATATTTTCTCGTCAGCCGTTGTAAATATTTTCATAGCAAAACTAATAAATGTAAAAAAACATGAAACCCAGCAGTTGATGGCAAAAATATGTACCTTGAGATTATGATTTCAGATTTTGAATTAATGTTAAATAAAAGAAAGTAAAAAGTCACAATTCTTATTCTGAAATCTGAATTACGTCGTAAAATCTTGACCAGATCTCAACTGCTTATTCAACCCGTTATCCTTGTTCAGGTTGAAAGTCAGCTGGTGATGAATGTGAGTGGATGGGAGGGAGGATTAGTTCCAGATAGAGATACTGCCAACTACTCCTGCCATAGCAGTAATAATACCTTTGGGCCTGGCGTCTCCAGCTTTACCATCTTCAGGTAAACGGATTCAATGATCACCAATTAAATGTAAAAGGATTGTCTTCTTTGTTCTTTCTTTCAATGAAAAACACAGTTAATGATTTTGCACAATTGTATCCATGAACATGGATACAATTGGATGGGAACTTTCATGTTGGATACTAATAATCCCGATAATATGATCTTGATATCAACTTTGTGAACTTTTAATTTGAGGATCAATGCTTAATCTTTTGATTTTAGTTTTAGTTGATCATCAATACTTAAATCTAAATTCTTATATTTTTTATTCACTTCAAGTTACCCCTTCCTCCATAGTTGTCTTCTGTTCCCTGTATTATTGTTTCTCTAAACAGTTCTATATTTTCTATTTCAGGATTATTTCAATAATTTTACTAACCCGTGAGAAAAGATAATAAAATATCATCAGTTCTAGCGGAATTCACTCAGATTTTACCATTCTTTTTGCACTAACGTGTACACTGTACTGCGTATATCGTACAGTTCAAAGACTTATAATGTAAAGATAGTTATTTCAGAGGTGAACGCATTTTTTGTACTGCAGTGTACTTCTGGGCTGTAAAGTAAACAAAAAACGGATGTCACTGCCTGACATGGGATCCATCTTTCACATAAAATATCAATGAAATATTCTGGTCATAGTTAACTATTATGTAAACTATTATGTGAATTATCAAAATTAAATGTTTTTTTCCTCCTCGGATACTTTAGGAACACTGATGCATCTATTTTTGTTTACAAACACCGCCCAGAGAGAACTGAAGTTTCAATATGTATGCAGAGAATACGCAAAAGCAATTGACTTTCCTTGCATTATTACCTTGGAACAGTTGATATTTTGCGGTATACGTGTTATACAGTTCATCTAAAATGTATCTTGTTAACCCTACTATTCAGGGTTTACTCTGCTCCCCGGAATATACTAGTTAATACTTCTGTTCAGATTTCACTATGCTCCCGAAATATACTAGTAAACCCTACTGTTCAGGGTTCACTTTCCTCCCCGGAATATACTAGTTAACCCTACTGTTCAGGGTTCACTTTGCTCCCCGGAATATACTAGTTAACCCTACTGTTCAGGATTCACTTTGCTCCCCGGAATATACTAGTTAACCCTACTGTTCAGGGTTCACTTTGCTCCCCGAAATATACTAGTAAACCCTACTGTTCAGGGTTTACTTTCCTCCCCGGAATATACTGTAACAGTGGGCGAGTTTTGTTGATCTTTTACGATCAGCAATTCAAGGATGTTTTGGATCGCTTATACTAGTTAACCCTACTGTTCAGGGTTCACAATGCCCCCGTAATATACTAGTTAAACCTACTGCAGTTCAGGGTTCACAATGCTCCCGTAATATACTAGTTAACCCTACTGTTCAAGGTTTACTATGTTTCCCGGAATATACCAATTAACCCTACTGTTCAGGGTTCACAATGCCCCCGTAATATACTATTTAACCCTACTGTTTAGGGTTCACTATGCTCCCCGGAATATACTAGCTAACTCTACTGTTCAGGGTTCACTATGCTCCCCGTAATATACAAGTTAACCCTACTGTTCAGGGTTCACTATGCTCCCCGGAATATACTAGTTAACCCTATAACTGTTCAGGGTTCACTATGCTCCCCGGAATATACATTTTAACCCTACTGTTCAGGGTACACTATGCTCCCCGGAATATACTAGTTAACCCTACTGTTCAGGGTGCACTATGCTCCCCTGAATATACTAGTTAACCCTACTGTTCAGGGTTCACTATGCTCCCCGGAATATACTAGTTAACCCTACTGTTCAGGATTCACTATGCCCCCCGGAATATACTAGTTAACCCTACTGTTAAGGGTTCACTATGCTCCCCGGAATATACTAGTTAACCCTACTGTTCAGGGTGCACTATGCTCCCCTGAATATACTAGTTAACCCTACTGTTCAGGGTTCACTATGCTCCCCGGAATATACTAGTAAACCCTACTGTTCAGGGTTCACTATGCTCCCCGGAATATACTAGTTAACCTTACTGATCAGGGTTCACTATGCTATCCGGAATATACTAGTTAACCCTACTGTTCAGGCTTCACTATGCTCCCCGTTTTATACTAGTTAACCCTACTGTTCAGGGTTCACAATGCCCCCGGAATATATGTACTAGTTAACCGTAATGTTCAGGGTTCACTATGCTCCCCGGAATATACTAGTTAACCCTACTGTTCAGGGTTCACTATGCTCCTCGGAATTTACTAGTTAACCCTACTGTTCAGGGTTCACTTTTCTCCCCGGAATATGCTAGTTAATCCTACTGTTCAGGGTTCACTATGCTCCCCGGAATATACAGATCACACCAAAAGTTCAAACTGTGAAGGAGAAATACAGACCCAGAGAGTTTTTCTGTGAGGCAGAGGTAAACAATCATTTTAATCTTGTCTATATAATAAAACAAGACATTCGTATATATAAATATTGCGTATAGCCGGCCAAAATGCTGGACCGTTTGGGCTGAAATTTTGTGTAGACACTCACGAGTGGCCGGTGGGTGTTATGGGCTTTATAAAAATCGAAATCCTCCAGCTAAATAATATTTAGGCATATCCTCCAGCTAAATATTTCTGGCAGTTTGAAAATGGAACTAGAACTAGAAGTGGACAATATCTTAAATATCCTTCAGCTATCAGGTAGAAACACCCTAACAAAATATTTACTTTATTTTCTGTTTGAACATCATCGCAAATTTGTTTCCTAACAGTTTCACTTGTGATAAGGGATTATATTTTCTGCGTTTAAAATCTGTTTAATCTTTACTCATCGTTAATTTTCCATCACGCGGACAAGCCCATTATGTAACTTGTCGTTTCAAAAATCTACTGAAAGTTCCATTAATGAGTTTAAACTGAAAATTTTGTAAGATTTTGTACGGAGTTTTGTTCATTTTCAAAAACTTCAAGTTTTTGATGGAACTTTTCGCAGCTTATACTGTTATCAAAATTTTAGATGACTTAAACCGTGAGTATTTTAATTTTATTTCATTTTGCTTCTTTTAAAGATGTTTTTGTCAAGGCGATCTGATGGAGGTGTTTACACTTGCACAGCATACAATACCCTGGGGAATATTCAGGATACAAGTAAGTGCACTGTAGTCTGTACAGCAGAGCCTTGTAATTTCTGGGAAATTTAGAGGCTTGCTTGGCTCTCCCGAGTACTGTAGATTAGATCTTTTATTCAAGCAAAAAAGCCAGCAATTGTCACAAATCGGTATGGGCTTTAGATTTTTCATGATTTTTCGACTTTTTATATATTTTTTCATTTTAGTTTTTTCTTCTTATTCCCAAAATAAAATATTGAATTTCCCGACAAAAAACGTCTTCTTTTACGTTGTATGATTGTCAGATAGGTTACTGTGAGTTGTGACAGTTAAAGAAAGTGCTGTTTTCAGAGTATTTCAAGTAAAAAAACAGCATTTTTTAATTGTTGAAGGGTTGGCTCTGTGCTCAATGATATACCAAATTCTTATAACATCCATGGCTTGTTCTTGTATTTATAAAAAAACTACTTCCAACAGGTTTTAAATTAACGACATGAGTAAATGAATTTTAAAATATTCTAGTGTCTTTTTATGTATTTCTTATAGTGTCTGTCAGTCATTGGGCCTTAGTCGTATTAACTATGCACATAAAGTCCACTATTACAATCTACACCAGTTTTTTCTAATTAATCCACTATAGTCTTACTTGTACAATGTATTATATTTAAAGTCCCTAATCACTTGAAAGTTCCAGCTGTAAAGACTGGAATATATCGAAATTTGTTTAGCATTAATATGTGGAACGAAATCCCACAAGATGTGAAAAATGCAAAGAACCTGAATAGTTTCAAGAATAAACTAGATGAATGGCTAAACTACTGAATGGTCAACATAGACAAAAGATTGAGATGTTTTAATTATCACACCAATGATACAATAGCATAAATTCACCAATTAAACCAATTAAACCAATTAAACCAATTAAACCAATTAAATCATCGGTCTGTGCAGTTCTAAGTAGTAAGTAGTTGACTTGACTATGACTATCTCTTCATCCTATTCATACTATTAGTCCTTCTAATCATAGTCCCTCTGTCCTTGTTATTGAGTAAAGGGCTAATCCTGTGTTCTTCTTATAGTCTGCAAAAGTTCTAATAGTTCGATATAATCCTTATTTCTTATTTAATTTTCAGATAACCTTAAATGATATGTATTGTAATACTCATTAGAAGTAACATATATACAGTTTTTTGAGAGAATGAATTAAGTATGTCTGACTTTCTTTTAGTCGAAAACGAAAACATAATTTGAAATTCTATTAGAAATGATGCGCGAAGCGCCAAAGAAAAAATGTTGGTATTTTTTCTTAATTGGGATAATTTTATGAAAGATGGTCCACAATCATGATCATGCTAGAGTCAAGTGAGGGGAGTGAGGGGGGGGGGCAAAATATGGTTAGGAGAAGGAGCAAAACTCGGGTCGCCCCCCCTAGTTGCGCCACTGTATTTATATGAAATCATTTCTGACACCCCTAGGCTTAGTACGCCAATATAATTCACCAAAACCATAATGCAGGCCTTCAAGTATCATACAGGGAAATTTTTATCTTTGTAAACATCCCAGGGAAAGATTTTACAGGTTCTTTTATAATTTTTCTAAAAATTGTTTAAATCGTCATCTTAAAATTTTTACAATTTGCATCCATTTGTCTTAATGATCTTATCCCTTCTAAATCATCTAAATTGTCTGAATTAGTTCGACAAACTTGAGAATGTTGTTTCTTAGTTAGTATAGTTTGGTAAACTAAATATATATATATATTCAGCAGTATATCAGTACACTTCTACATACACCCCTAACTTTCATATTTAAACATCCTTTGAACATTTAGAAACATTTTCCTTTCAACCCTGGTTATAGTTTATATGCCAAAACCAGGCGGTAAATAGATAGATAGAGAAATAGGTAGATAGATAGATAGATAGATAGATAGATAGATAGATAGATAGATAGATAGATACATATATAGATAGATAGATAGATAGATAGATAGATACATAGATAGATAGATAGATAGATAGATAGATAGATACATAGATAGATAGAAGTGTTTGGCTTGATTGATTAACTGATTAATTGAATGCTGATTTATTGATTGATTGATTGTTTAAATATTTCTGTTTTCAGCAAGTTTAAATGTTGTGTATAAACCTGACTGCAGCATAAACAAGGATATTAAAGATGGCATCTTATATCTCAGGTTAGAATATTAATTATGCTAAAGGGACTGTCTTTGTACTTTCAAGTGAACTTTAATTAAAAATAGTTAGGCACGCACATTGCACAATTAATAAGGGTACCCTGTAAACCTTTCTCTCATCAATAATAATGATGATTTTTTTCTAGCTTTAAAGGGAGTGTTCGGTAAAAAATTAAAGGGGGTATAGGCATATGGCGAAAAATAAGCGCTTTTGATCGCTACTAATCTTACTTCTGTCTGTTGCGTCTATAAGGAGAAAATTGTTAAAAACGACTTATGCTAAATAACGTAGCATCCACCCAAATTGAGAAAGTTGCAATCCACGCCTATACCCCCTTTCATTTTTCGCGAATATTCCCTTTAAATGTGAAATTCTCTCAATTTTCTCGACAGGTTCAGAAGCAGAAATGCGCACAACTGCGCACAGATAAAAATAAATAATATTTTAAATTAAGAAATAATGAATAGTATTCTCTTGCATTCTTGTCACTACTTCAGACAAATTTTAAAAGGGTAACGTGTAGAATCGTAAATGCCACTTTACAAATATTATTATTAGTTTTAGTTCAAAACTGCAGAGCAAAATTCAATAATAAAGACTATTATTAACAACATTTATGAAGAAAGACAAGGACAACTATTCCCATTATTAAAGAATTTTCTAAAATCAACATTGTTTTATCTAATGACAGAAGTCAGTATGTTCATCATTAAATTCCTTAAATCCAGGGGTTCTCCAAAACTTTAGTCAAATCTGGAACCAGAATTAAAAAAGGGTCGGTTTAAGTGATTTAAAAGGTACAGTAAACGTATTTTTAAGTGACTCTCTTCATTTTAAGGGACGTAAGTTCCAAACCGCAATTTGGCCCATGCATTTCTAACACTTAATGTCTATTTCAGGGCTTGAAAAACCCCCCTGGCCTGTCATGCACTTAATGATGAACTACAATAACTTCTGTCATTAGTTAAAACAAATGGTTTAGTTTCTTATTTTCTATTTACACAACTCGGTACAGGTTTTATAAAATAAAAGGCTAAATCTTAAATGTCGCTTATAACTTAAATCTATTGCTTATCAATTCAAATCACCAAAATCGACGACTTATTTATTTAAAGTTTCAAACCCTTAAACTCCCTACTTTTTTAGAATTTTCTATCAATCAATCAATCACGATTTTCTGAAAAATGTTGCACCATTCATGATCAAAGGAGGGGAGGGGGAGGGCGCGGGGGGGTTACAATAATTCAAAAACATTCCTTAACTTTTCACTCATAAGACACTTTTTAAGTCTAAAAGATGAGAAAAAACCGCAAGACAGCCTATATTTAATATCAAATAGTAGACAATGATCCATATTTTCAGGTTTTTTATTACATATTATTAAAAGCAAATATAATAATTTTAAAGAAACCAACTAATTCTAGCTTTTTTACTAGCTGTGAAGTTGATGCTTTCCCGCCTAACGTGACGTACTATTGGTATCAAGGAGACACACTTATATCATGTAAGATTTATGCAGTAAAATATTTATATGTTTACACAGTCCTTCACAAAAGTAGGCATAAATCTGAAGACCGGAAACTTCTCTGATACAGTCATTAACTTATTGAATTTTGTCTTCTGCATTTAAAAAAGGCTTTTAATGGATTATTAAATGATTTTACACAAGTGAAGGAAAGCTGTAGAAAATTATGTAAAAAATCTAGGAAAGCTGCAGGAAACTATGTAAAATTGTAGGAAAGCTGCAGGAAACTTTGTAAAAATGTAGGAAAGCTGCAGGAAACCATGTATGTAAAAATGTAGGAAAGCTGCAGGGAACCATGCATGTAAAATTGTAGGAAAGCACCGGGAAACTAGGTAAAAAATGTAGGAAAGCTGCAGGAAGCTAGGTAAAAACGTATGAAAGCTTCAGGAAACCATGCAAAAATGTAGTAAAGCTGCTGCACGAAGCCATGTAAAATTGTAGGAAAGCTGCAGGAAACCATGTAAAAATGTAGGAAAGCTGCTTCAGGAAACCATGTAAAAATGTAGGAAAACTGCTTCAGAAAACCATGTAAAAATGTAGGAAAGCTGCTGCAGGAAACTATGTAAAATTGTAGGAAAGCTGCATGAAACCATGTAAAAATGTAGTAAAGCTGCTGCATGAAACCTTGTAAAATTGTAGGAAAGCTGCAGGAAGCTAGGTAAAAATGTATGAAAGCTTCAGGAAACCATGTAAAAATGTAGTAAAGCTGCAGGAAACCATATAAAAAAGACGTAGCTGATTTTGTACAGTCGTCTTTAATGTGCCATTACTTCTGGGAATATAGCTGGCCCTGTATGTGAACGCTTAAATTTCTTATTTTAATTTAGAAATATAAAAGTTGTGAAAATCCAATTAAATGAAACTGTCGCATTTGCAAAAATAAAGTAGAGTATTCGCAAATTTTAAGTCAAAATATTTTCTTGTTTTTGCAAGCTCTCAAGAATTTCGTAAAGATAAAAGGGGTCTCCGGCAAAATTTCAAACAATTGGGGTACGACAAAAAAATCCTAAAGTACTTTTATCAGCTTTCATGATAATTTGAATGGCTTTTTTGTATGATTTTTTTGCTGTTTAGTTTTTAATGATTCATTTTATTCAAAAAGCCGGCAAGTTTAAATAATAATGTTTTATTTGGCAATGATTGAAAAAAGGATTAACTTAAACACTTAAAGGGAGAGACTGGCTAGACATGGTAGTTGAGCTGAGAGTGCAGTATTGTACAGACATTTTTCAGGATTCCTTTTAGAGTAAGAGTAAAAATTTTATCTTAAAAATCCTCCTGGATTGTCGCGTAAAAACCTGCCACAATGTGCGGGGCGGGCTTATGGGGCAATACCAGCGGGGTAGGCGTGCTGCGCTACATCCTGCGGGGGGGGGGGGGACAGGCGCCATGAGAATTTTAATGATGTAATTTTCGCCTGGCTAAAAAATTGTACATCGTAAAAATCCTAAAATATCATATGAATCCTGAAAAATGTCTCTACAATACTGTACTCTCAGTTCAACTACCATGTCTAGTCAGCCTCTCCTTCTAAATAAAAAAAGAGTTTAATGATAAAAAAGTTTATTTTCTAAGTTTTCACGAGTTTGTTATTTCAGCCGCAATATTCTCTTCAGCTACACAGTTCGAGGTCTCTAAGGAAAATAGTAAATTATCAAATACTGGAAATTATAGAATTTCAATGTTTTTAATATTTAATGAATATTTTCACTATAAGAAAACATTTCAAGAGGTGGCAACAGAGAAATGGAACAATTATTCACAACGTCACAAGTGTCAAATATAACAAGGAAAACGAAATTTTCACATATTTGTTGACATGTTTTACAAGATTAAATAAAAAAGTGTTAAAACAGAAAAAGCACTTTATTCTAAAATTATCACTATTATTAATAATTTTGTCGGACACAAAAACTGAATTGACACTTGTGACATCAGAATACAGCTGTACTGAGAGTGTGCAAATTCTACGTTGCCATCTATTGTACTGGAATCTATTTGGGTTTTTTAAAGAACATTTTCATTGGATTTTTATGTGAACTTTATTGCTGATACAAACATTTCTTTGCTTATAAATTTACTGTGTATTATTTACTGAGCTCATATCGACGTTAATATTTTAAGTCATTGACCATTCACTAGATACAGTAATAACCAGTAAACTGTACAATAGGAAGACGACATCAAAGCAATTGATATTACAAAGAAAATAGCTTTACTAATAAGTTTAATTAAGTTGATCTGTTTACACTGCACAATTGGTGTGACTCATGTTCAATGTTCATTGGACTAATAAAGTCATAATTTGAGCCTATAAGTCGACTTCCTTTTTAACATTCATTCTTTTATACAAATTATAAACATGTAAAAATATGTTGGTTTAATTATTTTCTTTGAATTTACTGTTTTGTGGGCCCAGGGTATTGTTGGGGAATTCTCTTGTCAAGCCATTAATCTGGCAGGTCTAGGGCCCAAATGTACTGTACAGGTAAACCAAAAGCAATTAATCTAGCAATTCTAGGGCCCAAATGTACTGTCCAGGTAATTTAATATCAATGAATCTAGCAGGTCTAGGGCCAAAATGTATTGTCTAGGAAAACTAAAAGCAATTAATGGCAGGTCCAGGGCCCAAATGAACTAAAAAGGTGATCAAAAAGCAATGAATCTAGCAGGTCCAGGGCCCAAATGAACTACAAGGGTGATCAAAAAGCAATAAATCTAGCAGGTCCAAGGCCCAAATGAACTAAAAGGGTGATCAAAAAGCAATGAATCTAGCAGGTCCAGGGCCCAAATGAACTAAAAATGTAATCAAAAAGCAATAAATATATAGCAGATCCAGGGCCCAAATGAACTACAAGGGTGATCAAAAAGCAATAAATCTAGCAGGTCCAGGGCCCAAATGAACTAAAAGGGTGATCAAAAAGCAATAAATCTAGCAGGTCCAGGGCCCAAATGAACTACAAGGGTGATCAAAAAGCAATAAATCTAGCAGGTCCAGGGCCCAAATGAACTAAAAGGGTGATCAAAAAGTAATAAATCTAGCAGGTCCAGGGCCCAAATGAACTACAAGGGTGATCAAAAAGCAATAAATCTAGCAGGTCCAGGGCCCAAATGAACTAAAAGGGTGATCAAAAAGCAATAAATCTAGCAGGTCCAGGGCCCAAATGAACTAAAAGGGTGATCAAAAAGCAATAAATCTAGCAGGTCCAGGGCCCAAATGAACTAAAAGGGTGATCAAAAAGCAATAAATCTAGCAGGTCCAGGGCCCAAATGAACTAAAAGGGTGATCAAAAAGCAATAAATCTAGCAGGTCCAGGGCCCAAATGAACTAAAAGGGTGATCAAAAAGCAATAAATCTAGCAGGTCCAGGGCCCAAATGAACTAAAAGGGTGATCAAAAAGCAATAAATCTAGCAGGTCCAGGGCCCAAATGAACTAAAAGGGTGATCAAAAAGCAATAAATCTAGCAGGTCCAGGGCCCAAATGAACTAAAAGGGTGATCAAAAAGCAATAAATCTAGCAGGTCCAGGGCCCAAATGAACTAAAAGGGTGATCAAAAAGCAATAAATCTAGCAGGTCCAGGGCCCAAATGAACTAAAAGGGTGATCAAAAAGCAATAAATCTCGCAGGTCCAGGGCCCAAATGAACTAAAAGGGCGATCAAAAAGCAATAAATCTAGCAGGTTCAGGACCCAAATGAACTAAAAGGGTGATCAAAAAGCAATAAATCTAGCAGGTCCAGGGCCCAAATGTACTGTAAAGAACTGCTTATTCGCCCATACGCAAAATATCTGAAAAACAAATAAAATGCCCTCTTTATATGAGATTTTAAACATTTTCAAAAGCTGTAAAGTAACAATTTTGAGGAAAAATCTGTTGTTCATCAAAGAAACTGAACACTTGCCTCAAACTCAAATTTTCAGATATTCATATCTTTGAAACCTTATTTTGTATATCTAATTAATATTTAAGACTATGAATTTTGTTAGATCAAATATTCTAATAGGTTGCAAACATTTAATTAGGAATGAGAAAAATAGAGTTTCTTTTAACAATTAATTTTAGATTTAAAATTTGTTTAAATTACAATCTGAATAATGAGGAAAATTATAATTAGTTGATAGAACTCAATAAACCTGGATAATAAACCCTGAAAACTGAATACTGCAGTAATTTCAAGCTTTATTTACTGTCGTTAAATAAAACCTGTAAAAGACAAGTTAATGCAATAAAAAGTGCAGCAGTCAAATATTTCTATTTTTGTAATAAAACAACTATGTGTTTGTCACATTCAATTTTATACGAATAATACAAAAGTAACATGATTTAACGGAGTTCACAGTTTGAAATATCAATTTGGTCTAAAACATCAGGTTTCAAAGATAAAGGATTAAAAAATCAGAGCTTGTGGCTAGAGCTAAGTTCCTTTAGATATTTAAATTTAGCATGGTGGCCATAAATATGTAAAATCATTCTCGTCTTCGTTCTTTCTTTAAATTATAAAATGTCGCCATAGGATGAAACCATTTTCTTAAATTTTGCTTGGTTGACTCGTCCTAACCACGGGAATGTTCTTGACTTAAGTTTAAAATACTCAGTTGAGTATAGGTTGACTTTTATAGAGGAATTTAGTTTCTAGGTAAAGGCATTTTAGACAAGGTAATAAAGTTATAAATATCTAATTCAATTCAGGAAGTGTTCATATACCACATTTTTAGAAATAACAAAATCTTTAGTGATATTATAAAATTATAAGAAATAAGGAAGGCAATAATGTTACATTATTCTGTTGACCACATTAGTGATTTTATTGTGATACCATTCGTTCTAATAACATCTTATTATTTTAGATAAATGACCCGGCGACCATTTTGGTTGAAGAAGACGACTTTGCCTATCTAACATTTGGCGGCATTTTCATCTCAATCTTTGCACTGTCCCTTCTTCTCTCAATTATTTTTTGCAGGTATGCTATTCAATATATTTTTTCTTTCTTTTTATGATTTTTATTTGTTTAAGAAAGAAGAAGGAGGAAAAATATGACATCACTGTAATTCACGAGGTTCAAGAAGATCTAACAATTAGGTGGGATTCTAGTGTTAAAACATTTCATAGAAACTAGACAGGATATTTCATGGCGGGACAGCTCATAGATAGAACGTTTTATGGAATACATTTCCATTTCATATGCATGATATTTCATGGACAGAGGATTTCATGGACATGATATTTCATATACATGATATTTCATATACATGATATTTCATTGACATGATATTTCATATACATGATATTTCATATACATGATATTTCATATACATGATATTTCATGGACAAAGCATTTAATGGACAGTGTATTTTATGGAAAAGAAATTTCATCAAAAAGACATATAATAGACAGGACATTTAAAACATAGTCCATTTCATAGACAGATATTTTTATAGACAAAGCAATTCATAGAAAAGCAATTTCTTAGACGTCATTTCCATAAACAGGAAATTTTATAGACATGACAGTTCACAGAAAGACATTTCATAGAATACATTTCCATGCACAGGACATTTCAGGATATTTTTTGGACAGAACAATTCATAGAAAAGACATTTCCTTGAACAGGATATTTCATATAGACACAATAATAGACATACTATGTTTTGTTTTATCATCGAAATATCTTATCATTTCTTATGAAATGTCTATTTCTATAAAATTTCTTATTCATGATTTTATCTATGAAATGGAGATCTACATAAAGTAAGATGCATGTTATAACGCAAATATCTGTAAAAGTAGCTTAATTGTTTTTTTATATATATAAAATCGTCTGTTCACTGTGAACAACTAAAAAATGTTAAATTTTCATCAAACAAAATTTGTCGGGGCATCGATCCGGAGAAAAATTCAACTTATTAGCATCTTACGTCAAATTTATCATTCATTAATATCTGAAGAATCGAGATACTAAGCTGATTTTTTCATTAATATTGAATGTATCTGTCGTAAAGGTGAATTATAATACTATAGAATTTTGAATCTTTTTTGGACAAATAAAATTTTTATTATTTTTCCGAGTTTTTAAAAAACAAGTAATTAAAACTGAATTAATAATTAATAGAAAAAGATTTTTATTAGACAAATAATTTAAAAATAATCAAATTATTGACAATTAAAAAATTTTGAAATTTCAGAACCCGAGAAGAGAAAACAGCTAATTTAGAGTCCAAGGTCTGACAAAAAAATTATTAAAAAAAATAAGACAATAAAAAATATAAAACTGTTTCAGACCCTAACTGTTGACAGACGAAACCCAATTATAAAGGACGAATTAAAGAATGGAAATGAACCGCTAATGCCGACAACCCCAGGCTTTTCAAAATCGGAGACTGTTCTGAGCGGAAAAAGATTTACTGAGTGTGCTCAAGAAATTACCAGAAACGGAGACAACTTTTTACAATGTGAGGAGACCGACGAAAACGGAATTAGGGTTTCCGATCGTGTTCTAGAAACTGGCGGAAATGGACTGATGTTCTCCAAATGTCCGGAAACAAGCGGAAACGGTAACAGATATCTGGAAAGCACTGAAGAGACAGCCGGAAGCAGAACCAGATATCTTGATAGCACTGATCAGAAAATCGGAACCGGAAACAGATATGATTGTGCATCAGACGGGACAGCAAACAGATATATAGAATCAGGAAAAAATAGTGTAAACGGATTTTACGATACCACTCCGGAAAAGTATAACCGACTTAGTTTACCAAGAAGAGATCAACGCTACATGTTTGATGGTAGTAGGTCTGAACATAATTTTAATGAACTTGAACATTTACCCTATGTTAGTGAACAGACAGTTAATAATGGATATCAAATACCTTCACAAATAGATGTATATCCACCAAGAGGGGAGGAATACATCCATTCCTTACAGACTGGGGGTAATGGAACCCTAAGACTTGCTGGAAATAGATCAATGCAAAATGGAGAAAATGGAACACATCGATCACGTGGAAATGGAACATTTTATACAAGTGAAAATGGAACGTTTCATTCACGTGGGAACGGTGCACTACACAATAAAGGGAATGAATACTTTAATCAAATAGAGGACTCTGTTCCAGTTTTACGTTCAGGAACGTTAAAAAATCCACGAGGTGCGTTGTCAATCTCTTAAAATTTGGTCGCTGATAAATGACAAATGTCGTCTTGTTCGAGACCAACCTTAAAATTGAATTCAACTCTCAGCAAGATCGAGATTTTTTCCCCCCAATCCTTAATTTAGATTAATATATGCATGTCTTTTTCACAGAACAAAAATTAAGCATTGTTTTTTTTCGTTTGGTTTCGTTTTTAAAACGTTTAATAAAACTTCGAACATTTAATTTGTTTAGCATGTTAAAAATAGCCTTTTTTCATTTTGCCAAATTTTGAACCTTAATGAACACAAATGTAAAAAAAAATAACGAGCATACTAAAACAAATATTTTTAGTTTGTTGTTGCTTTTTTCTCTCAGGATTAAAATATTGTTAAATTTAAAAAAGCAAACTTTAACAGTTGTACAATTTTTGAAATTTTAGAAGTGTTACTAAAATGATTAACAACCCTATAGCCTCCTGAGCAATTAACTAAAATTATCAGAACGTATAAAATGTATTAACCTAAATCATATACTGTTAAAAATTTCAAGATCTATTTTTTTAATGATTGACAACACTAACCCAGATCATAGAGAGCACAGATCAAGACGGAAGACAAAGAGTTTAGTGAGGACGCCAACAGAACTCTGGTTGGTCTAACCACTCTAAAACAGAACTATGGTTGGTCTAACCACTCTAAAACAGAACTCTGGTTGGTCTAACCACTCCAAAACAGAACTCTTATTGGTCTAACCACACCAAAACAGAACTCTGATTGGTCTACCAACTACAAAACAGAGCTCTGGTTGGTCTATCAACTTCAAAACAGAACTCTGATTGGTCTAACAACTCCAAAACAGAACTCTGGTTGGTCTATCAACTTCAAAACAGAACTCCGGTTGGTCTAACAGCTCCAAAACAGTACTCTGATTGGTCCAAAAACTCTGGAATTTTATTAACAGAAGTCTGATTGGTCCAAAAACACTGGATTTGTCAAGAGACAGAACAAAGTTTGGTTCAAAAACTTTGGATGTTAATTAACAGAACTCTGATTGGTCTGAAAGCTTTTGTTGATCTTAAAACAAATCGTATGGTTGTTTTGAAGAACTTTTATATTGCTGTTCTTGTGGTATAATCTTATTAAAGGTACTGTAGACGTAATTTCAAATTACCTCCGGTATGAAAAGTGGTATGCCAGATTCACAACCGTACCCCTTAATCTTTATCTCAGCGACTATATGAAATATATCGTCGTTTCTCTGAATAAGGTTTTTGTTCATTAAAATATGTTTTTTGTCGGTCACTTTTTTACAGAAACCACATCAATTAAATATTATAAATGTTTAGATATAAAAACGAGGATATGAGTCAAAGGTGTAAAGGGTACTGTTGTGAATCATGTGTACCTCTTTTCTAATTGCCACTAGAAGTTGCGTCGACAACCCCTTAAAGTGAGAAAAAAGAATGATTAGTTTGACAGTATTTTATAAATAGTTGACACAGCTGTATACAATATACAGTATACATGGCCAAATTATAGATATTGTTGATGATTAAATTGTTAAAATGTTTGTTTTGCTTCGAGAATAGAATCTTTATAAATTGTAGTTTATTTATTTAAATATTTGTCGACTTTTATATTTTTTTGTTCTACGCGGCATTTTTCGTTATCGTGGTTTTTAGAATAGTATTTATTCTAAAACTGACATTTACTTGCCTCGGGATTTCCAAATTGTGGTTTATAATTTTTGTTCTTTCGAAATTGATGGTGATATCGAGAAATTCGTCCAATTCGTTAAATATATCAACAACCTTTTTCAGATGGATAATATCTTCGCCATTTTTTAAAGCTTTTAACATAAAGTCTTTTCTTGATACTCTCTGTGTCATTTATCAATAACCGGAATTCGAAGACTATTTGTAAGTCTCATCGCTTAATTCCATGTTTATTAGGACACCCAGTATGTTATGGCATTCGTTTGTGCAAAATTGATTCTTAAAATGTTAAATACAGGGTTACTCAAAAAGGATGAGACTTCAGAAACGACTGTTTCCTAATATTCATGGTTCCCTGCAACTTTTACCTTGTTTCGTTCTTCATAAATCAAACATTTAACGACTATATTTAAGGAAAAAGGCTGAATTTAAACTTCATCATATTTAAAGAGTTTCAGGTCGTCTTCAATGGCGCATTCTATCGTTCAGTTTTCCCTTTACGCCCTAGAGTGGAAAATATAATTACTTCTTTGGTTGAATTTACGTATGTCAAAACTTTTTTCTATTAAATTATACAGAGCATCCTATATAATATTGGATTATCTCTGCATGAACATCTTATATTATTATTATTATAGATTTATTTCGTGCACAAAGGTAAAATGGTATAAGATGAGTATAGAATATATTAATATAGTTTCTAGTCGAAACATAAAAAGTTTGCGCTCTTATTATCAACAAAATTGTTTAGAACAAAATTATCATCTTTAACTTTTGGTAATCCAAGAATTTTTATTCTTGGTCTAAAGGAATCTGAGCTGAAAACTTTAGAATGAGATATCCTTAATCCCGATCTGTTCATTAATCTGGAGATTAAATTCATGAGGACAACAAGCAATATTTAATCTGGAGATTAAGAAAAAGAGTGAATCAAGCATTAATCCCGATATCCACCATTCTTAAGTTCCCAGCTCTGATTGTATATCAAATTTTGTTTCACAAAAAATTTGTTTAGATTTCTAGATTGTACATTACAATCTTGTGCAATAGATTAAAGATTTTTACATAAAACAGTTCTTAAATCATGTTTACTTAGATCTACTTGTTGTATGAAAATTTTGTCTGGTTAATAATTGTCAACAGAATATTTTTTATGTATTCCTTATTTATGTTTGTTTACAAATATTAATTGTTGATGAATGGAAATGTAAACAAACACGCCAGTTGTGTTGTGAATCCGGAGCTTAGAGCGACAACTGAACTGAGTTGAATTGAATTGAATTGAACTGAATTGAATTGAAACTGAAAGACGGGACATTCTGGTTTGGAGCCTGTTCTTTAATTGCATCTTTATTGCAAGTTCATCTCTCCATCTGTGGTTCTGCCCGGAAAAGTAAGCATAAACCTTTATTTTAAGTTTACTTGAAATTTGTCTTTTTTTTGGAAGTTTCCGCAACCCATGAAATTTGCCTTTTCGGAAGTTTTTGCAACTCGATTCTTTTTGCAACTAATGAAATTTGCCTTCTTGGAAGTTTCAGCAATTCATTCCATTTCGCAACGTTTTACCACATTTTGCAACGTTATTGCAACTTTTGCAGCGATACCTTTAATCTTTGCAACGTTACTGCAACCTTTCTTATTTATTGCAACTTTCTTACATTGCAATTATTGGCAAAATGCTTTAAGTTTGCCAATTTTATTCATTGCATTTATTATGCAAAAGTTTTACCATGCAATTTATTACATGGTTTTAATTTGAGAGATACAGTGGTCTTCATAATTACCGAGTTTTTTCTCATAAAAGTATTACTTTTAAAAGTACAGTGGTCCTCATAAATACCGAGTCACCAGTGCTTTAGTCAATGCTAATAATATGGTTAAATAGCCATAATAATTTATTGATTAGCACCATTATTGCATTCCAATTAAAGTAAACAGAGTTGAGTTTGATTAATACTATGGTTTAAGCTTTAAACTTATGAATTATAAGCTTAACTTTAGCTTCTTTACAGCTGTAACTATTGGACCTTTTATGGGACCCTTATGGCTGTAAACTTTTAAATGCTTGTTTAACCCAACTCTTGTTTAGTTCGGAAGAGTCTTGCGAATCTGTCAGTGTCACAGAGCTCTCTATTTCCAAGAGTGGAATTTATATATTTGTATTTAAAGTAATAAATTATTGTTCAGTTATTCTTGTTTCATTTTAAAACCACATATACAGAATCACTTTAAATTTCCTGCTATTGCAGACAGGGTATTATTTTTCTGCAACACTACTGTCGAATATACATATAGTGAAACCCTTAATAACCAATACATCGAAAGAATTTATCAAATGTCGTATTCTTCACTTTCTGATAATGGAATGTTGCAGATATTTAGTTTTTTATTATATTAAATGATTATATGGAACTCTTTAAAACTGTTCCCGCATATTCATGGCTATTTATTTATTTTCGCAAATACTGAAATTTACGTAATATAGTATAAAACTCATTGAAAAATTGTCAAGACGACATTTGATAAATTCTTCCGATGTATTCGTTATTAAGGGTTTCACTGTATCTTATGACAATTTGATGAACTGGTCACAATTTGTACAAAACGAGTGCATAAATCCCAAATATTTGAGACATAGAAATCACAATTACATATATATCATACAATCTTAACACTGTGGATGTATGAAATGAAATTCTTGATTAAGAGTATTTGTATCTTAGAAATAAATTTAGCACGTTTACAGCTAACATCTTTTGTCATAGAACCATTAGATTGCAGTGTGTTGCCAAGATTTTAATTTCCCTTACATAGGGTAAAAAGGGTAAATTATATAAAAGTATCGGGCAAATATTATCAGTATTCATGACAGGGTTACTGAAAACTATATACAGGGCGTCCCAAGAAAAATGAGAGTTTATTAATAGTTTAGAATGTCTTCTTCCATAATTTGTTATGATGATTGATACACAAATAAAAATATTATATGGGAGTCATATTATATAGCAAACTTGATTTCAAAGTAAAATATATTTGAACAAAAGATTTCTTTAACGAAATAAACTGCAAAAAACTTTCATATTATAATACAGTATATGGAAGACGACATTTAAAACTATTTATCGACTGTCATGTTTCGTGGGACACCCTGTATTTTGTTATTGATTTGGTAACGTCTCTACATTTGTGCTAAACTTCAACTGCTGAAATAATTCAAGTTTTCGTTCTTTTTTCAATAAAAAATGTGCATAGGTTATTGAGATATTTAAGTTTTATACAATTGCGTATTAAATTAACAAAATCCTTTGCGGAATTTCTCTAATAAGGTCAAAATGAAAAGGACAATTGCTTAAAAACTAAACTTATTACTCATCTTACTAAGTTAATATCGACCTGAAATTTCTTAAATATGGTAAATATCGTCTTCATTGGTAAATCATTTGAACAAGTTGAGAGCTGCAAGGACCTAAATGTAGAAAAAAATACAGTCTCCTCCGCAGTCTCATCTTTTGTGGGTATCACTGTGCATCAGATTAGTCATAATCTCAATGATAAATTTCTAATATTTCCAAAATGAAAATCCATGAAAACGACTTTTAAAAGGCTTTAGATGAAATAAAGGCGAGGGGGGTAGTGTTTATAACACATTTTATTGGGACTTATTCTACAGAGCGTCCCATACATAGAGAATAGAATGTTCTCTATGGTCCCATATCATATTAGATTATCTCCAATCTTTAACGTAAAAATACTCACATAATACTCGAAAAATCTAGCATTTTCTGCAAAAAATAAATTCTATCAGCCTTATTAAATTTTTCGAAATGATTCATTCTTTTTAAATTTTCTGATTTGTCCCCCAAATCGTAATTTAGACCCACTGACACGGTCTAATTTGATGTGGGACACCCTGTACTAATTCTAATGCAACGTAATTCACTATGACCTCTATCATCAAATTGTATTACAACAATAACAAAGGGTAAACAAATGTCGGAACTTACATGGTCAGAGTAGTAAAGTCACGACTTACGAAATCATTTACTATCTCCAGTTTATATGTTTTTAAGCTGCAGTTCCCGAGCTGTCATACTCCTACAGGGTTAAGCTGCAGTTCCCGAGCTGTCCTACTCCTACAGGGTTAAGCTGCAGTTCCTGAGCTGTCCTACTCCTACAGGGTTAACTACAACTAATGAGACTTTCAGAGATGACTGTACGGAATTTGTAATTTCTGTTTCTATACATAAATGATTCCCTGAAAATATGGACTTCTTTCTTTCTTTGCCAAATCATCAAATAAGCCATTTAAAGCCCACATTCAAGGCATAACTGGGAAACATTGTACTTGTAAAATTTCAAGTCGTCTTTACATTCTAATTCTTACTTTCTGAGTAAACCCTATGTAAACGTCTCAGTAACATGAACGCAACTCCTATCGACTCCGCCTAACATCTAATCGCCGTCAAATACATCCAAAAAACAGAAATAAAAGTCGCTGCAAAATATCATTTTCCAACTACATTATTCTTTTTTAACACATTTTTAAAATTCATATATTTGATTCATATATTTATATGTATAATTGTAAGTAATATCATTAGTGCAATAATATTCTACAATAACTGTATCCGGATTATAATATCCTACAAGCTTGAACTAATAAACAATTGAACTAGAAAAATTAATTCGAAAACAATGTAAATTTAAAGCATAGAAATGATTGCCTGATTTAAGAGTTAGAGCTTTAAAGTAAGATTATAAGCTACATATCAATGAATTTCAACTCTAGTTTTATAGGTTGAACTTAATCCTTAATATTAAGTTCAACTCTACAATCGATAAGCTAACTCCTTACTTCTGGGCTGTTTACTTCTAAACCAGGAAGGACTAGAGGACTGATTAAACAAAAAGGTAAAAAAGGAAATTTTGAAACACACCGGCAAGGGTAGAGAGTGAGAGAGACTAAAGAGAAAAAATAAACAGAAATCAGTTCGTACAGTGTGAACTGACACTGCTAATTTGTGTATAATACAATGAGAATCATAAAACTGTGGATTAGGAAGACGACTTGCGATCTTATGGTCCATTGAACATGAAACACTGCAATTGACTCTGATCAATTGTATTAAAATTTGACTTTCAAGCCATTGAAAAAACTTTATAGTTTTTAACGGCAAGAACTACGCTCATAAAATGCATAAATGTCGTCTTAAAATTCTATACTTTAATGGATCTCACTGTATGTATATGTACAAAGTTCAGTGTACACTGTACTGGCTGTACAACAGTGTTCAAATTAACATATTGCACAGTGTACAGTGAACACAACAGTAAAGTTTACAATAAAAATATATTTAATTTTACAAGTTTGCACAAATACTGATTTATTGGATAAACTGCAACCCACGCCGTGTTAATTAAATTTTTCAGAAAAAAAATCTTCAAAATAATTCAGACATGATTATGTCATGCATGAATGCAGAGAAACAAAGAAAATTAAAGAATATCATTAAAAAAATAATTATGAAACTTTTTCCTATATGTTTTAATATTTTTTCTTAGGTTTCATCGTGAGTTTTTTTAAAGTTAACTTTAGTATTGGAAGGGGAAGTACTAGTCCCTAATGGTTTGGTTCTCATTGTTTACAATTCAAATATGGATCACATTTAATTCCTACAGTGTGACCTCAAAAACATGATAAGATTTTTAAGCCTTCTGGTGCAATTAAAATTCTCCAAGTTTCAATTCTGGAGGAGTTTTTTCTTAACATTATAAAATCCTTTTCATTCTTTTTCTTGGACACCCTGTAGAAAATGATGTTGAAAAAATGGTGAACGTGATGTTATATGAGTTGGTATTCGCGCTGTTTAGGTTAAACTTTGAATAAACAATGGTTCTGTATAATCTCAGAATAGTATTCTCCAAACACCTGAATATAGTTAATTTTTAGAAATATTATTTTAATTATAATCATTATTATAATTATTATAATTATTTAGATTATTTAGATTCATTATTAACATTATTATCACTATTACCATTATTATCACTATTACCATTATTACCATTATTATCATTATTATCATTATTATCATTATTATCATTATTATCATTATTATCATTATTATCATTATTATCATTATTATCATTATTATCATTATTACCATTATTATCATTCTTACCATTATTATCATTATTATCATTATTATTATACCTATTGTCATTATTAACATTATTTTATTTATCTAAATTATCAATACATTTGACTTACTACATACTAGTACTACATTAAAACTGTTAAAAAGGAAGACGACAATCAACTTGTTAATTTGAACTCTGCAAAAGTGATTTAATAAATGTTTATTGGGCTACTTAAAATCATTAATTGAGTTTAACAGCTAGCTGTCTTCCTATTACAAGGTTTCACGGGTGAAACTGAAGTTTAAGTTCTTTTAAGAAATTTAATGTTTATTTTGTTTATTTGCTGAGTTAATTAATTATTTTTTTGAGTTTTATTGCCTGAATTTTTAAACGTTTCCTACTATTGACACAGGTTATTCCAAAAAATGTCTGCAATGACAACTAAAGCCTAAATTTTTGATCAAAATTGAGAATTTTGGACATCTTTGATATCCATTAAGAATTTCTAATCGAATGGTGTAATTTAGAGATTTCCATCATTATCGTGGCAACTCTTTTATTCAGTTTTAAGTTTTGGAATTCCTCTGATGTAAAATTAATCAAGAACACCGGTCAAAAATTGAGAAATCAATAACATTGGTCAAAAATTGAGAAATCAATAACATTGGTCAAAAATTGAGAGGTCAAAAATTGAGAAATCAATAACATTGGTCAAAAATTGAGAAATCAATAACATTGGTCAAAAATTGAGACTCTAGCTATCAGACACAATAGTTTTTTTAGAGACACCCTGTATAGTATATGCAGGATGTATAGTATACAGTGTTTACATTACATACCTGTTTATTGTAGTTGACCAGCCTAAGAAACTGACCGGCAATTTGACCCAGCTCCCTCTGACACAAGGAGAGGCCGGGGGGAATCTAAACAAATAATATGTGATTAGACAGTTGTTATGAGTATCATTTATTCATCGTTAATCAAACTCAATCAACAGCATTTAAACAATATAAAAGACGAATCTACTAATGGGCGAATTACATATAATAAATATAGAGGAAGAAAATGCTTAACAATTTTAAGAACAAGTTAATTTTTCCCCGCTAAAAAATGAACCGCATAATATCTTCAGAATACTTTTAAGGATAGTAAGTTTAACACTTGATCTCACTATCTAATGTGGGCATTTTGAAATTTGAAGATAAATGCTAGTGGCTAGATCTCTCGATTGAAGGTGTCAGGGTTATCAAGAGGAAAATATTTATCCATAGGTTCAAATGAGATGGAGAGCCATCAATGCTTAATATCGAGATTAACGTTGCAGGCACTTTCCTAAAGAGATTTTCCCAAGGGCGACTTCCCCAGGTTAGGTTAGGCCTGCTGAGGCTCTGTAGACTGCAATGGTGCCGAGTGCTGCGGCTAGGATGGGATAGAGGGACCGAGCGCCACTGCTATAACAGGCAAGTGGGCCAAGCGCTGTGGCTATGGCAGATTTGGGAAGTTGCCGCTTGGGAAATTGTACATTTGGAAAGTTGTCACATAGAAAAATATCCTTGGTAAGCTGCCGCTTGAGAAAAGGCCTTTGGGAAAGTATCTTACATTAATTAATAACACTTGAATTTTAACCATACTAGGCTTTTAGGGCGCTTCGCGCCCATCTTCTATTTAAATTGTGAACATGTTCTTAATGTAACATTGAAAAACAAAGAAAAAAAATTTCGCGGATTTTATAAAAAAGATTTGCGGATTTTCAAGATTTTAAAATTTTTTACAAAAATAAAAAGCTTTTCAACACAACTTTTTTAAATTTTCATCATTCATAAACCTTCCCTGTGGTCATGCGAGATCCCACAAAAAATTTGGGCTTGATCAGTTCAGCCGTTTTGACGTTTATTGGATACAAACAGACAAGCCAAATTTATATATAGATATATGGAAAGATGGTTGAATATAATATAATTATTACCTGCATGCCTGACTTCATGTTTCCTGAGATGATTTGTTTATTGAATTCAATAATTCTTTTCTGAACCAGATCCCGGATCCGCTGGTTAGGATCCTCTAATCCTTCAATCTAGGATTATAATAATATGATTAAGATCCTCAAATCCTTCAATCAAGGATTATAATATGATTAGGATTCTCTAATCCTTCAATCTAGGATTATAAAATGATTAGGATCCTAATCCTTTAATCTAGGATTATAATATATTCAGAATCCTCTAATCCTTCCATTTAGGATTATAATATGATTAGGATCCTATAATCCTTCAATCTAGGATTATATGATTATTCTCTAATCCTTCAATCTAGGATTATAATATGATTAGGATCCTATAATCCTTCAATCAAGGATTATAATATGATTAGGATTCTCTAATCCTTCAATCTAGGATTATAAAACGATTAGGATCCTAATCCTTTAATTTAGGATTATAATATATTTAGAATCCTCTAATCCTTCCATTTAGGATTATAGTATGATTAGGATCCTATAATCCTTCAATCTAGGATTATAAAATGATTAGGATCCTCTAATCCTTTAATCTAGGATTATAATATATTTAGAATCCTCTAATCCTTCCATTTAGGATTATAATATGATTAGGATCCTATAATCCTTCAATCTAGGATTATATGATTAAGATTCTCTAATCCTTCAATCTAGGATTATAATATGATTAGGATCCTCTGACCCTTCAATCAAGGATTATAATATAATTAGGATCCTCTAATCCTTCAATCTAGGATTATAAAATGATTAGGATCCTCTAATCCTTCATTCTAGGATTATAATATCATTAAGATTCTCTAATCCTTCAATCTAGGATTATAATATGATTAGGATCCTCTAATCCTTCAATCTAGGATTATAAAATGATTAGGATTCCCTAATCCTTCAATCTAGGATTATAATATGATTAGGATCCTCTAATCTTTCAATCTAGGATTATAAAATTATTAGGATCCTCTAATCCTTCAATCTAGGAGTATAGCAAATAAAGAAATAAATTCAAGGATCAATAATATTCAATGAAACTGAACAAACTGAAAGAAAACGAAATGCTGATGGACGATGGACGAATAAATTGTGGATATTATTATGATTCACTCAAACCTAGACAAGGTTTGTTGCTAGGAGCTCAACCCTGGAGCTCTTTGTGTAACATTGCTTACAGGATTGAACAATAATAATACCTGTTCACAAAGACTGGTAGCTAAGGGTTGGGGTAGTAGTGGTTTGCCCTTCTCCTCCAGGTTGCTGTTAACATCCGACACTATCTAAAACAAAAATCAGTTTTTAAGAAAGGTTTGAAAAAAAGATCAATAAAAAAAGTTTGAAGGCACATAATAATGTTTTTTAAATTAAAATAATAAAAGTTTTTAAAAAATGAAAAGTTTCTAAATTTTTTTTTAATTTTCATAAATTTTTTATTTTAAAACTTTATCCAAAAAAAATTAATTTAAAAAAAAATTTACCTGAAGACCAACACCTGGAAGAATTTTTAATAGATCCGCATCCTCGTAGAAATCCTAAATAAAAAAAACATAAAAATATGAAATCTATTTGTCATGTCAGACGCCATTCTAAAAGAAATAAATAATTGAAAACCAAAAGTTTTGAAAATGTTGAGATTTTATTTAATATTATCTAACAACTAAAATTTCATTTTAACCAAAATGTTTTTAACTTTATAAAATATGCCGATAAAAACTAGAACCTTAAATAAGAGTTGAAAAAAAACCCTGATTAATAACATTATTTCTGCAATTGCATATTGAACATGGATCTCATCGAACCAGAAAGAGGATTAAACTGTCTTGTGTAATCGCTCCAGCCCCGTCTAGTGAACCCAGTGTTTAGTGGACCCGGCTAAATATGCAACAGACTGGCTGGGTAGTGGGTACATGCGAATGGATGAAATCATGAAAATGGATTATAATGTTTACCTGTAAGAGTATATCGATGTGCTGCTTAACCTTCTCCTTAAGTTTCTGGCTGTCCTGTGGGACTATGTAGGGGTTGAGGGAGCTGAAGGAGACAAGGATGCAGGCGGTACTCACACTAGTCCTCTCAACCTAGCAGAACTAAGATAAATATCAACAAACAAACAACGTTCTAATAACGTAATATCACGTTACTCACACTAGTGTACTCTCACTAGTGTACTCACACTAGTGTACTCATACTTGTGTACTTATACTTGTGTACTCATACTTGTGTACTCATACTTGTGTACTCATACTTGTGTACTCACACTTGTGTACTCACACTTGTGTACTCACACTAGTGTACTCACACTAGTGTACTCACACTACTGTACCATACTAGTGTACTCGCACTAGTGTACTCGCACTAGTGTACTCGCACTAGTGTACTCACACTAGTGTACTCTACTCAGTACTCACACTAGTCTACTCACACTAGTCTACTCACACTAGTCTACTCACACTAGTCTACTCACACTAGTGTACTCACACTTGTGTACTCACACTTGTGTACTCACACTTGTGTACTCACACTAGTGAACTCAAGCTAGTGTACTCACGCTAGTGTACTCACACTAGTGTACTCACACTAGTGTACTCACACTAGTGTACTCACACTAGTGTACTCACACTAGTGTACTCACACTTGTGTACTCACACTAGTGAACTCAAGCTAGTGTACTCACGCTAGTGTACTCACACTAGTGTACTCACACTAGTGTACTCACACTAGTGTACTCACACTAGTGTACTCACACTAGTGTACTCTCGCTAGTGTACTCTCGCTAGTATACTAACACTAGTGTACTCACAAAAGTGTACTCACACTTGAGTACTCACACAAGTGTACTTACGCTAGTGTATTCACACTAGTGTACTCTCTCTAGTGTACTCTCGCTAGTATACTAACACTAGTGTACTCACAATAGTGTATTCACACTTGTGTACTCACACAAGTGTACTTACGCTAGTGTACTCACACTAGTGTACTCTCGCTAGTGTACTCTCGCTAGTATACTAACACTAGTGTACTCACAATAGTGTACTCACACAATTGTACTTACGCTAGTGTACTCACGCTAGTGTACTCACACTAATTATTCACTCAAGTAAAAAAAAATTACGTAAATCGCAATCAAATCACCTAAGAATGAAGCTACGTCAAACTATTAAAATTTACACTAAGATTATTAAGGAAAAAAAACTGGAATTTAATTAAATCCCAAGAAGAAAATCACATACCTAAATCAATATTCTACATTAATGAATGTTATTAGAACGTCATTTAAAAAAACATCCAAGAATGAATAAATATTGAGGAATTAAAATACTACTAATTAAGATTCAATCAATCAATAGTATGTGATCTAAAACCTAGAAGAATTTAGTAAAATCTGTAGCAACAAAACAAGTCATAAATTGCCCTCCCTCTACTATACAGTGATAACCAGAAAACAATAAAAATACTTAAGTGTATTTGATGTTGTTTCCAAAGAAATAGTTTTACTAGACACTTATTAAATCAGTATTTTAGTGAAATCAGTCTGTTTACACTGCACAATTTCTGTGTTTCATGCTCACTGGACTTATAACTTGATTTTAAAAGTGGTCTTTCTATTCCAGAGTTTTCTGGTTCTAACTCTACCTGATCCCTGAGATCAACAATCCTCCTGGCGTCCATGGTCAGGGTCTCTGGTAGAGTATAGTAATCATCCCACTCCAATATTTCCAGGAATGCATCAGTAAGAACTCTTGTTCCCAACAGTTTCTGGTATTTAGGATCCTCACTCTCTTCCTGGGATGGAGCATGTCGCACCTGCAATTTAATAATCTACAATAAAATGATAGAAACACGAAAATGAAACAAAAACATTTAGTTACTACATTGTGAGAATTAAAAACGTTGTCACCTCCCCATTATTGTTTAAAAGGTCTCATTGTGAATTGGTCCTAGCACTCTTAAATGGCGGTTTATTTGACTATCCCTTTGTGTATTTTAATAGCCATTGTTAGGACGGTTAGGAAATACTGATTTAACAAGAATGTTTTGTCATCTATAAAAACTGGGAAAAGAAACCAGCAGTTAAGCCACCTACGCTCCCATATCCACCTTCGCAAACTAGGTCTAATTACAGATAATTTAAACCTTTAATAAACCAAGATATGTGTTGTGAAACCTGTAAAGGGACTGTTGACGTTTTTTAAAGTTACTCTAATGTTAATAATTAGTTCCACGCTGTATTCACAACGGTACCCTTTAAAATATGAGAAGGAATCTTCGTTTTTCTATCTTAAAACCAGATAATTATAATGATTACTACCCTGTTCTGCAGCATATCCATAAGTCACTTTTATAGAGAAACCCCAGTTTCAGATAATATATTTTCAGATAGGAAAACAAGAATAACTTCCTCAGACGAAGAAGAAGCTAAGGGTACTTTTGTAAATTGACCATGATATTTAAAATAAAATTTTACTGACCAACCACTGCCTGGTGGCACTGAGTCCGTCCTCCACAGTTTCCAGGAACTCTTTAAACTTTAACTTCTCATATTCAACACTCTTAGATACTATCATAGGTCGGGCCTAAACAATTCAATTGGGGGTCACAATAATGAAAATAATGAAAATAATGAAAATAATGAAAATAATGAAAATAATGAAAATAACGAAAATAACGAAAATAATGAAAAAAATGAAAATAATGAAAATAATGAAAATAATGAAAATAATGAAAATAATGAAAATAATGAAATTAATAAAAATTTCTATCCAATTATTATGACCTTTAACATATATTTTGACAAATTTTCTATTTCACTCGGTTTTTTATTTTTGCTCAAATTTTTTTATCATTATTTTATTTTTAATATAAAATTACAACTTTACGTCAAAATTAAATACTTTATTCAATTTTGATGGAATTTATCACACCTAATATTTCCCGTTGTAGGGTGATAAGTGATTTTTTCGCCCTACAACAGGGCGAAAAAGTAACTTTTTCACCCAACAACAGGGTGTTTAAAACTTTATCGACGTGCTTTTGAATAATTTGTGTAGACCTGAATAAAACTATATTTTTAAAAACATTTCTTAATTTAAGTACAATAAGTTAAGTATTCAAACTTTATTTTTTTTTTTACTTTATTGATTATTGCTTTATTGAAATGGGTATCATGCGTGCGAAAACGTTTATGCTGTGATTTTTGATTAAAAAAAATAAATACCCGGCAAAAACTTTTTCGCACTTAATAATACCCATTACAATGACATAGATATTATTACCTGCTGTATTGTAAAGTTAGCCATGTCTATCTTCATTAATTCTAACGTTTCAATAATTCCTAGATAAAAATATCTTTATATAGGAAAATATTTAAGCATAAGGATAATTTAGATTAAAAAAATTAAATTAATTTATATTTTGTGTGTGTGAATATTTACAGGAAAAAACTTGATATTTAAAATAGGAAAAAATGTAAAGTAAATAATGTTGCGTAAAAAATGATTATAAGACTTCTTCTCCGAGCTTGGGATACGGATCCACAACACGGATCTAAATATCAACAAAATAAAACTATACAACATGTTGACTAATTATAGACGAATATTAACATACATTTAGGCTAAAAAAGAAGTAAAAATATTGATATAAGACATAAAAACAGATCTACGGTATACGGATAAGCGTCAAAACAAAATGGATCCTTTTTTACCTTTAAAGATGGCGACCACTTGTGATTCTGTCTTGAGCTGAGCAATCTTATCGTCACGGACAGGAGCGCACAGCATCGACATCATTCCTTCAATAGGAAATACAATCAATTTTGGTCAAATATAATAATGTTTCTGAAGAAAATGGATTTTATGATTTTTTCAACGAAATACATGTTAAAAATGGAATCCTAGTTTAATCAAAACAAAACATTATCACGAAAAAAGAAACTGATAAATTTGGGAAGGAAAAACAAAAATAAGAGCTCTGCAAAAGCATATTTACCAGAAATACCCAAAGGACCTTTTCTTAGGTTAAAAAAAAATATGGAGAGTTAAATTTTTCGATTCGTCTTTAAGATTCTTCCGATCCTAAATTTAATAAAACCGTCCTATTTAAATTCTTAAAAATCAAAATATCTTCCTTTAAAAATCCGCAAAATTTTTTTCTTCTTTGTTTTTAAATGTAAACAAAAAGAACATGTACACCATCTATTTCCTAAATTTCATTCATATTTCGTCATCAAGTTATGAAGAGGGTTATTTCTATCTAAAAAAAACTAAGTCAAAAATAAAATATGAATAATAAAATCTGAGGCCGAATTTAAAGAATTTGAGCCGCGGCTTAAATCCGCCAAAACCCGGTTTAAATTAAGCGCCGGCTTAAATCTTGAAACATTTGATACAATTTTAAGTGGAACCAACCATATTTAAGCCGCCGCTCAAATTTTTTAAATTCGGCCTCTATTCAGCGCTCTTTTAAACAAATGAAAAATCAAACTTTACAATTTAATGAGTAAAGAATATTTTTAGAAAAACTTTGATTTCCTTGAAAGAAGTTTAGGAAGTAGGGGGAATGTGTTTTATTAACCTAGAATATATCCTGCATATTTCTCGAACTCGAGAGTTCCAGCATCTATCTGCTGCTGAATGAGAGCCGTATCTAGGACCTCGTCGATCTTCTCACGGAGCTTCCCGTGCTGGGGGAGCAGCAAGGAGATAAGCAGCTCCTTGATCTCCTCCAGCAGTACCATTGCCTAAAATAAGATCAAATTAACAATTTGTTCTTTAGAGTTTTCAAATAACAAAGCTTTAATAAACAAATCATAAGTAAATTAAGTTTTATTTAAATTTTAAAATTGAGCTCGTTGTTGCCCCCCCCCCCAAAAAAAAAACACCAAAAAATGGCCAGATTTGGAACAAAAATAAATCATTTCTAAAACATTTACAGGTTTTGTCTTCCCCCACTGCGTTGAAAATGATTAATTGACCCAGGGCCGGTACCGGAGGGAGGGGTGAAATTTCAACCCCCTCCCCCATTCTTTAAGTGAGAGATGGTAATACCTGATTGAATTTCGGTGGCTTTGCCTCTAGTTCTTCTTTTAAAACATCCCAGAATGCACGATGCATAATCTCTCTACAAAATCAAATGAATATTTAAAAAAAATTATAAAAAGATAAAAAAGTTTACGAGGAAAATTAAGAAAAGTTGGAACTGAACAATGATTTCTTAAATCTTAACTTATTTATACTTTTTAATATTTGGTTTCAAGCGACCGAGATAATCATGGTTTTCTATCTAATAATTTATAACTTTCTTGTGTAAATGCAGATAAGAAAAGAAAGGGAATTGACAGAGCAATGCAATGCAATGAAAATGTCTCCATAAATTGTTTCTCTTCGTTACTTACATAAAGGTGTCGGGTACCGTTGTGAATCAGACCCTTGACAATGGAGGGTCACGTGAAAATATACTAACTACCTCTTTAATGTAAAAAAAACTAAAAATTAACCTAATTGATTCCTCTACACTGCTTCCCTCTGGACGTATTTTCTCGAGTTGAAAATCCTTGTTCACGGCGATCTCGTGAGCTAACGCCATGTTCGTGATCCCCTTGCTGGCATCCATCAACTCCGCCGTCGACATCTGCGTGTTCGCCCCGTTCGTGTTCGTGAAACCAGGGACTATAAAACCACGCCCAGGGGAGGGGGACAGGGAGGGGTTACGGGATATAGTTCTCCGCCTCTTTTTATTTTTCGAGGGCGGGGTACTTGAGCCAGGAGCTGGAGGCGGGGTACTTTGGCTTGCACCTGCCCCATCAGAAACCTAGAAGTAAAATCATTTAAAATTAACTTCATCTATATTTACAGTTAGTTGAGGATATATATTAAAAAAGGTAATAATTCCCAGAGAAGGACTTTTTTACCCTTCCCCCGAATCTGGTCATGTACAAAATTGATAGGAGGGGGGGGGGCCTGGGGGGGGTCCAAAAATCGTATACTAGGACAGACCCCATCCCCTTTAGTTTCTGAAACATCTATAATAATGACACAATAATGTAATATATCAAAACTTACTTTCACTTTGTCTTTGTTTAAAGTTTCATTATTCTCTGGAGCTGCTTTGTTTGTTTCAGGAGTTGGTTCTGCTTTGTTTAATTTTTTAATTTCTTCCTCCTTCTTCTCCTCCTTCCCCGTCCCGGGTGATAATAAAAATCCTTTTTTCATTCCTCTCTCCTAGATAAATTCACAATCTGTACGTACTGTACGTTAAAAATACAATTTAATGTTAAATATTAGATCAATAAACTAATCGATTTGTTATATATATTGATCAAACACATGATTAATGTAAAATTATTAAAAATCAATATTTACCATAATTTTGGTATAACTTTAATTTTGCGGAATATTCTGCGTATTTGCAACTTCTTAATAACCATAAATTTGCGCAGTTAGCAGGTTCATTGACGCAACTCAACTGACTTTAGTTTGACGCGAACATTCTAGATGGTTCTAGCCTGGATCCATGGCTGCGTAAATCCGTAGAATGTTCAACCATTTGCGCATTTTATAGTGAAATTGTAACTATATGTGGACTACCTTTTTTTTTCCGACGAGGGGGTTACCACTGCAATAAAGGACAATTCTTGGTTTGAACTCTTCCAGTAGGCCTGGTATACCTCACTGGCCACTGCTTTGTGCTGGCTTGTTTTGCTTTTTAGATTGTGTTTCTGTTTTGAGTATCAGCTGATCAAACATTTTGTAGATTTAAACATTTTTTCCTGATTAATATTTTTATTGTTTAAAGTTATTTTTAAAATTTTATTCATTCAAAAATTTAAAAAGATAAAATATTTTTGAATCTACAAAATAGCATTCCCCATTCCACCCCCCGCAGCAGCTATGGATTATGAAGCATACATATCCGGATTTGAACACAGAGAATCTCAAAACCAAGCTAAGAATATTTCTGTGGTTTCCCCGGAAGTTCGCCAATCAAAATTTGAGGCAAATCGGTCCAGCCGTTCATAAGTTATGAATTTTATGATCGCACATACAAACAAATAAACAGACATACAGAGATTACATCTTTATATAAATAACTATTTAATGAATCAGCTTAAAATCAGGATTTTACTATACTAAATTGAACTGATATAAAGATATAACATACAGTCGAAAGTAAATATAAAAATCAGTTTTTTACCAAATATTTCGCTGGGCGGAATGTTTTTTAGACACCCAAGTACTGTAAAAATCAATATAAACATACAGGGTGTCCCACAAAACATGTCACTTGGTGAACATTTTTTAATGTCTACTTCCATATCTATACTGAATTCGAGACAATTTTGGTGTCTTTTAAATAGTTTTTTAATAAAATTGGGAAAAATAGGTAAAATACTTATCATGTATTAGCAAAAATAAATGACTTAATGAATCTCTGAAATTTATGAAAGATAAGAAAATCAATGGAATAACAGTTTTCAGGTCAAAGAGTTCAAACATTAATTGTAAAGCATTATTTACTTAAAGGGACTGTAAGTGTAATTTTGCATGCAAAGGAAGCAATAAACGTTTTACAACGTGACTTTCTCCATTGTTTCTTGTAACCAAGAAATGTTTAAGTCACTTTTACTGAGAACCATAAACGAAAATAAAAAGTTTAAATAAAAAAAACTTCATCCAGGACATGTTGTAAATCAGGATTAGCCGTCTTGAGGGTCACTTAGATTTAAGTTTACAGTCCCTTCAAACTCTGTAGTAATTTTATCTTGACTACATTTTAAAGTTGTGCACTGTGCAGTGTGCAGTGTCATTCAGTCGATAGATCAACCACGTCATAACTCATTTATGAACACAGCGTGCATAGTGAATCAAATGTTTACAGTGTAAATTCATTTAGATTTTTATTTTTTCAAGTTTTTTCAACAAAGACATTTTAGAAAAAAAGTCCACATTTTCATCTGTTATAAACAAATTAACGTTTATCAAGATTATAGTATTTGAAAAATTCTTTTCTGTTCTTTTAAGGAGTGATATATACTTTGGAGAAAAAAACTCTAACGCAGTCTAGAATAAGAAATGCACCTTTTTCTTTTTAAAATTTGTTCAACCGCAAAAATCGTACTTTTTTCGTTAACATTTTTATCCTCTTTTTAAAAAAAATTATTAGTTCAACCGCGCTGAGAAAATATAGGTTTTTGCTTTCAATCAATGGAACAAGTTTTTCTTGAAATACGTTTTTGCTTTCAATCGCTTGGTTTATTTTGACCTTATTAAATTAAAGTTATTTATAGATAGGTCAAATAAATATTAGTTTTAAAAACTGCTGTAGCACTTCATTTCTAGAGAGTGGCATGTCCGATTTACAACAGATATGTACCCATAAAACCTTTGTCCAATTTTTAGCTGGAAAATATTTTAAATATTGGGTTCTCTATAAAAAAACGACTTGCGGATTTATGTTACAGATACAATTATAGAAAAATTAAGATAACTTCTTGCAATTAATTAGATAAAGATTTAAAGAGTACCATTCATTGTGAATCGGAAATGGCCTTCTTTTAAATACAGGTGGGTCCATCAGTGTCTCCAATGATATCAAATTATTGATTTTGTTTTTAACTTTATTTTTCATTACTCATATTATTACGTTGATTTTTGAATAGATAAAAATGAGTGATTTGATTGTGCTAAATGCTGTAGAAGTAGGTTCTACTGAGCCTACTGAAACGATAGAGCAGATTATTAAAGATATGAGAATTAAGATTACCACTCTCAAAGGTTAGTTTCAGTTGAACAGAACAAGATACTTCTTTGCAACCAACTAGAACAAGATATTGCTTTGCAACCAACTAAAACAAGATACAGCTTTGCAACCAATAAGAACAAGATACAGCTTTGCAAGTGTTGTTTAAGAGGTGAATAAGTTTAAACTTTGACATATAAAACTGAATTATTGATATATATATATATTTTATTTAAATTCTTATGATAGAAATGAATTTCAGGTAAATTTATGAAAGCTGATGGATCATCAGTAAACTACAAGGATATGGGATCAAGCCTTGAGTTCAAAGAGTACATTAGAACCTGTAATCAGCTGACTATTGTACACCTGGAACAGCTGACTCAGGCCGAGGTAAATTTGACCGGCCACACAACTTGCACGGGGTTAACCCTATCCCTACGGGGGGGGGGGCAACTTGACCCCCCTCTAATCCCCATGTTAGATGTCCAAATATTTATGACACATTATACATCCTTCGAAAGCTCTTTTGCTCCACTTTAAGAATCTGATAAAAAATAAATTTGCAAAAATTGAATTTCTTTTTGCAACATCCAGTTACAGTAAAAATATTTGCAGAAAAAGCCCAAAAAAGGATAAAATATACATTTTTGAAAAGCCCTTGACCATGCCATTTCAAATATGCAAAACTGTTTGCAACATTTTAAATAACCTTTGTAATTAAGAAAAACCGAAAATGTGCAAATTTCTTTTGACGGGTTGGATGAAAATAATTGCAAATATTTCTTTGTAAAATTTGTGCACTTTGTTTCCTTATGTCATAGGCATTCCACAATAAAAATTATTAAAATCTGACAACTTAAAATGGGTCACAAACAAAGATTTAGAAATTAGATTGTTACAGGAAAAATTTGTCATCCAGACAGTGTGTCTGAGGAGACTCATGCAGTTAGGATAAAAGCCGGGTTTTAGACCTAAAGGGAGGGCTATGGGTAACTAGGAAAAGTCAGAAAATTTCAACAGCCTCAGACCAATATTTTTTGAAAAACTCCCGCCAAAAAAGAACTCAAATTTGGAATTATGGTTGATTACAAATTATGGAATTATGGAAGATTACAAAGATAGTGTGTAATGTTCAATTTGAAAGGAAAGTTAAATTTTTGTTCAAATATTTTTAATTGCTGAGTTAAAAATGTTCGAAAAAAAAATAACATTTTTGAAAGAAATAAGAAAAACAGTACTTTATGTTGATTTTTCAAAAACAAATTTTGTGTTACAAATAGTTCTAGTCAAAATTCAATATATTGAAGTTTTTCTAAAAACTTGGAAAAAGTTCATAAAAATAAAAAAAACCCAAAGTGTGGCTGCAATAAAACAATTTTAACATAAACTTAACTCTTGATTTTTCTGTTATAGTTAAAGTGTTTATTCCTAAACCTGTACAACAGTTTAACTGTACATGCTCTGGTGTACCAGAACTCCAAGGGAACATTACCAGCATCACCTAAAGATGTAAGTAATTTTATGTACACAGTATACTGTACATTGGTAGGCAAGATAGGAAATGGAGTTTATAGTCTTGATATAGGTTGATGGATTCTGGAGGATTCACTGCTATAAGATAGGGCATGGAGTTTATGGTCTTGATATAGGTTGATGGATTCTGGAGGATTCACTGCTATAAGATAGGGCATGGAGTTTATGGTCTTGATATAGGTTGATGGATTCTGGAGGATTCACTGCTTTAAGATAGGGCATGGAGTTTATGGTCTTGATATAGGTTGATGGATTCTAGAGGATTCACTGCTATAAAAAAGGGCATGGAGTTTATAGTCTTGATATAGGTTGATGGATTCTGGAGGATTCACTGCTATAAGATAGGAAATGGAGTTTATAGTCTTGATATAGGTTGACGGATTCTGGAGGATTCACTGCTATAAGATAGGAAATGGAGTTTATAGTCTTGATGATATGGAGCATGGTGTTCTTAGGGCTAATAAAGGTAATTTTACGCTGAATAAATTGAAATAAGTTTAATTTCCAAAGCTAGAGTACAAACAAACATAAGGCTTTAGACTGTATGGTATTTATCTTGTCTGTTTCCCTAAATTTATGATACCCTGCAAATATAAACTCGTTTCTTTCTTTGGCTAAACATTCAAAAAGCCATTAAAAATTTAACGTAAGGCAGAATACTAACTTAGGGATATAATTTGAGTTTCAGGTCGTCTTTACAGTCTTATTCTTTGTGAACCCTGTACATACAAGTCGGCTAGTTACATCTGACGTGTTGGTTACATTTCACATATTATTGTCCATTTTAGACATTACATATGCCTGGCTTATCTTTATTCTAAATCGGACCAATCTTTTTCTAACTGCAGCGCTCGGCCATATTGCGGCTTACAACACCAAACCTAACTTCTAATAGTTTAAAATGAATCTATTATGGCAAACGTAGTTATAACAAAGTTAATATGGCTTATATAAGCTACTAACAAATTTAAAGAACATCTAAAATTTCACTTTTCCTGGCTCTTTGTTTGTATGTCTGTCTGTCCGTTTTTATCTAATAAACGTCAAAACTGCTGAACATATCTGACCCAAATTTTTGTAGGATCTCACGTGACCCCAGGGAAGATTTATGGACTCCATCAAAATTTTTTGTTGAAAAAAAACTAAATTTTTTGTTGAAAATTTTAAAAATGCACGAAATTTTTTTTTTATAAAATCCGCAAAATTTTTTGTTTTACAATGTACACAACGAGAACATGTTCACAATGGAAATGGAAGATCGGCGCAGCCAAGTTTCATATATTTGACTATCAAAATTGTTATTGTCTTTAATTGTTGTTGTTTTAAATCTATAACAAGCTGCGAAACATCAATATGAAAACAATAAAAAAAACATTTTGTTACGGAATTTCATTTTCCTAAACGTTGAGTTGGTTTAGTAAACAAAATAATTTTTTTTTATCTTCGTAGGTCATCCCTCTAATGGGGCCCCGCAATTCTCTGACACGGATATAAGAAGTAAATGTGTTGTACAGATCTTGGACCCAAGGAAATCAATTTCAGAAAAAAATGTAGAAAAATTAATTATTTTCATTTAGAATTCATTTTCACCTGTAAGAGGCCGATAATTGATTTACATGTATACATAGAATATTTATTTATACCCTTCAGGTTAAAATTAAGTTAAAATAGAACAAAAATAACCTCATAATTCTTTTTTAACGGTGTTAATATACAGGGTTACCCTCAAAAGATAAGATTTCATAGACGACTGAAATCACTTCTTAAGAAAGACTCATTACTTAAGGGGAAATTTCAACCTTCAGATTGTTAGAGTTCATAAGTTTTAGGTCGTCTTTTCAGTCTGATGATTTGTAGTTAACCCTGAAACCTATTGGAGAAATTGATAATTGATCAGAATCCATTTTGCAATCAATTGCGGGGCCCTATCTTGTCCTCCTATTAGAATATATATAGTAGACAGGTAAAAGATCAATTGCGGGGCCCTATCATGTCCTCCTATTAGAATATATACAGTAGACAGGTAAAAGATCAATTGCGGGGCCCTATCATGTCCTCCTATTAGAATATATACAGTAGACAGGTAAAAGATCTATTGCGGGGCCCTATCTTGTCCTCCTATTAGAATATATACAGTGTAGACAGGTAAAAGATTGACATGTCTAATTCACAAAAGGTTCCCATTAAACCTCTAATTGAGTAAAAGTGTAAGAATCGTAGTTTTGATTATGAAACTATTAAATGTAAAAATTCTCACTCTTCTAGAGAAACCACAATTAAAAGTGATACATTCGACTAAGGAGTAGAAAGCACCGTTGTGAATCACACATGCTCCCCTTTTTTAAAATTACATCTAAAGTCCCTTTAATGATTTTAAGTGTTAAGAATATATTCAAAAATAATCTTTAATTCAGACTAGATGATCAGTTGGAAATCGCAACCACTTCCTTCCTATCACAAGAGGTACTTGTTAAATTTAATTTTCTTTCTTAATTTTTTTAATAACATATTTTTAAGTTAAGGGTTAAGCGTAAAAATGAACAATATTGCACGTATTCTACTTTTTAAGTAACTGTTCTTTCTGTACGTTTTTAACTAATTGGGTTAAGGTTATATACGTTGGATTCAAATTTACGAAATGACCAATTAATTCTTTCTTTTTAACCATTTATGTTTCACTAATCTTAACGGTGTTATCCGTTAATTTTTAAAACTTGTCAGATCTTTGCTTTACCCTATTCATCAGGTTGTGGTAAAGACTGCTGGTGTGGAAGTATCTAAGCTGTTGCTGTGGTATGTGAAGAATTTCATCAGTTCTATTCATCAGGTTGTGGTAAAGACTGCTGGTCTGGAAGTATCTAAGCTGTTGCTGTGGTATGGGAAGTATTTAAACAGTTCTTTTCATCAGGTTGTGGTAAAGACTGCTGGTATGGAAGTATCTAAGCTGTTACTGTGGTATGGGAAGTATTTAAACAGTTCTATTCATTAGGTTGTGGTAAAGACTGTTGGTATGGAAGTATCTAAGCTGTTGCTGTGGTATGGGAAGTATTTAACCAATTCCATTTATTAGGTTGTAGTAAAGACTGATTGTGTGGAAGTATCTAAGCTGTTGCTGTGGTACGGGAAGTATTTTACCAATTCTATTTATCAGGTTGTGGTAAAGGCTGATGGTGTGGAAGTATCTAAACTGTTGTTGTGGTACGGGAAGGATTTTGGTAGCTCTGATAAAGAAGTTCTACAATGGATTCAGCAAGGAAAAAACTTTGAGTGTTTAATATTTATCTGAGCTGGGAACTTTGAATGTGATATCATTAATCCCGATCCGTTAATTAATCTGGAGATTAATTACAGAGAAGAACAAGCACCATTTAATCTTGAGATTAAGAAAAAGAGGAGATCAAGCATTGATCCCCCATTCTAAAGTTTTCAGCTCTGCCCATTTTTTGATATTTTACAATTTTTCTGTTTAGACACTTGAGACAATTGTAATACTTTATAACCATTTTTTCAGACAATTAAGTTTGTTTGCATACTTAAAAAATTTGTTTGATATAGTATGTGGAGAAAAGGTTCCTGGTCTAGGGGAATACTTAAACACCACCACCTCCCCCACTCTACTCTTCAAGGACTACATCTGGGAGACCAACAAGGAGTAAATGTACAACAAGAACAAGAACTTCGTTAAGCAATAAAAAATTGTTAGAATTGTGTTTGAACCCTTCTTTTCCATGCATTTCTTTACTCGCAGCCTGTCTTGAAAATTAATTTAATGCTGTACAGTGTACTTTTCAAAAAGACCCAAGCGGCTGGTTCGTTAGTGACTATTAACTATTTTCTTGAATATGATAAACCTTTTTTCCAAAACGTATTCCCAAATTTATAGAATATCTGAAGATATATTTATCTTTGAACTTCACTATCACTTAAGTTAAATGAAATACATGTAAAAAAAACGTTTAATTTTTAATAAAAACATAGAGCACTGATTATTTTATAGTCAGAAGTTGAGATAACATGAATTATAAATCAGTTTTTATAAAACTTCCTTCAAGGGTTTATAAACGTAATTAAAGTGACTCTTCATGCAAAGATGGCAATGCTAGATTTAAAATGAAATGTGGAAGATAAAGTCATTGTTCTGACTCTAGAAGTGTTTATTTCTGTGTATTTCTCCATTTTTTCTTATTAGCAAAAACTGCGTAAATAAATTTTGCAGAGAAACCAAAAATAAACAAAAACTTATAATCTAATTTATACGTGATCATTAAGCTTTTAAGGGCATCGTTGTGAATTGAGCCTTGTCATCTTTACATGAAGGATTACTTACGCGTACAGTCCCTTTAATAACTAAATGTTTAGCTCATGAGTACTTCCATCTGTACTAATCTAGAAGTAGTGTCTCCTGGTAATCTGTACGGTATCATGCCAGCGTAGGATATCAAACACCTGAAATAAAATCTAAAATATATGGCCTAACATAAAACCTTCGCAAATGAAAGCACTCACACTAGTTTCTTTAAATGAATAGCCGGGCAACGATAACAAAACTGATAAGTTAATTAATTCTGACCCTTTTCTCAACTGTTTTTAACCAGATATCCGCAATTCACTTTTAAAGATAAAACACAATTTAAATTTATTTTAATTTAACACAAATGTCACTTGAAATTAGCTTTCAGTCCCTTTAATATTTAATGTAACTGACCTAGCCTTGTCCCGTACAGAAGAATGTGGTTGTGTCTTGTACTGGTTGTGTAGTATACTCATAGCGGCTAGAAGTACATCAGGGATATTTCTCCTGAAACAAAATAAAAAAATTTTGTTGAGCAAATAAATATTTTTTAAAGATTTAAGATCCATTTTTTTAAACAAAAAACAAGATGCCTCCTGAAGCTTAAAAACATGGTAGACGGAAAAGGGAAAAAAGTTTTGTTCTGCCTTTAAGCAATTTATTTCTTCACTTCTAGTACATATACTAAGTACTTTAAGTACTGTAAGTCAGAAAAATAAAACATCTGAGAAAAAAACGAACAAATTGTTGGCGATTCGCGCAACAGTTTTTACTTTGTTGGAAGAAAAGAGGAAAATATTATATATTATATACGCTCCATGAAGGGAAACCTCATACTCTCAGGGGTTGCAGGAAAAAATAAACCTAGCTTGATAAACCCTCAGGAGCAACTTAAACAGGAGAAAGTTACTACAACCACTTATGCTTGTCAGTTGATCAAAACTAAATACAATGTCGTAGTTCCTGAGAATGACATACAAGCATTCATCTAGAAGCTTGAACCCGGAAACTAGATAATAAATACCCCTGAATGTTTACCTGACAGAATCATCTAGAAGCTTGAACCCGGAAACTAGATAATCTACATCACTCTGGTTCAGAGGAACAACCTAGATTTTAAATTAAATCATTATTATTCATCTTTGGATTAATTGGTTATTCATCATTTAATTAATATCGAGAAGAAGCTGTACAGCGAGTCGACTAGTCAAATCAAATCAGACTTTTAGGGACACCCTACACCACTACCAATCTTGAAATGACGTTACTAATTCTCAAAGGTTAATTGAACTACTTCTTAAATGCGCCAGGTCAAGCTAAAGCGAAGAGGTTAAACTTATTCTACGCAGCTTAACTATGTCTCGCTATTCATAATATCTGGTTCCTGAGATGAGAACTTTTAAATAAACGGGATTAAACTTGCAATCTTAATCCGTCCACATTCGTAACACGTTGACCAATGACCACGGATAGACCTAAAATATAAATCAAAGCTTTGAGACTACGAACCTTTTAGAACAAAACATATAATAATTCCCAATAATTATTTCGTTTGTACCAACACCAATACTCATAAAATAAACGAAAAACAATTCAAATTATTAAATTAAATCACAAATGATAAATTTTAAATGAGTTTAACTGAGCTATTAATTTCTTAGGGGGATACTTTGGCCGACAAGAGATCAGTTTACCCCCCCCCCCAAAAAAAAAAAAATGAATAGAGTTGACATGATTGAAATCAATTCCCGTCTTAAAGATACATGATTCCAGTATACACAGAGTGCACCCATATCATATTGGATTATCCCAAGCTTTACGCCAAAATACTCGGAAACCTAGTATTTCCTTCATTTATATTCCCCTTGTGCAATTTTTCAAAATGATTCATTCTTTTTAATTTCTTTTCCTAGTTCCGAAAATCGCAATATAAAGCTATAAACGATCTAGTATGATGTGGGACACCCTGTATTTCTGGTCCTTGGTACTATGACAAGAAACATGACGGTAGCTCCAGACAAATTGAAGGTCGTCGTTATTCTTAGAAATAATTAACAGCATTTAGGCATTAACCAAATTCTCCGACATGGAGAATTTATCAGAGAAGAGAATAAAATTAAATTATCCAAAAAATGGGTAATTTCTAAAATATTTAAGTTAGTACCTTAACTCTCTCTAGGGTATCTAGTGCCTCTGTTGACCGGCCTGCGTGGTAAAGGTCGAAGAAGGTCGCGAGATCAAGAAGAAGAAAAAGGGTTAAAGTACTGTCCTTTCCTCCAGATACTCCCATATTCTTGTACCTCCTGAACCATTCATTTATTAGTTTAGATAAAATAAGGGTTTTAAGGGACGTCTTTACTTTCATTACCCCCCCCCCTCACCTAGAAGTTTAGGACTGGTTTCAAATAGGGTTTCCTTTTGAGTCAATTGGGAAAATTAATGAAAATTTCTTAACAAAAAGATTCAATACGAGGAAAAAACGTTCTTGAAGTGAATGATACATTTTCTTTCTTATCAATCTATTTTAATTTAAGTATCCTATTACAACGTAAATTTTTTTTCTTTATCCCCCCCCCCCCGTGACATTTTTTTGATTTATGTAAGGTTGGTTCTCTAGCAATCATAACCTACGAATTTAAAGTACTAGGACAAATATATGTAAACAAATCAATCACTAGATACTTTCAATCAACTAATCAAATAAATCTAATGATTGATTGATTGATAAATTTTGATTACCTGGCAATATTAATAGCTTGTCTCTGAAGTCTATCCCTATTGGATTCACTGATTGGAGGCTGAGCAATAACCTTAAAAATAAACTTATTTTCATAAAATGCGGGAAAATCGACAAATTTCAATATTGTTTCATTTAACAGGATTCTGCAGGAAAATTGAAAGGTTTTTTATTTCTATCCAATATTTCTGTTTATTTGCCTCTGATTCTTAATTTTCCATTCTTATAAACATGATGGTGTAAACTTGTAAAGCTAAACTCTTTTTGATCTGGCAGATTTCTGTCTAGGCAGTGCTCAGAATCCATTTCATTTTGAAACGGATCCGGATCCGCAATGAAAAAAATGGATCATGAACATTTCTTTAAGATGTACAGGTTTTCTGAACAAAAGAATAATTTTCAAATCATTTTTCTTCTTTTTAGCTTATTGTGGAGCTAAAACTTTATGAACCATTCTGAGAGAAAGAAATTTTATTAATAATCTCTCTTTTTTCAACAGTTCTGACTTCAGTTTTAAGAGTAAAAAACTGTTTTCTTCCGTTTTTGGTTGATATTTTGCCCCTTGGATTCGGAATCCAGAAAACTAAAAGAATACGGGAATAAGCACTGGTATCACGTAGCAAATATGGAAGTATTAGAAAATTTAAGTTTGATAGAAGTTATCAGTTCCTTTTCTCAAAACAAGAACACCATCAGGAAAATATTAATACCAAGTAAAAAAATACAATGAGAGATTAAAATATATTTGTTTTTATATAAAACAAAGACGTTTACCTGCGAAAGAAGCTTATTTAGGAGTTCAACTACTCTAGCGTGCTTTTTCGCCAAATCATATAACTGTACAGCGTCCTCTAATAATCCCTTATCCTCGGAGTCTGCGGCAACAAACTCTATTATTTTACCAGTATCCACTAGGTCTCCAAACTTGTCGACCAGGCCTGGAGTCCTGGATCCGTCAGGCATAAGCTGACCCAGGAGCAGGTCAAACTCTCGACTCTCTAGAACCAGTTCTCCAACACATGACATGAATAGGTTAGAACTCCGGCCTCCCTGAACAGTAAACAAGATAAGATATAATAAACTTTAGGTCAAAACTTAGCTTTTGTATTCTAAATCTGTTATTAGCATTTGGAGAATTTTAAGTCTTGTTAACATAAAGAAATATATTTTATTAAATAAAATTAGGAAATAAACAAAATAATCTATGGCCCTGATTGTAGACGTTGACTCAGCAATTGTTTGAAAGGAGGCAATGGAATACAAGAATAAGAGCCTACCTTCATCTCCCGGAGGAAGTAGTAGTACTGCAGTGCTTCCCTAGGATCTGTAGACTCAAAGTGCTTGACGAAAAGGATGACCAGACGCGCAACATTTAATCGTCGACTCGGAGATTTATCCGAGGATTCTCTTGAGATAAGCGGAGCCTGGATAGAGTCCGGTAGTTTCAGTAGATTCAGTTCAAACAGAGCCAGGGCTAGATGAACAGCATGAACGGACAAAGGATCTCCTGTTCTGAACAGGAAGTCCAATGCTGTTTCAAACTGCCCAGTTAGGAATAGCACCTGAAAGTAGAGCAGGGGCTGTTCTGACGCATTAAAGTGTGACTCTCCATACTCTTCTGATAAAAGAGTTTGTAACCCAGGGAGGGTTAAACTATCCCCACTCTCCTCATCCCTAACTTGGCATAGTTTCAGCCATAGATAATCATCTAGACTAGTTGCTATCTCAGAGTGTTCCTCCTGAGGATCACAAGCGGCAAGAACACAGTAAACAGCCCGCTTGAAGGGATCACTGCTCTGTCGTACACTCCGTCTGTACTGAATACGAACCATCGACTCCGTCTGCGGAGAGAGCCGAGTTCCGTTGGAGGATTTTAGCTCCTGTAGAAGAGTATGGATATCTCCAAGTCCAGGTCCAGCTTGACGAGCACCCTCACATGCTGCATTCAAGTCACCACACCGGAGACAGTAGTAGATAAGAGCCCACACAGGAACACCATCCACCAGTCCATCATCTAGTCCGGGCTGAGTGGCCGGAACACGGACATTTAGGAAGGATCTGACGAGATGGTAGTTTCCAGGTATACCTCCTAGTCCTGCGTTGGTTAGGTTGGAGAATACGGTGAGTTTGATAAACTTGGTGTACGAAGACTCAAGGAATGATCGAGCGCGAGATACAACATCTGCAGAGGGACGAGAACTCGGCAAATCTGAATTAAAAAATAATCATATTACAAAAGCAAAAAAGGGTTGAGCATAAGTAAAGTTAAAAAAAATATATACTATTGAAACCCAAAAATATTGATCTGAAAATTGGGATTCCCAAGTTAAGGGCATTGGGAACTCAGCCAATATAAAGCACTCTAATCTACACATATTGAGCAAGGGCAAATGAATGCTAAATAATTGTGAACTTGGTAAATTCCCGAAAACCCAAATGTTTAACATGTTTGGTTGATTTGTGGAAAGTAAAATACTTTTTCTGATCAATAACTGTATTTGAATACATTTCAGAACAGTAAGAACTATAAAACCATGACGACTGTAAGACTGAAGTTTTGATTTAAAAATTCATTAAAAAAAACACATCAATTGTACAGTGCACAGGCACATAGACCCATTTCACTTTAAAAGTTGATATTCAATGTACAGGTTGTTTTAAAACAACATCAAATACACATAAGACAGCTTCAATTTCGTCTCTTTATTCAACAGTTTATATGTCCCTCTGTATATTTGTAAGCTCTAACCTGCCATTTTGCTGGCGTACTCCCATAGAACTGATATCTCCTGGTCCACCTCCTCCGGGAATAAAGACTTGAAGGAGCCCATCAAGTCAGGTCTACAATTATAAAATACTTAAAAATTTCTGTTGAAAAATCTAGGTTTTTAAAGGTGCTTGAGTAACCTAGACCAACCACACCCACGTCCCACACCCACACACATATAACTAAAGATTAAGACTAAAGTTTAATATTAACATTTTAAGTGGAGAGGTGTTGTTAAAAAAATTTTAATAAATATAATTTCAACTTGATAAGAAAACCATTAGGTCTAAATTACAAGCTTTTTAAATATATCAAAAATAAGTTTTTAACGTTCCACGATTTACATATTTTGCCTAATTTTGAAGAACAATGTTATGGAAAAATTCTCATTTAAAATAAAAAAGCGTAATTGATAAAAAAAATTAAATTAATTAACATGTTTTTTTTTGATAAATGTTTCTACCTGACTCCCCCCAAAGCTACGGTCTGGTTGTACTGTACCACCTTCTTAGCGTACTGCAACTCAAGGTTAGATAACGACGATTTTCCACCTAAGTTGGTATCATGCAACCTACACAAAAACAATAAATAATAAAATAAAAATAGCCAAAAAGTTATTAATTTTTCATTAAGAAATTGTTTAGAAGCTTAACCTCTAGTTCACAGTGCACAAGGCATTTTGGACTACTACTACTACTACCCCACCAACCTAGTAATCTCTCCTCTAGCTATGGTAAGATCAGCAAGACCAGGATCTGCTCCTCCTCCTGCTACTGCAGCTAGGATTCTCTGTTTATCTGTCTCCCACTCTCTAAATATTTTACAAAATGAACAGGAATTAGAGTGAAGAAACAATCTCAAGAACTGACGAGGGTCAACCCAGACCGAAATATATTTTCAATAAATGTGGAACTAACATCTACTTTTTTACTCTACAGAGGTTTGGTCCATCACCATCACCAAATTTGAAATAGACATTATATATTAGAGAATAATTGTGCTACTTTTGTAGTTGACCAAAGAAGTTAACTTATATGTTAACATCCCAGTTCTATTTTGCTGCTTAGCATGAAGAATCTGAAAGGTTTTATATAAAATGAAACAAGCAGTAAAACCCCTCTTAGAAATGTTTTGTCACATGAAAGGTTAAATTGATTAAATAATGATCGGGAAAGATCCTTACCGTGGCATTCCCAGATCGCCATCGGACGTAATGGGATTAGTCTATCTGAACCCAAAAGCAAACTTGATATACGTGTAGACTGAGTCCCAGTGTACTCTATATACCTGAAGATTGAGTCCCAGTGTACTCTATTTACCTGTAGACCGAGTCCCAGTGTACTCAATATACCTGTAGACTGAGTCACAGTGTACTCTATATACCTGTAGACTGAGTCCCTTTGTACTCTATATACCTGTAGACTCAGTCCCTGTGAACTCTATATACCTGTAGACTGAGTCCCAGTGTACTCTATATACCTGAAGACTGAGTCCCAGTGTACTCTATATACCTGTAGACTGAGTCCCGGTGTACTCTATATACCTGTAGACTGAGTCCCAGTGTACTCTATATACCTGTAGACTCAGTCCCTGTGTACTCTATATACCTGTAGACTGAGTCCCAGTGTACTCTATATACCTATACCCAGTGAACTCTATATACCTGTAGACTGAGTCCCAGTGTACTCTATATACCTGTAGACTGAGTCCCTGTGTACTCTATATACCTGTAGACTGAGTCCCAGTGTAGTTTCTCCATGGTTTCCTGGGTTTCCTTCTTTGTTTCCTCGAGTAGACTCAGAATAGCATTCTCACGTTCACTCTTCAGAAACCCAGCAATATCAGTACACGGGGTAGCCTCAGTCTTAATCAATCAGTCAATTATTTTGCAAATCAATCAATAAACAATTACTTAGAAAAGCAATCAATTAGTAAGAAAATCAATTAATCAATTAATTAGTTAGAAAATCAAGTAATTAGTAATAACTCAATTAATCAATCAATTCTTTAGCTTTTTGGCCAATGAATTGCTCAAAATAAAACAAAATAAAATCAGATTCTCATAAAAATGCACTTATGAAAGTTATCTGAAATCTGAAAAATACCTCAATAATATCATTGAAAATAGATGAATAGATGAATAGATGAATAGATGAAGGGATGAATAGATGAATAAATGAATGAATCAATCAATCAATTGCTAAATATAAAAGAAATGAATTGTTCATATCAGTTAACCCAGGAAGTATCTAAATTTGCAATAAATTTATCGAACATTTAATTAACAATCAACAGAGACTTCACTCCATCATATCAATAAAATCTGCTTTAATCAAAAATATACTTTGATATTATAAAATGAACTCCATCAATCAATATATAACTTATCATCACTCTTAACAAATTCAACCATTCTAGTATTCAATTAAATCAATTAATTAATCATTCAATCAATCAATCTCAATCAGTCCATCAGCCCATCAATCCATCAGTCCATCAACCTATCAGTCCATCAGTCCATTAATCTATCAATCCAACAATCCATCAATTCAAAAATCCATAAATATATATCATTCGTCAATCAATTAATTAATCAATCAATCAGTCAGTCAATTAATCGACCATTCAACTCTGTCCTTAAATATTACCTGCTGAATTAGATCTGTCTGCTGAATACTATCAATTCTAGTAGAGAGGGAGGGAAGGTCTACACCTCTACTACCTAGCAGTATACTAGCCTACAAATATATATTATAGTAGAGGAGGGATGGTCTACACCTCTACTCCCTAGCAGTATACTAGCCTACAAATAAATTCTTTATTTATTCACTCTTTTGTGTTCGTACAAAATTGAGAATTTCAAAATAATAAAACCAAAAATGGTATGTTAGTTAAACTATTTATTGATGGAAAGCTATATAGTTTTGACCTAAAAATATCTTTTATCCTAAATCACTGCAGCTATCTATACGGTAAGAATTACGAAAAATGAAAGTAATCAAAATTAAAATATCAAACCGATTGGTAATTAAAATATCAAACCGATTGGTAATTAAAATATCAAACCGATTGGTAATCAAAATATCAAACCGATTGGTAATTAAAATATCAAACCGATTGGTAAAATATCAAACCGATTGGTAAAATATCAAACCGATTGGTACTTTTCATATTTTTCTTTTCTTTTGATACAAGATGTCCTTTCAAGTACTTAGCTCAGTTTCAGACAGGTTAGAGGCCAAAGGCATCTTAGAATAAGTTGACCAAAAAAAAATATAAATTTCCGCTAACAGATAAACATGAAAAAAGTTCATATCAAATTTTTACTGAATGCACATTCACTTTAAAGATCGTGACATGCCGTGGCAAGGAGGGGTTTATCAGATAAAATCAGTCTTTCACTTAAAAGTGGGTTCTGTTAGTATTACAAGTGAATTTCACTTTACAATGGGTTCTGTTAGTATTACAAGTAAATTTCACTTTACAATGGGTTCTGTAAGTATTACAAGTGAATTTCACTTTACAATGGGTTCTGTTAGTATTACAAGTGAATTTCACTTTACAATGGGTTCTGTAAGTATTACAAGTGAATTTCCCTTTACAATGGGTTCTCTTAGTATTACAAGTGAATTTCACTTTACAATGGGTTCTGTAAGTATTACAAGTGAATTTCACTTTACAATGGGTTCTCTTAGTATTACAAGTGAATTTCACTTTACAATGGGTTCTCTTAGTATTACAAGTGAATTTCATTACAATGGGTTCTCTTAGTATTACAAGTGAATTTCAATCCCTGATTCACAAGAGTAACCTTAAACCTTAATGTAATATATAGTTTCTATAATTAATCGCAAAGCAAAAATCACTTTGTAGAGAAGCCATAATTAAAAATAATTTATTTTCAAAGAAAAGATTATTACGGATAATGGATATCTAATGAAACCTAGTAAGACAAAGAGTTCCAGGGAATTGTTGTCAGTCGCCACTCTTTGGTAACTTGAAATAAGGTCTATAGTCCCTTTAAGCTGCAAGTCCCTTTAAAAAACAAGGAGGTCGTCTTTGTTCACCTTTGCATCCTGGTTCCCTCTGTTTGATGTAGAAGAGAGCAATGATTGTCCAGAGTCTAAAATATGTCGGAGACTTCGCTCAACTCTACATTAAAAACATGTCGTCAATTCTATATGCATATGTTTATCCAAATACACAACCCTCCCCCCCTCCCTACCTCAACAATTTAGACACATTCTTAGACATTAAAAGTACCATAAGATTAAAGTTATTAAAATTACGCCAATAAATAAGCATTATAATTAAACCTAAACTGTATTTTTATTTTGGGGTTAACAGCAAAAAAAACATTAACTCTCCAATGCAAATTATCAAACAATGAATATTCCTTCGAAATATTAATGTTATAAAATGTGTTTTTCAAATTAATATTCTTTATCGACAAGTGTTATAACGCTAATGTACTAAAACTTTGAAAGAAAATATTTTAAACAAAATCTTTTCATAATGGCGATTTGTTCCTTGGGAGATCTCCGGCTCGTCCGCCATCTATATCTGCCGTCAGCTGTTCCGCCGAGGCAAGTAAATCTCCGAAATCAGATTCTCCAAATTTCATCTTGAATTCTGAAACCGAAAGTTTTGTTTTATCGTACAGATTATTCTGGAGCAATTTTTGGTAAACAAGGTTTTTAATGTTTTAAAAATCTTAAATTTTTTATTTAATATTCAATTAAAGCTTACAATAGCTCAATGGGCTGAGAATTGTTTACAATACTGTTCATTAAATTAGGTTTACGAAATATTTATTTAAAAACTTTTCAACACTCATCCATATTCTCTTGTGTGTGTGGGGAACTGAAAAAGTACTCGCTAGCTCTGAAAATGGTTTCATAAAATAAATATAATGTTAAAAAAATTCAATTAATCATTAAGTATTTTAGCAAGAGTTAGATTCAAATTAGGGGTGTCACTGTATACTGTATATTTTTTATTAAAAGAGGTGCGGAAGGCAAGCAACAACAAATTCTCGTCCGAGAAATTTTTTCCTCATTTCCTCGTTCCTCTCTAATTCCTCGCCCTTCTTATATTTGTCTTTAACGTGTCCAATCATTGAAAAGTTCTGGATTTTTCAATAAAAATGAATAAACTGATTTAATTTCGATGAACTCGAAAAAATTGGAGGTATTCTATATTAAGAATATCTAAAATATATTTATGAATTGGACAAAAATATTGAAGGATTTCGAGGAGGCTCGGACGAGAAAATGAGGAGAATTGTTGAGGCTGCCCTTCAGACCTTCATCCCTTAAACTTTGCATTAAGCAAAAATGGTAGACTTCGACTGAAACATATATATTTTCCTTAGATACTTTACGATTTTTTAAAATTCATATTTAGCACTAGAAACATTTTAAAAATGTACCCTTGCTGTACATCTCACTTTATACTCCCCCCCATACTAGTTTTGATTTTGTTTTTTAAAATAATATTTAGCTTACAACTTGTTTTCGAACATTCCTAGAAAATATGAAAATGTCGTCTTCATTACCAAAAAACCTCGAAACATGGAAAATGGCATACAAATAAGTGTTCTGTTTAAATCGTATTTAATTATTTAGAAAAAAATTAAAAATGTTAACTAAATTACTTTAAAGCTAGTAAAAAGTGTTTTTTTTGCCGCTTAATTATGGAACAAATAAAGTCATGTATCTATGATAGAATTATTATGAAATCCTGAGTTTAAAAATCAAAAAAAAGACTATGTGAAATTTAAAGTATTTTTTGGAAAACTTTATATTATACTTTTCCCCAAAACATCAATCATCCCCCTCCCCTCTTACAAAAACTGAGATCCCCCTAACCTTATACAAATGCTTCTAGGGAAATGATAAAAATAAATAAGAAAAGAATAAATAGTAATAAGAATAGAATTACTAAGGTTTCCTAAGTGTATAGCAGGTATGGTAGAAATCTCGAGATTTCCCTGGTTTATCCAATAATCCACCTCTATATACGTATAAAGTGATAATTATATAATCTTATTGATAATAATGGTGAAAATGGTGACAATGGTGATAATGGTGATAATGATGATAAATATGATAATGATGATGATAATGATTATAATAATGATAATATAATATTAACAACAAGAATGTTATGTATTGTTATGTACTGTGCCTTTGTGTACTGTATTGTTGTTTACTGTACTTTTTTGTACTGTGCTTTTGCCTACTGTTCTGTTGTGTACTGTATGGCTGAGTACTAATTTGTTGTGTATTGTGAGGTTAAGTACTGTACTGATGTGTACTGTAAAAATATGTACTGTACTGCTGTGTACTGTAATGCTGTGTACTGTACTGTATCTACCGGTGGTCCTGACAGCAGAGAAGTATATACTCCTGCAGAGCTTGGGAGTTAAACAGCCAACTTTCTTCGGGTGCGTGTTCACTTAACAAGTTAACATATTCTTTTAATTTTATTTATAATATTTAATTTTATTGATAATATTTCAAGAACAATTTCATGCAAAATAAAAATGTCCAAAAAGTGGCCAAAATTTCTTATTTTTTTTAGCTTTTAAATATTTTCACAAATTTTACACGATTTATCAAAATCCAAAAATAATTTTAATTTTTCATAATTTTATGTAAAGTTCTATACAACATGTTTAGTTTGAGATTAACCTGGGGGAATTAGAGAGAATAGAGTGTATGAGAGGGAATATTCCCCCCTGCCAGAAACTGTAGCAGCCGTCCACTAGCTTATTCGTTCGACCCTAACAAACAGATTCAAAATTCGGTGATGGTTATGGACCAAACCTCTGTAGAGTAAAAAAGTAGATGTTAGTTCCATATTTATTGAAAATATATTTCGGTCTGGGTTGACCCCCGTCAGTTCTAACGATATAATAACCATCAAAATCGATAAAAAATTTTTAAAAATTTTGTAAAAAATCACAAGAAAATAAACAAACAAAAAAGATTATTCAAAATAAAAATTTGGGTTGTCAAATGGACATAAGGAAAACGAACTCAGATTATGAGATGGAAAAGAGATAATTTGCAAATATTCACTTTTTTAAATAATGTTTTAAGACAATTATTATTCCTTGAGACTGTTTCTGTCACAAAGATTAAAAACAAACTGTTTGGATGTATGTGTATAGAGTGGTGGTGGGGGTCGATCTATATAACGAACTTTTGTCCCCCCCTCCAGTCTAATCTGCTTATTAACTAATAACTACTAGCTGGGAAAACCAGCTTTGCCAGGGAACTAAACTTTCTCTTTAAAGTCAACCAAATCAATCTAATTTTAAACCAAGCTAAGAACATTCCCGTTGAGTCTACCGAGTTCCACAATCAAAATGTGAGGCAAATCGGTAAAAGGGTTTACAACGTCACAAGTTATAATCGGACATACAAATAAACAGAGATCACTTCATTATATATATATATATATATATATAAAGATACCTGGAACCCCCCCTCCAGTCTCATCTGCTTATTAACTGCCCAAAGTAAAAGGTTTTCAGTGTTACACAATGATTCTTTTCCCATAATTATAAGAGCCGCTAGACCTAAATAAAAAATTTGATACAAAAATTATTTTTTTTAAAACATCAAAAAAGGGAATTGAAATATATTTGGCTTGTTCCCTTAGTGCACCATTAAATTAACGTCAAAACGGCTGAACCGATCGGTCCCAAATCTTTCTTTGTAGCTCAAATACTTAAGGGTAAAATCTAACAATGCAATTGTAATTTAAAACTTTACAATACCGACTAAACTGAAATTTTCATTCGCCCACGTCTGATTTCGGGGAGGGGGGAGGGGGCATGTACCCCCTTTTACTTACCACAGAATGTGTACCCTCCATGAGCTTCCATCCCTGGGACCCCTCCGAATCCTCCCTCGTAGGTTTGGCAGCGCAGCAACCATTCCTCTGTTTTTGCAAACAAGGAACTTAAACATGAAAATGTAAAAGTAAATTTAGAAAAAGTAAAAGTAAATTAAGAAAATGTAAAAATAAATTAAGAAAATATAATTCAAATTGGAGTGAAAATTCAAATTTCAATTAAAACTGTGACGAGACTAAAAAGTAATGAATTAATTCTTCTACATATATTTATGCTAGGGCTAATGTATACCAGGGCTTATTGTATCTTAATGAAAAAATGTAATTATTTTTTTTCATGAATTAATCATATCGTAAAAATGGCAAACCTTGAATATATATTGGTAAGCCTAGCAACTGAAAGAGCACAGTAAACACCTCTGATATCAATTTCCCCGTCTATATGCATAGTAAATGCACCGTCAGGACACCTGCAATTCAAATATTTAATTTTGTTTTACTTTTTTAGGATAAAAATGGTCAAACAAATAATTAAAATAATAAAAAGTTCCAATCCAAGGAAAAAAATCGGGCATGTTATACTATAAATTGAAATATGGTCAACACAAAACAGTCTCTATAAAAAAAATACTAAAAATAATTTTCCCACCTAAGTTTGTCCAGCCATGTTGCCAGTTTTCTACGATCTATTAGAGACAAGGCGTCGTCAGTTCCAACTGAACACAGACTATCTCTCAATAAAATTAATTGTTTGATATATTCATTATAAGTTTTCTTATAAGTTCTAAGTTAAACAATTTTGAACGATCAGTAGTACCGGGAATCTTGAACACTTGATCTCGATTTCCAATGTGGGCACTTTTAAAACTGAGGATAAATGCTTGACCCCTTCATCAAAGTTTCCCAAATAAGGATATGATCACCAAAGATGTTAAAAGTAACTAAATTAATCCGTTTAATTAATCCATTAGATGGAGATCATTGCTTATTGCTTAATCCCCAGATTAACAACAAAAAAGTTCTGACTACGGACTGAGTTAATCTTTATCTTCCAACGTTTTTAAAATACATTAATCCCTTTCGTTTCCTCCCGTACATTTATAAGAACTAATCTGAAGAACACATACTTATCACTAAGGAGTTAACAGCAGCATATGTAGGAGCTAGATGAGCAAGTTGACCTGGTCCACCAGCAAACCCTCCTTCACTATCTTGACACCTAATTCAGGATATTGTAGAGAAGTTATTTCAAAGCTAAAACTGAAAATCCGGAATGGCATAACATGTAAACCAGTGCTTAGTATCCGGATCCGGATCTGTATGGATCTGCAAGATTTTAGCTTCCTGGATCCGGAACCAAGATGCAAAAAAAGTTGAAAAAAATCAGTATATCTTAAAGAAATGTTCATGACCTGGATTCGGATCCATTTTTCCCAGTGCGGATCCAGGATCCGGATCCGCATCAAAATTAAATAAAATTAACCTGGGGTGTCAAATATGTAAATGGGATAAACCTTGCAGGTCTTCCACCAAAACCTCTCTTCTTTCGTACACAATTGTTTAAAGATTTATTGTAGTAAATAAATAACTTAAGTATGATAAATAATAATAATAAAGTTCATCTGAGAGATAACATACAACCCCTCCTTCATCAAAGAGGTATATATTTAGGAGAAGAACCACCACCCCCCATTGAAACTTTTAATTAAAAATTTCATTTTCTTTTCCCTTGAAATCGAGTATTTTCCATAATTCATTAATAAATGACCAAACATTTTTGAATATTAGTTTATTCGTAAGATAGTATATACTTCATATTCAAATTGATATGAAAAAAAGTGATGCTATCCTTAAGGGTATTTATGTTCTATTTGAACTATTTGAAAAGAAATCTGAAAAAGAGGTCCCGTTCTATACCTGGCTAAAAAGTTAGTTATATTGATCTTGTCTTCTCTACTCAACTCCTCCCCCAATAGTTCCAAGGAGTGAAGGATCCAATACACCAACCAGGGCCGAGAAGCATCTAGAATTTAGATTTTGTTTTAATTGAGTGTTCTAGAAAAGAGATGTTTTGGTGTCGAGCCAAAGTATATTAATCGATTAATCCTTTATCACATTTCAGGAACATTCACTTTAAGCTTTAATGTCATTTTTTCTGTTTAAACTTTATTCATGGTTACGAGTTGTTGGGTAGTCATTTCTATCAAATATCTCTCACTTAGTATTATCCAGCCTAGCAAGTAACCTAATAATGTAAAATTTAAATAGTTTCACTAAAAACAGGTTCATGGTGTTGTTTTTGACACTGGAAAATGTTACTCTTACTTTAATTTAGAACCCAAGTATTCAAGAAACCTATTTTATGGATTTCGTAATTTCAAGTAATTCTCTTCATTTACAGTGACATGTTTGATTCACAACAATACCCTAAAATGCGAGATCCACCACCTTCTCTATAAAAATGGATAATTTTCAAAAGTGATTTCTTTGTAAAGTGACTTGCGCATTTCTGCTTCAGCAAAAACAAAAGAATCTTGTCAGAACACTTTAAAACTAAAAAAAACGACAATATCTTCCACATTCTTGATCAGATAAAGGTTTAAAGGGAACAGGTTAAATAGGGAGATCACTTGACACTACGCCGACTGGGTTTGAATGAAGGAATTCAAGGAAAGCTACAAAAAATGCGGATTGGATTAGGAATTGCATCCTACAGAATTATCCTGTTGTTAAATAATGAGATATCTCATAATATCAATAATATCTCAGGATAATAATAATTATTATCTCAATTTATCTCAGCCAAAGAGATATTTTTGTGTTTATAAATATTCCTTAATATAGAAACTTGATAGTTCTCAGAGAAAATATATTTCGAAATTTTAAAAATCCTTTTCAATTCTATACAAAAACAACCATATTATTTTTTAACAAAAAGATAAGGAAAAATACATTTAATAACAAAAAGTGGAAAAAGATTTTTTGAATAAAAGTTAATATGGTAACCTTGAGTTGGAACTGAATAAAATGTACGAGTAGAGGATTCTAGAAGGGGGGGGGGGAAGGGAACGAGTTGACCGACAGTACTATAGAGGGGAGGAAGTAGGATTTGGCTGGGGCAAGGGGGTATAAATTCAGGTTTTATGATAAATCAAAAGAAAAATATCAAAAGAAAACAAAACTAAGAAAAAAAAAAAATAAAAAAATAACCAAACACCCATCTAAAGGCAAAGAATAAAAAAGGCAACTATATTTATACATTTTTCTGCTTGTTCCACAGATTTTAGTCTATCCTTGAATTTTCGACCAGTTTCACCTATGTACTACTGTTTGTAGTTATCTTTTTTGCATGTAATGCAGTATACAAAATTTTCAGAGTTACAATCTACTTTGCATCTCAGCTCTACTTTAAACCTTGTTGCTGAGCTTTCAACAACACAGTGTTCAGAAATATAGGGGCCACAACAACAGTTTGCTTTTCTACATTTCTTCATTCCTACAATCTTTCTCTAGTCTCCAGTAGATCCAGGTAGCTTGGTTTTCCCGAGCAGATTCCGTAGAGTGCTATTCCTTGCCTGTTTAAATGCAATCATAGGAGGTAAAGGGAAAACATCCTTGATACAAGAATCCTTAGTCATGACCTTCCATGCCTTATTTAGAATATTGAATATAGAAGGTAGGGCTGGATGAAAAGTTGTGACAAAAACCACCCTGTTCGTTTTTTCTACCAATACTTTTTTCCATGCTTCCGCCCTTGGAATCAACAGAGCTCGGAAAATAGCAGAGTCAATAATAGAAGGAAGATATTTTCTGGAAAATAGCAGTCAATAATAGAAGGAAGATATTTTCTGGAAAATAGCAGAGTCAATAATAGAAGGAAGATATTTTCTGGAAAATAGCAGTGTCAATAATAGAAGGAAGATATTTTCTGGAAAGCAGAAGATCTTTGAGTTCCTCTAACCTAGATATATGTGTGGAACGATCAGAACAAATTCTATAATTTAAATCTATAACACAAGCTGTAGGGGATGTTTGTAGTTATGTTGGGAAGGGTGGTAGGAGGAAGGGAGTAGATATTGACATCTATCTGTTGGTTTTCGATATAGATCTGTACATAACTGACCTTCTCTGATAGTAACTAGAGTATCTGAGAATGGAATGGATCTCCTAGAATGGCAGAAACAATCATGTGGTGGGGTAGTAAAAAAACATAGTTCCTTTAAATCATCAAAAATATAAAAATATGTAAATCTCATCGTACTAAAGGCTAGAAAATAACCTTAAACAAAGTTCTTCTACGTTTCTCTGTTCCACTGATGTAGCAGTATGCTCTCCTTCCTCCTGTAATTATAATATACACAGGTGAGCTTTTAGCTTATTAATAGTTAAGATGTTAAAAATCTTCAATTTGAAATTCAGTTGATGGAAAATTTGAGAATTGCATCTTTATATAGGATGAAAATCAGAGTGTCATTGAGAACGCTTCTTTTAATTTTATACATGACCTAGACTTCAACTATTTTTCAACAAAATGAACAATATTATTTATTATACTTCAGAGTTTGATTTAGACATTTTTTGTTTAGGACGTCCGTTTATCCCTTAACCCTATTTGGCCTGGGGGGGGGGAGTCAATTTGACCCCCCTATCGTTTTATTGCGATAACTGAAAAAGTATTTGAGCTAGAAAGCTCAAATTTTCTGGCTTTCCTAACTAACACATCCCCTCACTTGAGGCTAAAAGCTGGGCTTTTATACCTACTGCCTGAGTCCTCCCGCATACTGCCTAAATGCCTTATTTTACCTGTACCAGACTAAATCTAGGTTTAGACCTACTTCCGGTCATTGAATTTCAACATTTCAATTGCACAATTTTTGCAAAGACATGTTGCACAGATTTTTGCACAGACACGTTTAAAGGGAATTTACACTTTTACTGTTTTTCTTGAATAGACATTTAGTTTTAAAAAATTTTGCAAATATTTTTGCACATTTGAATTCGCTGGGGCAAGGGCTTCTCAAAACTGTACAATTTGTTGCAATTTGTGCAATTTTATATTTACATTTTTTGCTTAATAACTAGATTTTGCAATAAATAATTGAATTTTTGCAAATTTGAATTTTTTTGCAGATTATTGAAGGGCTTTCCAAAAACGTGTCAAATTTGTAATATATTTGAATCACAATAAGAAAATTGAGGGGGGGGGGTTCAATTTGCCCCCCCCCCCCCCCGACAAACAGTCATGAAACCAGACGTCAGGTTACATAGGGTTAAAATCTTTTAAAGCCGCAAAATTAGAAATGTTCGAATTATATTTTAATTTTACCTTAAACTTTTCTAGCAGAAGATCTGAGTGAAGTCTACTTTCAGCAGACATTTTAAACTCTATAAAATTGTTAAACATGGATGGGAGAATTTTGAATTATAATGAATTGCCAGATTGTCAAATATCAGAATATCTATTAATTAAATAGTGATCTCTGATTATCTATTTATGTGTCCGATAGTAACTCAGGTATCCTTTGACATTGACAATTTGCCTCAAATCTGATTGAGGAACTTAGTAGAATGACAGGAAAGTGTAATTATGTTGCTTTTGAATTTCAAGTTAAGTGGATTGACTTTTACAGAGAAAGTTAAGAGTTCCATTCAAAGCCTAGGTTTCCAGGGGCGGATACAGGGGGGTGCGGCAGGACCTTCCCCCCCCCCCCTTGAGATTTCAGAATGGCTCCTCAATAGCATTTCAGGGAAAGAAAACCTAGTGCAAAACAGGAAAACTTTCGATCATATAAATGTTTTTCTCAAATCTGGATGTTTTTGTTCCGAAATAAATCTAGCACCCTCCTCACTTAAATCCTGTATCCGCCCCTGTAAATTACCAAACATGTATAAAATAATCTTACAAATGACAAAAAGTAGTCAAAACCTAAAAAACAGCCGTCCGGATCTCTTCACTTTGAAATAAAACAAAATAAATATTTGTTGAAGAAGTTAATTGAAAATTAGGTCATCATGTACACTAAAATTGATAGGAGGGGGGGAAGGTAGTTTCCTAGTATTAACAAAAAAATAAATAATGATAAATTTGCTGAAAAATAAATGGTCATGTACAAAATTGATAGGAAGGGGGGGCTGGGGGGGGTCCAAAAATCGTATTCTAGGACAGACCCAGACCCTTAACTTTAAATATCACAATTGAAATATTTATGGTCTAATTTAAAAGTAACAACTATTTGTGACTTTTTCACCGGAAAATTGTGTTTAATTTGAACTTTGAAAAAACCGTGAACAAGGCATTTGCGCATTTCAAGTCGTCTTTTAAAAAATCTCCTCCCTTGTCTTAAATGTCGTCTTCTTCTTGTTGCTAATTGCGTAGTTTTGTATTTGTTTACATTATCAGCTGATCGTCTAACAAAGACCAAACACTATCACTTTTTTTTGCATTACTGCATTCCATCATTCGTCTGTCATGCACTACTAGTGCAGTCAAGTGAAACTTATGTTACTTACTTAACAATTATGTGTTTTTAATATTCTGGTGAAATGTTGTTAAAATAATTAAAGATATCATGATGAAATGTATTCTATTGCGTATTAGGAGTTGTGTCAACTTGTATCAAATATCTATATTCGAGTAAAATCAAGGTTTTGTTAACTACGCTGGACAGTGGATGGATAGTTAATTATTTAAATTATTTAAACTGAGTTTTAGAGGTTAAATTTTAAACATGCCGTAAGTCTATATATCTAAATTGTTGAAGTAAAAAATATTTATTAATTGTATTGCTTGAGTTTAGAAAAGCAGGCAGTAATTATGAGTCTAAGTGACGGCTTTGGATACCTCAAACAAGGCCTAGTCACTGGACTTGGTAAGTTAAATATAACTTTTTTTTAAAAATATTTTCATGAGCTGAACTAGCTGTTCTTTAAAACTAATTAAGATTCCTCTAATCTTCTGCTATTTCTTAAAAATAAAACACTCATTGTAACCTCCCCACCCGATTCTGTTCTAGCCACAGCGCTCGGCTCAAATTTCTGAAACCCACAAATGCCAATAATTATTAACTTCAGGTCGAAAATACTCAAAATTGAGGTCATAATGAATATTTAAAGGATGGGGGGGGGGGGATTTAAAAGCGGGTCGACCCAATACTCCTTTTGATGAATACTTTTTAGGTGGTTTTGGACTTGGTGGAGAAATGGATCCTGCAATTTCCTTCTTATCCTTCAATCAGGTTTTTATCTTTTCATCTTTTCTAAACTTCATTATTCTGTCATCTCACTTTTAATCATAGTGATATATCGTTTAATGTAAATGCTCACATATTCAATGTCAAATTGCTCCTAATTTATAATCTTAATTTTAATTCAGTGATCTCATTTTCAATATCTTTAATAACAAATGCTATTTTAGCAATCTTATTTTTATTTTCATTCTCACATTTTTAATGGCAATGCTCTCAGTTATCAACAATATTAATTTCACATAAATAAACTGATTATTAAATGTCAATGTTCTCATTTTCTATGTCAATGATCACATATTCAATGTCAATGATCACATTTACAATGTCAATGATCACATTTTCAATGTCAATGATTACATTTTCAATGTCAATGATCACATTTTCAATGTCAATGATCACATTTTCAATGTCAATGATCACATTTTTAATTCCGGTTTTTTCAATTCCAAAGTAAGTTATATCAATTCTAAGTCAATAATCTCATGTTTAATGTCAATGCTCTCATTTTTACACTTCAGAATTTCGTTCTTAAAATCAATAATCTCAGTCTCAGTGATCTCAATTATTTTATTTGAAAAAAAAATTGAGAATTAAAATTTTATTATTTTGAGGATGCGAGTTCACTGACTTTGGGTACTGAGGACGGATACAAGATCTACTCTCTAACCTCAACAGATAAACTGGATCTGGTTTATTCAAACCAGGAGAAGGAGGTAGGTTTTATACAAACTAGGAGAAGGAGGTAGATATTATACAAACTAGGAGAAGGAGTTAGGTTTATACAAACCAGGAGAAGGAGGTAGGTTTTATACAATCCAGGAGAAGGAGGCAGATTTTATACAAACTAGGAGAAGGAGTTAGGTTTATACAAACCAGGAGAAGGAGTTAAGTTTTATTCAAACCAGGAGAAGGAGTTAGGTTTTATTCAAACCAGGAGAAGGAGTTAAGTTTTATTCAAACCAGGAGAAGGAGTTAGGTTTTATTCAAACCAGGAGAAGGAGGTAGGTTTTATTCAAACCAAGAAAAGGACGCAGGTTTTATTCAAACCAGGAGAAGGAGTTAGGTTTATACAAACCAGGAGAAGGAGTTAGGTTTTATTCAAACCAGGAGAAGGAGGTAGGTTTATTCAAACCAGGAGAAGGAGGTATGTTTTATACAAACCAGGAGAATAAGTTAGGTGTATACAAACCAGGAGAAGGAGTTAGGTTTTATACAAACCAGGAGACTGAGTTAGGTTTATTCAAACCAGGAGAAGGAGTTGGGTTTTATTCAAACCAGGAGAAGGAGGTAGGTTTTATTTAAACCAAAAGAAGGATGTAGGTTTTATAAAAACCAAGAGAGGGGTTGGAGGGGGGAGGGGGGGGGTAGATAATTAACAATGTATTCCCTTTACAATTTATGTTTAAATAATGAATGTTGAAAAATAGAAATTTTTAAAAATATATTGAAGGAATAAGACAATTCTATTTTTTATAAACAGTGATTTGAATTTTATATTTAGGTTTTTATCGCAGAGAGGCTTTTCAGTAGCAGTTTAGGTAACAATACATATTAAAAAACACGATTTTAATATTTTTAAACATTTTTCGTTCATATAATATTAAAAATTTGTTTTATTGTAGTTGCTGTTGTTACCATGGACAATCCCAGAACCTTGATAGTTTCTCATTTTAAAAAAGGTTTGAGGAAGAATAAAAATTAAATTTTATTAATTTAATGCACTTTTTATTTTTTACGTTTTTTGTTGTTGATAATTTTCTATAGGATAAATTTTTTATTAAAGACTAAATTAACGAATAAAATAATTTTTATAAGGGAGTGAGATATGCAGATATTCCTACAATGAGAGAATACAGGTACACAGGCAGACAGACAGACAGACAAACACATAAACACCCAGACAAGAATACAGACGAATAGACATAAGACAAGCATTGGAAAAATACGATGAGACACCTTGATCAAATTGCAGTTAATGAGACAATAAAGTCTAGACTATAATACAGCCTTTGTGTTCTTAAAAACAAAATGTTAAATCAGCGAATTTTCCGGAGAAAAAATAACTTCTTACAAAAATTACCTAATCGTTTTTATTTCACAATTTAAGAAATACAAACGACTATACTGGTAAAATTTTTAATTATGTTTTGCGGCAGAGTGCTTACAAAAAACTGTTGGCGCTCTCCGCGCAAATATTCTTAAATTGATCTAAAAATAAGTGGGGGGAAGGATTTTTCTGGAAAATATATACCCCTGAGTGTTTAACAAGGTTGTATTACAAGGTAGGTTACTTTCAATGTGTTCCAATTTACGGAAAATGTCTCCTTGGTGCTTAATATTGAATGTTTAAAAAATAAACAAATACACAACTAACAGTCCGAATCCTAATATGAATGATCTAGGGTGTGAGGATGAATCGAGGACGACTAGTGGTTTGTCTGGAGGACAGCCTTTTCATACACAATATCAGAGATATGAAGGTAAACCTTCTTTATACACAATATCAGAGATATGAAGGTAAACCTTCTTTATACACAATATCAGGGATATGAAGGTAAACCTTCTTTATACACAATATCAGGGATATGAAGGTAAACCTTCTTCATACACAATATCAGGGACATAAAGGTAAACCCTCTAAATACACAATATTAGGGATATGAAGGTTAACCTTCTTCAAACACAATATTAGGGATATGAAGGTATTCCTTCTTCATACACAATATTAGGGGTTATGAAGGTAAACCTTCTTCATACACAATATTAGGGATATGAAGGTGAACCCTCTTCATACACAATATCAGGGATATGAAGGTAAACCTTCTTCATACACAATATCAGGGATATGAATGTAAACCTTCTTCATACACAATATTAGGGGTATGAAGGTAAACCTTCTTCATACACAATATTAGGGATATGAAGGTAAACCCTCTTAATACACAATATTAGGGATATGAAGGTAAACCTTCCTCATACACAATATCAGAGATATGAAGGTAAACCCTCTTAACACAATATTAGGGATATGAAGGTAAACCTTCTTCATACACAATATTAGGGATATGAAGGGAAACCCTGTCCATACACAATATCAGGGATATGAAGGTAAACCCTCTTTATACACAATATTAGGGATATGAAGGTAAACGATCTTCATACACAATATTATGGATATGAAGGTAAACCCTCTTCATACACAATATTAGGGATATGAAAGTAAACCCTCTTTATACACAATATTAGGGATATGAAGGTAAACCCTCTTCATACACAATATTAGGGATATGAAGGTAAACGATCTTCTTACACAATATTATGGATATGAAGGTAAACCCTCTTTATACACAATATCAGGGATATGAAGGTAAACCCTCTTAACGCAATATTAGGGATATGAAGGTAAACCCTCTTCATACACAATATTAGGGATATGAAGGTAAACGATCTTCATACACAAAATTAGGGATATGAAGGTAAACGATCTTCATACACAATATTAGGGATATGAAGGTAAACCCTCTTTATACACAATATTAGGGATATGAAGGTAAACCCTGTCCATACACAAAATCAGAGATATGAAGGTAAACCCTCTTCATAAAACAATAAGACATGTTTCTGTTTTTGAAAACTGTTTATTATCATTTTGTTTAGTTTCTCTGTAAAACGGACTTGCACATTTCTTGCTTCAGAAACTATGGAGAAATTGTCAGAATTAATCACCTTTCATGTCAGAAAAACGACGTTATCTATCACATCATTGATCAGATTAAGGTTGCTGGAATACTGTTGTGAACCGGGCATCTCTCTATAACTAGAGGGTAACCACAAATTATGACGAAAATCTCTTTAAAGAAGAAAAATTGTTAAGGTACTTCATGTAATCCGGGAAACCCCTCCTAATCCCCGAGGTTTATTCGCTCTCTCTACAGACAGTGATAACAACTACCTCGCATACCCAGGACATTCAACTATAGGAGAACTTCAGGTATAAACTTATACACTAGTTTGGAAACCCAGCTTAGTCTGGAAACTACTCTTTTCCATTAAAATCAGCTTAACAAACTTGGAATTTGTAAACCGTGGTTCTACGTAGTTCCCCAATCAAAGTTTGAGGCAAATTGGTCAATGGGTACAAGAATTATGATCGGACATAAAATACTCCGGCACTAAATTATGAAGACGACACCAAAGTAATATTGTCCCTGCTTGATGTTGTTGTAAAGCATCTAATTTAAGCAAGTAGTTTGAAAATAAAAACCTGAACGGTCAAATTGCAATTGATATTTAGTTCGTCTACTACTCCTGATTCAAAATTGCATAAGTTAATTGTTTGTTGATTTGGGCTTTTGAAGAAAAAACAAGATTAGGACAGAAATATATTTTACTGGCAGAAATTATCCTGTATATTTTTTTAAGTACTTGTGTTAAGTCATAAAAAATATCATCTTAATAACATCAAACTATGCAGTTTTCTCTTTTTTCAATGCCTCTTGCAACATTTTATAATTGAAAATATTTGATTTCATTCAGATTTTTGACACGGTAAACTTGTATTCCCGTGTGAGTATTCCGGCGCATGAAGGTCAACTGGCAGCTATGCAATTCTCCCCTTCAGGAAACAGGTTAGGGACGATCTTAAAGGGAGTGTTCGCGAAAAATAAAAAGTGGTATAGGCTGATTCTAAATTAAATTTGGTTTTGATCGCCACTATTTTTAATGTGTTGAGACTATAAGGAGAAAATTATTAGAAACGCTTAAATAGCTTAGAGACCATGTGACCAATGACCATCCATTAACAGAGTCATTCTACATACAGAGAACCCTCAATTGAAAATAATCAATTTTAAGATAGAAAAGGAGGAAAAACATCAGTTTACATCAGACAAAGGTTTTTAAGTTACCGTTATTGATCAGACATGGCACTCCATAGCTATGGTGTCATTTAAAAGTACGTCCTACATTCACTTTAAGTTTCAAGTGTTCTCTCATTTTGATGCTTTTTAAACCTAAAATACTAACAAATAACGTTCGAGTGAGATGATTCAGGAATATGTCATATTTAATTAAGTTAATGTTAAGTTCAAGTTTCTTTTGTTTATAATTATTTAATTGCTAGGATTGCTACAGCAAGTGATAAAGGAACTGTGATACGTGTATTTAATTGTGAGAACGGGTCCAAGCTTTACGAGCTGAGAAGAGGGTTAAAGAGAACTGCTACGATTTATAGGTCAGCTTTAACTAGGTTTACAGGTTTTTTTTGGAGAATTTCACACAAAATTACTCACTCATCACAATTTATATATATATTTTTCAATTGAATTCAAGCTAACTCTTGGAGTGAAAATTCCTCTAGGAAATAGTTAATGTTATTTATTTTGTAATTTTGATTTAATAACCAATAGCAGCATTTGTAAATTGAATAGTGTCTTCTATTTATTTATTTTGGCATTCCCCCCCCCCCCTTCCAAAAGTAGTTTCACGAAGAAGAAAATGCTATATGTAATATCATTATTTTTCTTTAGTTTGGCGTTCTCTCCGTGTGGTTCCTTCCTGGCGTGTTCCTCTAATACCGAGACAGTGCACGTCTTTAGGATGGAGGAGAAGGTAAACTATGTTTCTAAACCCATAACGTCGGAGACATCATAGAGTTTATAAAATGTCGTCTTGAAATTATTTTTAATAGTGATAGTTTTTTTCGCGGCATGAGGGATATCTGTTTTTGGTATTATCAGTAGGTTAATAAAGTTTTTTACATTTTGATTCTTGTTTCCTATTCACATTGTCCTTACTTTTACTTTTTTATTTACTGTTTTATTCAAAGTACGGATTTGAACTTATATTCAATGTCAAATTTAAAGGTCAATGACGCCATGCTTAATTGCTAAAAAAATACCATTTTTACCCTTTTTACTTGCTAATCTCAGGATAGTAACCATGTTGTTTTTACCGTTTTGAGGAAAAAATCTAAAAGTCGTTTTTGAAGTCTTATTGAACCCTGTTTTTAGACGACTGATCCTGCTCCGTTGTGTGGCAGCCCTAGCGAGGACCTTTTCGGATACATTCACCAGGAACACAAATAAAATTAAAATAAATTTTATTTGGGAAAATTAGACTTAGGTCTAAGCTTTCGTTGAGACTAATCTAAGTCTCGAGCATTTGGATTTTAGTTGCAACTAATTTTCGATATAGTTGAGTTAATTAAACCGGTTTAATATTGTTTTTGCTGGATTTGTATGGTTAGAATTTGCGGATTCGAGGGATGTGATTAGAATAGACTAAACATTGAGACTAATTCTCCACTAAAACCAACCAGGGGCTGCTTTATTTTTAAGTCCCTAAAGTCGAGTCTAAGAGCATGGTTGCTGTCGATCACGTGACACAAGCTGTCGTCAGCTGATGAATAAGTTGGGTCTTAGATTGATCCTTAAACCTGGGTCTGAGGTATTAAGACTCGAGCCGAAGCTCTGAAAGTGTTATATTTCAATAAAGAAAGTTATACAAGATGCAGATAATTTAACGACAAGTTTATGATGAATTCTCTTCTTCAGTTTTTAAATGTAAATCATTTCATTGGAAATAATTATTTAATTTTGCTATTGTGTCCAGTTTGTAAGTGCAGGTGCTGTACTTCTTCCAACCCAGATGACCGATACCCTGATGCAGGGCAGAGCATTTGCCTCGGTGCACCATACACTTACAGGTAGCATTCGCCTTGGTACACCATACACTTACAGGTAGCATTTGCCTGGTTACACCATACACTTACAGGAAGCATTCGCCTCGGTGAACCATACACTTACAGGTAGCATTCGCTTCGTCACACCATACACTTACAGGAAGCATTCGCCTTGGTACACAATACTCATACAGGTAGCATTGCCTCGGTACACCATACTCTTACAGGTACCATTCGCCTCGGTAAGTAATACACTTACAGGTACTATTCTCCTCAGTGCACCATACACTTTCAGGTATCATTCGCCTTGGTACACCATACACTTTTAGTTAGCATTGGCCTCAGTACGCCAAACTCTTTCAGGTGGCATTTGCCTTGGTACACCATACTATTACAGGTAGCATTCGCCTTGGTACACCAACCACTTAAAGCCAATATTCTTCTTGGTACAAAATACACTTAAAAAGCAATATTCGCCTTGTTAAACCATACCTTTAAAGGCAATATTTGCCTTGGTACACCACACTCTTAAATGCAATATTCTTCTTGGTACACCATATACTTAAAAGCAATATTCGCCTTGGTACACCATACTCTTGAAGACAATATTCTCCTTGGTACACCATACTCTTAAAGACAATATTCTCCTTGTTACACCATACTCTTAAATGCAATATTCGCCTTGGTACACCATACTCTTAAAGGCAATATTCGCCTTGGTAAACCATACACTTAAAGGCAATATTCGCCTTGTTACACAATATACTTAAAGGCAATATTCGCCTTGGTACACCATACACTTAAAGGCAATATTCGCCTTAGTACACCATACACTTAAAGGGAATATTCGCCTTGGCACACCATTCTCTTAAAAGGCCATATTCGCTTTGGCACACCGCACACTTAAAGGCAATATTCACCTTGGTACGCCATACTCTTAAAGGCAATATTCGCCTTGGTACACCATATACTTAAAGGCATTATTCGCCTTGGTACACCATATACTTAAAGGCAATATTCGCCTTGGTACACCGTCCTCTTAAAAGGCAATATTCTCTTTGGTACACCACACACTTAAAGGCAATATTCGCCTTGGTACACCATACTCTTAAAGGCAATATTCGCCTTGGTAAACCATACACTTAAAGTCAATATTCGCCTTGTTACATTATATACTTAAAGGCAATATTCGCCTTGGTACACCATACACTTTAAGGCAATATTCCCCTTGGCACACCATCCTCTTAAAAGGCAATATTCGCCTTAGTACACCATACACGTAAAGGCAATATTCGCCTTGGCACACCATCCTCTTAAAAGGCAATATTCGCTTTGGTACACCACACACTTAAAGGCAATATTCTCCTTGATACACCTTACTCTTAAAGGCAATATTCGCCTTGTTGGTACACCACACACTTAAAGGCAATATTCGCCTTGGTACACCATACACTTAAAGGCAATATTCGCCTTGGTACACCATTCTCTCAAAGGCAATATTCGTCTTGGTACATCATACTCTTAAAGGCAATAATCGCCTTTGTACACCATACTCCTAAAGGCAATATTCGCCTTTGTACACCATAAATTTGACTACCAATCATATTTGATATTTTAATTAGATATTTATGTAGGCGTAAACCGATGTGCACTAGTCAGTATCAGAAATAGTGTTCGTCTTCTTCTAGCTAGTCAGGTTAGTACAAGGATTAGTTAATTAGGTTAGTGATAGATACAGCTATTAAAAATAGCTAGTTATGAGAGTTTTATAATTAGCTATTAAGACCTGAAATTATAGCTAGCTAGGGCAGTAATAGAAATAGCTAGAATTAAACATAGCTAGGAAGCCAAGCTAAAGTTGTTGAAATAAATCAAAGAAGTATTTTATGAGCTATGTTAATCGATTAAGATTAATTAATTGATTTAAAGTGGTGGTTATTTTAGCATTGTTTTTATATTGCAGGATGGAAGACTGTACATCTATAATCTTGATCACAAAGAGGCAAATTTATTCTATTCAATAAATAGAACATTTTTAAACAAAACTTTTTAATTTTTTATTTCGTTGCTGAAGGAATCGTTTAAAAGTCACAATTATTTTTCAAGGGACTGTAAGAATAATGTCAAGTGATCTTCAACTTGTAGAGTGGTGTTTGCGATTTACAACAGTACCCTTTAAACCTTTGGTTGATCAAGGATTCACAACAGTACCCTCTTTAAACCTTTGGTTGATCAAGGATTCACAACAGTACCCTTTAAACCTTTGGTGGATGACGGACTTTTTCTTATTTATGTGGAGAAGCGTTAGACATAAATTCAATAATTTATATTAAATCTTCAATATCGGTTGGGGTTGTTTAAAAGGTCAATAAACATATAAAAGTATGACTGAGGGAGGGGAAGAAGTGATCTAGAAACAAATATTGATAAGAATGGTTGACTAGGGTGGAGATTGTTCTTTGATTCAACAGTTTCAGCTTATAGACCAGGATAATCAGGTACAGTACAAAATAATTCAGCTTATAGAGCAGGATAATCAGGTACAGTACAAAATAATTCAGCTTATAGAGCAGGATAATCAGGTACAGTACAAAATAATTTAGATTTGTTCAATTTTGGAAATCCTATGTAAATTGAAAACCGGAAAACATTTTAATTGATCAAAATGTAAGAAATACTGAATAACAGATAGGTCAGCAACAATAAACTTATAATATTACCAGAAACACAAGGTAACCCATAAAGGATGAGACTTTAATAACGGCATAAGCCTTAAATGTCACGTTGAAATAGGTCCTGTGATTGAACAAAGAGTTTAAATGACATACATTTGCAAGGAAAAGAATAAGTTTACATTTTGTGGTAATTTTGCAAAAAAGGACAAATTCTGGCTGAATTCTGGGCAGTAGTCTCGTCTCTTCTCAATTCTGGCTGAATTCTGGTCAGTAGTCTCGTCTGTTAAGTCTCAATTCTGGCTGAATTCTGGTCAGTAGTCTCGTCTCTTAAGTCTCAATTCTGGCTGAATTCTGGTCAGTAGTCTCGCCTCTCAAGTTCAATTCTGGCTGAATTCTGGTCAGTAGTCTCGTATCTCATGTCTCAATTCTGGGTGAATTCTGGTCAGTAGTCTCGTATCTAAAGTCTCAATTCTGGCTGAATTCTGGTCAGTAGTCTCATATCTCAAGTCTCAATTCTGGCTGAATTCTGGTCAGTAGTCTCGTCTCTCATGTCTCAATTCTGGCTGAATTCTGGTCAGTAGTCTCGTCTCTCATGTCTCAATTCTGGCTGAATTCTGGTCAGTAGTCTCGTATCTCAAGTCTCAATTCTGGCTGAATTCTGGGCAGTAGTCTCGTCTCTTCTCAAGTCTCAATTCTGGCTGAATTATGGGCAGTAGTCTCGTCTCTCAAGTCTCAATTCTGGCTGAATTATGGTCAGTAGTCTCGTCTTAGAAGTCTCAATTTTGGCTGAATTCTGGTCAGTAGTCTCGTATCTCAAGTCTCAATTCTGGCTGAATTCTGGTCAGTAGTCTCGTATCTCAAGTCTCAATTCTGGCTGAATTCTGGTCAGTAGTCTCGTATCTCAAGTGCTGAATTCTGGTCAGTAGTCTCGCCTCTCAAGTTCAATTCTGGCTGAATTCTGGTCAGTAGTCTCGTATCTCAAGTCTCAATTCTGGCTGAATTCTGGGCAGTAGTCTCGTCTCTTCTCAAGTCTCAATTCTGGCTGAATTATGGGCAGTAGTCTCGTCTTAGAAGTCTCAATTTTGGATAGAAACTCGGAATACTTGATGGTGATATAATAATATTTACCAAGGCCCAAATCTAAGAGATCTTAAATGAAAAATATCATTTTTAGATTCTCGGTTTAGAGGATGGACTTCAGGATTTAAACCCAGCCTCCCCTTCAGGATCATCTTCATGCTCATCATCATCACCATCATCTACTACATATGCGGACAGGTAATCATCATCATCATCATCATCATCATTATTAGCTTAATATTGGTGCAAAACCAAAATTCTGAACTATTTTACTTTTCAATCAATACAACAACAATGTTTTCCAAATTATTAATCAGATTCAGGTTAAAAGAGGACTTGTTAATCTGTAAATGTGTGAATCTGTCAAAAAAAATATTATCTAATCTATTTATCATTTATCTATCTTTCTATCCATTATCTATCATCTAATCTATTTATCATTTATCTATCTTCCTATCCATCTTTATATGATCTAATCTATTTATCATTTATCTATCTTTCTATCCATCTTTCTATCATCTAATCTATATATCATTTATCTCTCTTTCTATCCATCTATCTATCCGTCCTTCTATCATCTAATCTATTTATCATTTATCTATCTTTCTATCCATCTATCTATCCATCTTTCTATCATCTAATCTATTTATTATATATCTATCTTTCTATCCATCTTCTTCCTATCCATCTTTCTATATTCTATCATCTAATCTATTTATCATTTATCTATCTTTCTATCCATCTATCTATCCATCTTTCTATCATCTAATCTATTTATTATATATCTATCTTTCTATCCATCTTCTTCCTATCCATCTTTCTATATATATATCTATCTATCTATCTACCTATCTTTCCATTTCTGTATCCTTCTATCTATTTAGACTGAAAAACAAGGCTAATTCTGAGATGACTGATTCTGATAAATTCCACGAGATGGAGTCTGCAACAGAAACCCCTCCAACACAGGAATAAAACAATAATAATAGAAAACAAATTGAAATTTGAAAATTGAAAAATAGTCGTTTTTCCTAACATGTTATTCTATGAATAAAGGGTCATTTCAGATTACATCTGACATCATTCTATGAATGGAGGGTCATTTCAGATTACATCTGACATCATTCTAAGAATGGAGGCTTATTTCAGATTACGTATGACATCATTCTATGAATAGAGGGTCATTTCAGATTACGTTAAAAGTTTCCTTTAAACGAGTGTCCAAAGAAAAATGAAAGAGTGAGATTGATATCTTACCTTATTTGCAGGGCTGGGCAACGTTCCGTTAACGAACGGCAGGTTTTTGAAAATTAACGGAAAACTCCGTTAATGAATGGCAAAAACTGTTAATTTTGAAAACGCTTACAAACAAAAATTAAATTACGAAATATCTATTCCGTTAACACCACAAACAAAAATGAGGCCGTAACTTGAATAAAATACGGGAAAAAGTTGAGTATTTAGCCTAGAAGGAATGGATACCTGAAAAGTAGACCCGTCTTGTCATTTTAACTAAGCGTTAACAAACGGCTTTTTAAAAAACCTTAACGTGACCAGCCCTACTCATTTATATTGGATCGGTGCGTATATTAACAGGATGTATTAATTTAATGAAAAGGAAGGCTACAATATATTTATAACAAATAAAACATTATACTACAGGGTGTCCCAATAAACATGGGAATTCAGTGACGAATTCGATATCGTCTTTTCAAATAATTCTTGGATTTAGTATGTAATCCGTAGGAATTTCGTCTGCTAAATTTACAATTAGTTTGTTTATATTTTGACTGCATACGGTTGTTCTTAGTAAAACAAGAAAATTACAGTATACAAACACAGTTAACTTGTCCGTCTTCACTGTTCATCTTTCGGAGACATTATAGACACATCTTTACAGCCATTTACCGTTCTCAATAAATAAACTCTAGCAGACATAATAATATTATGGCTTGAAATTAGGTATTACAATGCTAATTCATAACAAAGACGATATCAAATTCGTCACTGAATTCCCATGTTTATTGGGACACCCTGTACAAGCTGCATCAAAGATAAAAGTTTACAAGCGAGTGGTTATATTGTTATTGTTTAAATTTTAGTGTTTTCTTCTAGACGATGATAGAGAATTCCCACCAGTGTAAATATTGTATTCCCACTTGTATACATAATTAATCCCCTTGTTCTATTCCCGCTTGTTAAAACTATAAATTTATTCCTCATTATATTAAATCTGTAGTTTGCATATCATTAATTTAATCCCAGTTATATTCCCAACTGAACACTTAATCCTTCTAATCCCAGTTCTATTCCCAACTGAACATTTAATTCTTCTAATCCCAGTTCTATTCACAACTGAACATTTAATTCTTCTAATCCCAGTTTTATTCCCAACTGAACATTTAATTCTTCTAATCCCAGTTCTATTCCCACCTGAACACTTAATTCTTCTAATCCCAGTTCTATTCCCACCTGAACACCTAATTCTTCTAATCCCAGTTCTATTCCCACCTGGACACCTAATTCTTCTAATCCCAGTTCTATTCCCACCTGAACACCTAATTCTTCTAATCCCAGTTCTATTCCCACCTGAACACCTAATTCTTCTAATCCCAGTTCTATTCCCAACTGAACACAACCTTCCCTAATCCCAGTTATATTCCCAAATGAACACAACCTTCCCTAATCCCAGTTTTATTCCCATCTAAACACTACCCAGGTCCAAACTTTTAGTTCAATCCCCACTTAATACTACCAGTTATGTTACACCTGCAGTTCTAATTCCCCCCCCCCCTTTTCACTTTAAAGTTATATATTCATAATTAATATTATTATTGAAGAATGTACAAATTCATTTCTTCTGGGCGAAAAAATGATAATTTCTACATAAGTAAAAAAAACTTGACAAAATATCGAAACCATGACTTAAAATTGATTTTTATGTCAATTTTGGAATTGTTTGATTAAGCATAGTTATTTGTTACAACTTTGCTTACGTATGGCATAAACACGCAGCGTGACATCACTTTTTAATAATATTCTTTGCTTTTTTATGCAACTAATCTTGTGAGTAATTTTTACCATTTATGGTTCTTGCAATTTTAGTGACGAACGAACAAAAACCATCATAATAAATTATATATTTGGGAGTAAATCTGCGTCATTTTTTATTAATTATTCTTTAATTATGCAAAAATATATTCTTACATTTTGTCTTGATATTTATCATGTTGTCACTCTTATAAACGTTGAATTAGACTACTTCTAACGTATTGGTGTTTTTGATGTTGTAAACATTGCTTTATTTACAAATGTAAAAAAAATATTCTCTTAAACATTAGAATAATGTTATAAATTAGTCAACATTGTAAAACAACCCATTAAATCATATGGAGAGTGCTTTCAGAAAACTTTAAAAAATTCCTAAAAATTTAGTAAAATTAAAAAGATACACAAGGCATCCTTTCTTAATTGTAATTTATATATTTAGGTGATTAAACCTGTAAAGCTTTAAAAGTTTATATTTCTTAAAAAAAAAACTTTTTTACTTGTTTAATTTTACTCTTTAGTCAGTAAGTTCATTTTTGGTTTGCCTCAACTTGGAAATATGTTATATTCCCATTTTTGGTGTGCCTCAACTTGGAAATATGTTATATTCCCATTTTTGGTTTGCCTCAACTTGGAAATATGTTAACCACCCTTTTTTGGCCATTTTAAAACGATGGAAGCTTATTTTTCGAAATAAAATGAAAAATTGTAATTTCTTAGCAATATAATATTTGTTACATGTTAATCTTATATCTAGGCACTAATAATATTTATTATATTCTCACATTTAGATCAATGTTTAAATGTTTAAAGTATTATTTACCCCATTTAATAAAATGAATGAAACATGAAGCCAAAAAAAACTAGAAAATTTTTAGTCAAAAAGTTCAAAAATTAAATATTTGTATTTTGTATTTAGTGCATTTATCGGTTTCAAATATTGTTAAAAAATTTAAACCAATAAAACAAATATTTATCTGTATTTGATTTTTCACTTATGTATACATGTTTGAATTGAGATTAAAATACTGTTACCCATATTGTCGGTAATCTATATACAGTGAGAGCCAGAAATCTGTGGAATGGAAAGACGACATTAAAGCAATACACGATTATATTTTATGTTTTTCAAAGCAAATAGTGAAACCAGTATCTTATTTAAACAATTTGAAGTCAAATGGGTCTGTGAACCTTGCACAATCGATGTTTCATGTTAATTGGATTATTTAAAGTCATGACATGAGTATTAGTCGTCTTTCTGTTCCAGAGTTTTCAGATTCTCACTGTATACACGGTGTCCCGAAAAACATAAGTAACATGTCGTCTTTGTTTCACGTAGTGTTTTTATTTCGTTAAAACAATTTTAGGGGCAAGTCCAGTTTAAACATTTAACAAACAAAAAACTGCTAGTTCCATGATTTCTAAAATTTCAATTCATTTGTTTTTATAACTCTACTAGGTGAAGAGCCCGGCGTTGCCCGTGGAAAAAAATAATTGAAATTTTTTTAAGCCTCTGATACCCCCCGGCCACCCATGAGTGTCCAAAAAAACTTTCTCAGTTCGCTGGAAATCCTACTTTTAAGTAGTTTAAACATTTAGATATGACTTTGTTTTAAACGCGTAATATATTGAACTATATTTTAAATACTGTTAAGGGGAAACGCCTGGCGTTTTTAAACAAGCCACAGAGCGTCCCAAATCATATTAGATTATCTCAAACCTTTAACGCCAAAATAAACACATAATAATCAAAAACTTAGTATTTTCTTCAAGAAATTTTATTAGTCTTATTTTATTTTCAAAATAACTAATTCTTCTTAAATTTTCGCATTAGTCCCGAAAATCGTAATATAGATGTAATATGATGTGGGAAACCCTGTAGTATACAATTAAGTTATGTATGTATACAGCAATGTGAATAAATAATCACTTTGTGCAGTGTACAGCTGGTTTATATAAACTTAAGTACCACTTCTTGTTATTTAATTGTAACAACAACAAGAGAACAAAACAAAATAACGTTTTTAGAGAATCATGAATTTAAGAAAACAGACAGTAAAAATTCCGTACAGTCGTCAATGAAGTCTCATATCATTTGTGATCCTTGTATTAGATAATTTTTTGATAACTTAAATATTATATTATGAATAATAGTTTCTTTTACTTTTTAATTCTTATTTAAGATATTTTTATTGTTTTTTATGGCATTTTTTTATTAAAAACTGAAACTTCATTTAGATTTCATCAGTCTTTTAAATTTATGATTTTTAAATATTTCTCTTTCTTATGTTGTGTTTCAAGAAACTACAGTTAAATATAAAAATAAGATATTTAAAAAATGCCACTTTCGGTTCAAATCAACGACCGAGATAATGGCCGCCATCCGACTTATAAATAAATTCTAATTTACGTATCTTTGCTGCAAACTTAGTATTTTTTAGATTGATATTATTTCTTCTGTTTCCTGATAATTTCTGGTAGCATTCAACATTATTATTATTTATTGTTATTACTGTAAATAATGGATTCTAACATGCAAAACATAATTCACCAAAACATTGTATCAAGCTATAAAATGGAAACCATTTTATACAAAACAAGAACAAAAAATTCAAATTAGATAAAAGCAAATTCTAATTAGTGTAGGTTTAAATGGCACCTAGCACTAGGTTAGCACCCCGATTTTTACATTAATAATTTTATAGTTTCACCAGAAGTCTTTCTATACTTTTGCAAGAGGAAAGGAGAAAGTCAAAATCCCGCGACATTGAAGGTATAACTTTGTTACCTCGTAACTACATTACTTGTACAACTTTGTTACCTCGTAACTACATTACTGGTATAACTTTGTTACCTCGTAACTACATTACTGGTACAACTTTGTTACCTCGTAATTACATTACTGGTACAACTTTGTTACCTCGTAACTACATTACTGGTATAACTTTGTTACCTCGTAACTACATTACTGGCACAACTTTGTTACCTCGTAACTACATTACTGGTACAACTTTGTTACCTCGTAACTTCTTTAGTTATAATTTTACGCACGAGAACGAGAAATGTTGATATATAATTCGCAATCAATTTTCCCCCTTCTCCGCCCCTCTCCTTCTCCTGTCAATTATTTTAAGTTAAAAGTTAGTTAAGAATTAGTCCCTGGAGTCTCATGTAAATAAAGTAACTGGTATTTATGTATGAAGTAACACGCAACCAAGGGATATCGCCGTTTTTCACAGTGGGAGCCAGGAAACTCTGGATTGTGAAGACGACTTTTAAACTCGAGTTATGATAAACAGTTCAATGAACATATGAGACTCAGCAATTGTACAATATAGGAACCCCCATTACACTTAATAAGTGATCTAATAAGTTACTAGTGAACCTATTTGCTTATATATGTATTATCATCTATTACACTTAATAAGTGATATAATAAGTTACTAGTGAACCTATTTGCTTATAGATGTATTAACATCTATTACACTAAAGTTATGTTGTATGTAAATGTTTTTGAAATCTAATTTTTGAGTTATACATAAAGAGAAAAAGAAATAAAACTTAGTTTGATTTTAAATATTAGAGAGAAAAAAGAAAAAGCATGGAATCAGTAATTTATTGAAAAATTTTACTTTGCGTAAAAAGATTTTCATAGGTGTATAATAATAGATCATGTTTAAAAATTGCATACATCTTATCGAAAATGACCGAATTGTTAAAGAAAATTGGTTCTTCAGGATCCAAGCAGTATGGAATATAAGGGAGAAGGAATCGACCGGGCCCGCCCACATGCTTTGCAGACAGTACTCCATTTGAAAAAGAGTTTTTAAGGTCGTCTTTTAATTTTTTCCGTATTCCATTGACAGGATCTCAATTTATGGCTTAGCTATTTTTTTGTAAAATTTCTTAAAACGCTAGAATTAAAAAGAAAATGACGTGTATAACACACTCTCATGATGATTTTAAAATAAAACTTCTATAATTTTCATAAGCTAAGAAACCCTCTGTCACATTGAGAACATATTGATAGTCCACGGGAACTGATAAAAATACATTTTTTGCTGTGCATGATTTATTTTTAGTTAAAAAGTCTCTCTTTCCTAAGCCATGTAACTTTAACCATAGGAAACCCGGTTTCTGAATATACAGGGCAAGGTTTGCAGAAACTACTTTTTGGTAATAAATATGTTGCTTTTACCGCCTTTTTACCAAAATTACTGACCTATGATTCCCTCAATAGCGGGAGGTTAAGTAGCTTCACGTCCCTTGGTACACTTATGTAAAATAACCTCTCGCTTTGCGAAGTTTTCGGAGGAAACATCGCGCATTTTCATCTCAAAATTGTGTACAACCGCTTTTTCGGGTACTTAAAAATTTTACTTGACCATGAGTTCCCTCGACCAATTTTGTCTAAAAAACATCCCTCGCTCCGCTCTGGATGTTTTGTAGGCAAAATTGGTCTTGGTAAAGTAAAATTTCCTAACCTTCCCTCTAAAGTAGTTGTAAATAATTGTATTTTCAATTTCTTTACTTAAAATCTGCATAAATGTATATAACCCAAAAAAAGTTTCTCACATTGATAACTTTCATGAAATAATTGTGTCTTTGCCACAAACTCAAATTTTCTAGTCCCTATTCCGTTGCAAGGATATTCGGATTTAAAAATCAGACTCAATTCCTTTCCGGCTCTGGCGGTTTCTTTTTTTAGTTCCCTGTATATCTAGGGTTTCCAACGCAGATGGATTTTACTTGCGCGCAATTGCGAATCCTTTAAACTCCGCACAATTGCGCGCAATTCTGCGCAATTGCAGGCAACGGAATAGCGATTGGAAACCCTATGTATCCCAGTATATCAGTTTACAGTTAAGGGTAGAAGGTGGTTTAGGGGGAATATACAATGTGACCTGTGTGTTGGTAATCATGAGCGGGGGAATTTTAGAAAATTTAGTCAATATTTATTCATGACAGAAGGAACATTAACTACAAGGGTTGAAATAAGCAGTTTTCAGACAGAGTTTTTGTCAAAGCTCGGAATATAAGTTTTTTTGCCATGTTTGTATTTCAAAACACAAAACAATTTTACTTATCTTTATCATCCCTCGATAATTTCATAAAACTTTGATGGAGTACCTTTTGATTCATAAATAAGATCTTACTAGACTTGATTGAATCTCATAAACTTTGATAGAATCTCACAAACTTTGATAGAAACTCATAAACTTTGATAGAAACTCATAAACTTTGATAGAATCTCATAAACTTTTATTAAAACTCATAAACTTTGATAGAATCTCATAAACTTTGATAGAATCTCATAAACTTTGATTAAATGTCATAAACTTTGATAAAATCTTATTAACTTTGATAAAATCTTATTAACTTTGATAGAATTTCATAAACTTTTATTAAATCTCATAAACTTTGATTAAATCTCATAAACTTTGATAAAATCTTATTTACTTTGATAGATCTCATAAACTTTGATTAAATCTCATAAACTTTGATAAAATCTTATTTACTTTGATAGATCTCATAAACTTTGATGAAATCTCATAAACTTCGATAGAATCTCATAAACTTTGTTAAAATCTCATAAAATTTAATTAAATCTCATAAACTCTGTTGAAATATAATAAAATCTAAACGAAACTTTGAAAAAGAAAAACAGAATAATAAGAATAGCTAACATGGTTGTAAAATAATGGAGAAAAAAGTTTAAAATTAAAAGTTTACACAATCAGGTTTCTAAGATATAGAGATTAGAAAATTTTAATGTGGGGCAAAGACTCAATTTTTTGAAATATGATTTTCTAGAAAAATGTCTGGAATGTCTCACAGGAGTAGTTTAGGAAGTTTAGCATCTATATCCGCTGAACTTCCTGTTTCACCCTCAGGAACTATTTTCAGAAAAACATTTTTAATGTAAAAAAGTTTTCCCCGATTTTTTACCAAGTTAGAACAATATTCGTAACACAGTCTACAGATCTAATATTTTATATATTGATATTACTTCACACAACTTATTGGAAAGAAATAATTTGTTTGTGTTGTGAGGCAAACATGTACGGTTTATGTTACATATTGGTTGGAAAAAAAATATTTATTTGTACAAAATTTTAGTAAAAATTCAATATTTTTTGCAAACATTTAAAGTTTTCTGCTGCTTAAATCCAACCAGGAGATAATTTCGTACCTCTTTTACTATTAATAAGAGTACATATGATGCCTAACTTAAAACTAAAATAATTGCGGATTTCCTGTTCTCATTGTTAAATTTAGCGGATTTCCTGTTCTCATTGTTAAATTTAGCGGATTTCCTGTTCGCATTGGTAAATTTAGCGGATTTCGTGTTCTCACTGTTAAATCTATCGGATTTTCTGTTCTCATTGTTAAATTTAGCGGATTTTCTGTTCACAATGGTAAATTTAGCGGAGTTCCTGTTCTCATTGTTAAATTTAGCGGATTTCATTGTTAAATTTAGCGGATTTTCTGTTCACAATGGTAAATTTAGCGGATTTCCTGTTCTCATTGTTAAATTTAGCGGATTTCCTGTTCTCATTGTTAAATTTAGCAGATTTTGTGTTCTCATTGTTAAATTTATCGGATTTCCTGTTCTCATTGTTTAATTTAGCGGATTTTCTGTTAACATTGGCAAATTTAGCGGTGTTCCTGTTCTCATTGTTAAATTTAGCGGATTTCCTGTTCTCATTGTTAAATTTAGCGGATTTCCTGTTCTCATTGTTAAATTTAGCGGATTTCCTGTTCACATTGGTAAATTTAGTGGATTTCCTGTTCTCATTGTTAAATTTAGCGGATTTACTGTTCACATTGTTAGATTTTTGTTTTTGCGTTTATTGTATACAAGTTGCAATAAACCTAACAAAAGATTGAGGCCAATATTATAAATGATTGAAAATTGTTATGAGTTAAGGAACTGATGATGAAAGAGGGAAACGAAGGAATAAACTCTTCAGAAGAATACAAATGGACATAAAAGTAAAATTTTCAAATTTTTTCTTTGAATTTTCTCTTTTTATTATTTAGTCAATCGTATTTGGGAGTGATAAAGATGGCATTTTGTAAAATGTTCTTTAAATATAAATATACACCGAATATTGTAAAACACGAACACAAAGATGAGACTTCATAAACGTATGTACGAACATTTTACAGTCTTTATTCTTACACTTCATTTCACTTCATTACACTTTACTTATTTTCATTCTTTTTCTTATCATCTTATTTTTGTTCTTTTTCTAATTTTATTTAAGTGTTGTGACAAGGTTCTAACTTTATTTAAATGTTAGTTTTCTTTGCAGGACAGAGAACGTCAAAGGAAAAAACTTGGACCGGTGGAGGGGGTCAGGTTTGGAAACAAAAATATACTAGTTGTCTTAAATTGTAATCGTTAAAGATTTGAAAATAAAAATACCAATTTGTTAAAAAAAATACTTTGGAATTCCTCCGATGTAATATCAAGGGACCCTAGTTTAGAGAGTTGCTTACCAATATTTGAATGATAAAGAATTGTGGAGATACCCCTTGTTTTTTCTATGTTGAATGTAAAGGGTTACCCATAAAGGATGAGATTTTAGAGACGACTGTGCGGAATTTCACTGTCTGTTCCCTTCTTTTCATGATTCCCTGCAACTGTAAAAGTTATTTCTTTCTTTGATAAATTACGTAATAAGATATCAAAAAACTATATTTAAGGTAGAAGACTTAATTTAACCTTGGGATCGTCTTATTTTAAGCATTTCAGGTCGTCTTTACAGTCTCATCCTTTGTGGGTAACCCTGTATATAGCAGACACATTTAAGATTGATATCAAAATGGCGATATCGCTATCATTGCTACTGAAATAAATTTTCAAGTATCGTTGAGAATTGGGCAAAGAAAAAACCCACTTGAAATAACGTTTACACATTCCTTTATGCCGAGTCCATTAGCGCCTGATCCAATCAGAGTTCAGTCATGTGTTTGTTGTCTATTCTGAACCAATAGAAATAGTATGGCGGTAACATCCATCTTTCTATCTATCTCATTATCCAATTAGAGATATGAATCCTTCAATCGGCGCTATCAGTAAATGGAAATATTTACTTCTACTGAAACTATAGTGTACAGTCTCTTTAACTCTAGATATGTTGATGCCCAGAGGGATGTTGCCGTGGATATGGGAGAACGTGATATAAGAAGAGAGATCTTAAAACACAGGTAACAACTTTACAGGGAGTTTGAACCGATTCAAAAGATCATAGAATGCTCAATTTTTGGAATTAGGAACATATAATTCTAAACCAATGTTACAGTGAGGGCTAATCGAATTTATGAATATAAGTAATCGTCATTCTTTTTCCAACTTTTGAACAAAATTATAATTTGATTTTTACATTATTTTGAATAATATTTTGAAAATATTAAGAGGAAAACTGAAGAGTTCTACACTAGCAGATGAAGCAGATAACCTAGGTATGCTTTTCCTACACAGAGGCGCAACTGAAATTAAAGTGGGGGGGGGGGGGGTAAATTAAATTTTTGAAAATAAAGTGGTTAAACAACTTAATTCATTTTTGATATTTATTTTGTAGAAATGAAAACTGCATAGCAATGACAGCTTGGGAATGGAAAAATAAGCCCAATTTTTTTTCGCTGCACGACATAAGAACGCTCCACAGTATTATGTACAATGTACAATGAACAAACTAGAGGGGGGGGGGGATGGCACCAAATCCCCTACCCCATTTTTTTGTGAGGTGAAAAAATTGTGGATGAATAGATAAAAATTTCTGTTTTAAAATTCTTCAGGATTCTTGTTACTACTGGAGCAAGCTCTGAAAGAAATGAAATCAGGAAGCCCGGTTACCGCTCTAACCTACCTTGACAAGTATATGCTAAATTTTAAAAAAATATAAATTTTTAAACTAATCTTGCTCCCCCCCCCCTGCTAAAATCCTGAATATGCGTTAAAAGTTTAAAAAGAAATGGAAAACTATTTATATTTCGTGAAAACGTTCATGTTTGAGGCTTTGTATCAAACTAAAATTCTCTAATCCCTATCTTTGCAACCTGTGGGTATCAACTTTTGATATTTCAAACTTAGATAATTTTATCTAACAGGATTCAAAGTTTGAAATATCTAAAATCTCCGGCATGGGGGGTTAAAGAATATATGGATTAGAAAATCTGAGTTTGTGGCAAGGATTCAATTTGTTGAAGGAACCCATGGGTACCCCCCGGGGGTGGCAAAGGCTAAAAATAGAACATTTTGAAAATCCACGGGCTACGCCGGGCAATTCAAAAAAAGTCATGATTTGATATCTAGTACTGGTAAACGGCGCGAGTAACTCTGAGTAATTTTATAAACCTGGACAACTTCGGGCACTCAAGCTAGTTATAAAATCAATTTTACAATTTATATTTCCAAAATGAAGAGGTCTACAAATCCACCCTGAAGATGGTGATATGAGGGTTTGGAGAGGTAGAGCATATATACAAGCTGGACTATGGCAGGTACTATATATACAAGCTGGACTATGGCAGGTACTATATATACAAGCTGGACTATGGCAGGGACTATATATACAAGCTGGACTATGGCAGGTACTATATATACAAGCTGGACTATGTCAGGTACTATATATACAAGCTGGACTATGGCAGGTACTATATATACAAGCTGGACTATGTCAGGTACTATATATACAAGCTGGACTATGGCAGGTACTATATTTACAAGCTGGACTATGGCAGGTACTATATATACAAGCTGGACTATGGCAGGTACTATATATACAAGCTGGACTATGGCAGGTACCTGGACTATGGCAGGTACTATATATACAAGCTGGACTATGGCAGGTATGATATACTAACATGACTATAATAAGGGCAGGTACTATATTCACAAGCTGGACTATTGCAGGTACTATAAATCATCGTGGATCATGGCTATTGTAAAGTAACTGAGTGTTTGCCTCAAAATCTATTTCTATTTTTTGTATCATTGCAATTGGATTGCAATGATGCAAGACTCAATTCCTTAGAAAAGAAATTAAGGAAACAATTATTATATTTCAAAAAATAAAGTCAAAATGATAATCATATTTACTTTCTAACTTTAAACAATCCATCGGTTTATTGTTCAGAAGGCAAAAGCCATATGTTTTTTAAAAAACAAAGAATTTTTCCGGATTTTTTTTGTTTGCATTGATGGATTTGTCAAAATAAATTTCAAAATCGAATTATTTTCCATTTAATTCATAAATCATTCCTTGGGTCATTTGAGCTAGTCATAAAAAAGACCATACTGTTTCAGCCGTTTTGACGTTTATTGGATACAAACAGACAAGCCATTATTTTTATAGATTATTTTAAAATAAGTTTAAATTTAATTATGATTATAATAGTAATAAAATATTTATAGCTTTTGTTTCTAGAAAGCGCTGGAGGATGCTAAAGAAGTCTTCTATACTCTTCGGTAAACTTTCAAAGGGAAAACTCTCCAAAACATGTTTCAATAATTAAAGGATTGTAAACGTAATTTCAAGTGACCCTTCATGCAAAGAAGGCATTTTCTGTTGCCCATTGGTACTCTTTAAATCTTTGGTTCTTTGTTTAAATATCTCAGAAACCCCTTGAATCGCTCTAAAATACGTTGTTTAACTGTACATTAAATATTCAAACATTTTAAATGGTTTCCGAAAATTCGAAAGAAAATGTTCATTTTTTCCTAACTCCAGAAAGTGAATATTAGCATTTAAAAAAATGAAAACAGTCTGGAAACAAAGTGTTCAAAGTGTTTAAACGCGTTTTTGTACAGGGTTACCCACTAAGAATGAGACTTCAGAGACGACTGTACGATATTTACACTCACTGTTTCCTTAAACTTATGGTTTCCTTAAACTTTAATCTTGTTTCGTTCTTTTTCAAATTATAAAATAAGCCATACAATGACTTTATAGTCTAGACAGAAGACTTAATTCAACCTTGGAATCACCCTGTAGATTAATGAGAATAAGTCCGACAACATTGATCATCAGTCAAAGGTTTAAAGGGTTCCGTTGTGAATTCCCTTTAAGAGAAATAGTTTCATGGTTTAATTAATCTATTTGATTTTTAACTCGAACAAATCGTGCACCAAGGGTACCGTTGTGCATCAAGGGTACCGTTGTGAATCAAGGGTACCGTTGTGAATCAAGAATACCGTCATGATTTAAGGGTACCGTTGTGAATCAAGGGTACCGTTGTGAATCAAGAGTACCGTTGTGAACCAAGGGTACCATTGTGAACCAAGGGTACCGTCGTGAACCAAGGGTACCGTCGTGAACCAAGGGTACCGTCGTGAACCAAGGGTACAGTCGTGAACCAAGGGTACCGTCGTGAATCAAGGGTACCGTCGTGAATCAACTTTTTAACTTGAGGGTCAAAAAGAATTTCTTTAATTATCTATTTTTATTTCTTCAGGGATTCAGAGCATCCCGGGGCTCTCATAGTAATGGGAGAAGGTCTTTATGGACAAGGTCAATATTTATGTCATTTTAGGCATTTATGTCCTTTACGCCATTTTTGTCATTTTGTCGTTAATACCATTTAAGCTATTAATATCATTTATTTCGTTTATATTATTTATATCATTGAATAAGCTATCTAAGGCCGAATTTAAAGAATTTGAGCCGCGGCTTAATTATGGTTGGTTTCCCGTAAAATTGTATCTAATGTTTCAAGATTTAAGCCGGCGCTTAATATAAACCGGGTTTTGGCGGATTTAAGCCGCGACTCAAATTCTTTAAATTCGGCCTCAGGGCGCTTTGCATCGATCTTCTATTTCAAATTTTTATTGATGCTTAATGTATCAGCAATTCGCTTCGATACAACAAAGACAAAAAAATTCGCAGATTTACAAATTTTTTCGAAGATTTTAAAATTTTTAAAGAGGATTTAAAAGTTGAACGTAAATCAAAAATTTTAGGAAACACATTTTAAAACTTCGAGCATTCATAAACCTTTAATGTAAGGCCCCACAAAAAAAACGAACAAACAGACAGACAATTAAGAAAGCTATTTTTAAAGATGTCATTTACATCATTTACACAATTTAGTACATTTATGTCACTAATGTCATTTTTTATGCCATTTATGTCACTAATGTTATTTTAAATTTATGCCATCTATGTAATTTTTGTTATTAATGGCATTTACATCATAGAACTTATATATTTTATACTCATTTCAACAATATTTTTAGTTTAATATATGCAGACTAACATTTTTTTGGATATTTAAAAATTCTCTTCTGATTTTTTATAAACTGTTGTTCTGTGCAGTGTGCACTGTGATCATTGAATATTGAATACATATTCTCATATACATAAACGATTTGCCTTTAGCAACGTCTTTTTTTACTATTCTATTTGCTGATGACACTAGTTTTCTAAAATCATCTCCACATATCGAAACTTTAGTAATTGATGCGAACTTTGAACTAAAAAAGGCAGCTACATGGTTTCAGGCAAACCGTTTAACACTAAATGTTTCCAAAACAAAGTTTATGATATTTAGGAATAAAAATATGCATTTTAATCCTGAGAACTGCAAATTAAAAATTGGAAATGAGATACTAGAAANATATATGTATCCTAGATTTATATATCCCTTTTATTTCAGTTCAGAAAATAAATTTTTTTTAGGAGATTTTGAGCATGGTTTGATGTGGTTTAATAGGGGCTTGAGGAACCCTGAGCTTCTAATGTCAGAAAGAGAAGAAATTCTTGTAAGTATTCAATTCATAAATCAGCAAATATAAAACACTAAAGAAGATACGTTTAATATGTTGTCTTAATTGTTTTTTATCGAGAGAAATTACCTGGATGTTTTTCTGATCTAAGGGGTTTTCTGACCAAAAAAATGTATTTTGTCTATAGAAGGTCGTTCATAATCGTTAAAAAAAGGGTCGTCGATTATTGTCTTTAACGAACTGTCGTCGTTAACGGTCGTTTATGAAGTTTCGTCGTTAATTGTCAAAAATTAAAAAAACGACGAACTATAATAACTGATAAACGACCGTTTCGTTTTTTGTTCTTTCTTCTTCTTTTATAATTTTTTAAAACGAAACGATTGTTTTTCTAAAATGTGATAACGACCTATCCCTAGGGGGTGAGGGCGCGGATATAAGTGTATCAGTGAAATCTATGATTTCAAGAACGTTTTCATGGCCACTGTAGACTCCGGTTCAGTTCAAGTACACGACTTTTATTTTCTTTGAATTTTAAAAATTATCAAAATTCAATGCTTTTAACCTCCTCGGATACTAAACGAACACTGATGCATCTATTCTTGTTTACAAATTCCGCCCAGAGAGAACTGGTTTAAATATGTACGCAGAGTATACGCGACCACAATTAACTTTCCTTGCAATAGTACCTTGATATTAAGGCCGGAATAAAGAAAACTGAGGAAGCGATTAACAACGCTGTTGGAGATTGTGCAACCAGGTATTTTTTCAGAAAATTATAAAACTCAAATAATTTTTCATTTTTAAAACTAGATAATTTTGCTTATAGGGACTGTAAGCGTAATTTCAAGTAACCCATCATGCAAAGATGGCAATGCCCGATTCAGAACGGTACCCATGAAACTTTTATCTGATCAATACTGTGGAAGATATCATTGCTTTTTTAGGGTTAAAAGTGTTTAATTCTGATAATTCATATATGTTTTCCTGTAGTAGAAATGCTCGAGTCACTTTTGTAGAGAAACCACAATTAAAAATAATCATACTTTATAATTCATACTGGATCTTTGGATGGAAGATCACTTAAAATTACGCTCACAGTCCCTTAAACTGTTTTTTAAAATAGAATATGGTTTATATTGCGGTAGCCAAAATTAAACAACACTTTTTTTTACTTTTTTAAATGCATGAATTATTTCTAGTTTTTTCCAAAATGTCGGACAAGTATTGGATCTGTTGCCTCGTGGATTTCTGGGAGTTCCATGGTTCCAACTCAAGACACTACTTTCAGAAAGGTTGAGGTTTAGATATTTAAAAAATAGAAAAATTCTTCATAGATTGTATTCTTTCCAGAAAAGAGGAGAATAAGAGAGTGAAAAGTGCTCGACATCAGATCAGAAGTGATTCAAGACAAGATAAGAAGTTCCTTCATCAGCTAGCAAACGATAAAGCGTTCCTTCAGGTAGAGTAGATGTTCCTTCATCAGCTGGCAAACGATAAAGGGTTCCTTAAGGTAGAGTAGAAGTTCCTTCATCAACTTGCAAACGATAAAGCGTTCCTTCGTGTAAGTAGATGTTTCTTCATCAACTGGCAACCGATAAAGCGTTCCTTCAGGTAGAGTAGATGTTCCTTCATCAGCTGGCATATGATAAAGCGTTCCTTCAGGTAGAGTAGCTGTTCCTTCATCAGCTGGCAAACGATAAAGCGTTCCTTCGGGAAGAGTAGATGTTTCTTCATCAGCTGGCAAACGATAAAGCGTTCCTTCATGTTTGTAGATGTTTCTTCATCAGCTGGCAAACGATAAAGCGTTCCTTCAGGTAGAGTAGATGTTTCTTCATCAGCTTGCAAACGATAAAGCGTTCCTTCAGGTAGAGTAGATGTTTCTTCATCAGCTGGCAAACGATAAAGTGTTCCTTTAGGTAGAGTAAGTGTTCCTTTTAGCTTTTGAACAAAAAAATACAGTGTGGTGTTTCATCATCCGTTAGTAAACGAGTAAGCGTTACTAGAGTAGGTTTTCCTAAAGGAGAAACTAATAATATACCTTTAGTCAGACAGATTGCATTTGTCAGTTACTTGATAATGGGAATGTGTTGGATTATTATCAAAGGGATTAGTTGTTATATGAGAAGTTTTGCGTATATTTTACTGTTGCAAATTAGAATCACTGATTTTAACTTTAAGAAAAGGTCTTTATAAAACTTGTTCAAGAAAATTTCGATATTTGTTTACAATAAATATATGTTATTAATTTGATCAAACTTGTTCCTCGTTGAGACTTAAAAAAACAATTTTATTCCGATTTAAAACTGATTCATAAGAACAAAAAGAATAGCTTTTAAACGAAATAAAAAAATCGTTTTAAAATTATCGGATATACTTTTTTCGTTTCGATCCTGTTTCGCTACTATGCGATTTTCCTAAAGACCTAATGAAAGTTAGATAAGTTCCGTGCGGTATTTCTCAGGATTGGATTGTAAGACTTCCTCTTCCGATCGCTCTCCATAATAAAGGATAAACAGGATAAGCTCCGATTCTTTATTCAACCAAATCTTCAATCTAAATATATTTTATTATCTCCACAGAAAAAGCTTTGAGTGATCTAATCAAAGATAATATATATATAGATATGCAGGCAGGTATAAATTTTGAGGTCTTGAGAAAAGGTGCAAACAGCACCATCTCTGTCGTACGCATGGCATTTTATCCTCTGGATTGTTGCTAATTTATCACTTTGTTTATGCGTGATAACACTAAATGCGTACTATAGTATCAACAATGTATACTGCATATTGTACTTAATGAAACAAATTAATCAATGCAAATAAAACTGAGGTAGGAATTTGACTAGACAAAGTTTAAATGTGCAAGTTGTACTGAATGGCATACGTAAATTAACGCAATTTAAATAAAAATTATGACTAAAAAGTACATCGAATCTAGGACAAAGTCCTCCCAAAAAAATGTTGCAATTTATTTGCCTTGTTTACTAGAATTCATGTATAAAAAACAGTAATTTTAATAATTCTTTAAACCATCAACCCCAACATATTGCATATTGTGGTACCAATTAAAAAATCTAATTTTATTTAAATATCTCATAAAAACCGTTTGATTAAATAGATATCACTTATTTAACAAATATAAAATAATTTCCAAAGGTTTGTCAATATTTCTGTTTGTCTACTATATCTTTACTAAGTACAACTGATCATAACATAAACAAAACGCGTACTGTATGTTTGTGTTACCTTGAAATTTAATTTTATTGGTCAAACAGGTCCAGATAGCAACACTTGAACTATACAGGATGCAATACGCGTACTGTATGTTTATATAACACAAATGCGTATTTCCTACAGATGGCAGCAAGGGGAGAAAGGAATATAGAAAGTAATCAATTTGCTATAGATGTCTCTCCTTGCACCTTTTCTAAGAGGTTCAAAAATTAGTTGTCTGCTACAAGCAATTTAGGAAGGAGGTTTCTACCTGCCTGCATATCTATAAATATATATATTATCTTTGGATCTAATCAAACCATTACAAGATAAAAATATCAACTCAGCATTAAAATACTGTGGGAGGAGCTAACAACATACAATATAAATCATCCAAAACACGAATCATGAAATATACGACATTTATATATATACAAAAGAATATTTACCGCAGTGATCCTAGAATTATTGTCACAGTTTACATTATTTATACACTAAACGGACTATAACTATATATAATATGAAGAAAATCTGTCCGCTCTCACGCGAGAATTCCGCGCATGCGTAAACTGTTTGTTCACTGCTTCTTAAACTAGTTTTTTCAACTCTTTTCTGTACAGATATTCAGGGTGAACTCAGAACTCTACAGGGGCGCAACATAGACTTTACTTACGCAGCATGGCTCGCGTAACAGATCCAATACATCGAAGTGAAGTCAATTCGACGATTGTCTTTAATTTAAGAGAAAACTTCTTAATTTTAAAAACTGGTGAAGAGTTTGATTTAAAAAAAAACGTTAAAAATAATTTTTTTTTATTTCAGGATTTAGTGATTAAACTAGAAGATAAACATGTCAGTCAAAGTAAGGGAAGAATTTTTTTTTGAATACGGTGGTAGGCGATTATATCAATACAATGAAGACAACTTTCGATTTCAATTTTGATCTTAATCAAACTTTTAAACGGATTGAATACACAAAAAAAGGAAACAAAGAAAAGCTGTCAACTTAAAAAAGCTTTTCTTTAATCAATTGTGAACTTGCATTTGAAAAAAAGCTTGTTAACAATAAAAATTTGAATAAAAAAGTCGTCTTAATTATATTGATACTATCACCGTACTCAAATCAAATTTTAAAAGAATTAATATTTTAACTTCTTAGCTTTATTTCAAATCCATAATGAATATTTGAGAATTGTAAAATATTGAAAATTCAATCATCAAAAGCTCAACTTTTTAATGAGATAAAACCATTAAGTTTTTGCAGAAATAATAAAATTAAAATTTTAATAAAAAGAATTATTTCATAATTATTAATTCTTGAACTTTCAAAAAATTCCTGAAACCTTCTTAAACCTCCTGAACCTTCTGAAACCTTCTAAAATCTCCTAAAATCTCCTTAAAGTTTCTAAAACCTTCTAAAATCTCCTGAAACCTTCTGAAACATTCTAAAATTTCTTAAACGTTTCTAAAACATTATAACCCCTTCAAAAAATTTTGAAACGTTCTCAAATCTCCTAAAAGTTTCTAAAACCTTCTGAAACCTTCTAAATTCTCCTAAAACCATCTGAATCGTTCTAGAATCGCTTAAAATTTCCAAAATCCTTCTGAAGCGTTCTGAAATCTTGAAATATCTTAAATTTTAGAAAATTTCAGAAACATCTTTTTGTTAAGAAATTGTTAAAGAGGCTAGAGGAGCTGCTCAGTATCTTTCAGAAAGGAAAACAGAATTTAAAAAAATATGAAATACCAGAAATTTTTTACTTTTGATATTCATATTTTACTTCTTTTAACTCAATCAATTATAAAATTTTCACCTTCTTAAAACTTAAAAAAACGTCCCATTAATAGTTTTTGATGATCAATTTATAATAACCCCATTAATACAAATTGAAAGAAAAAAATAATATTTTAACAAAAATCTGATTTTTAGACGAGAGTTCTGGAGTCAACAGAATCCGAGATATTTATTAAAAACCACGTAGTTGGAAAAATATAATCTCACATTTTTTTTATAAAAATGTTTTTTATCCTATAAGGTTAAAGACCCTTTACTGTTTTAGCGCTTCATACCATGCCCAATTTGCAACGATACTCCTTACACATTTTTCTGGTTTTGATGAAATGGTTGTACAGGAACACGAGACCTTGTTTAGAAATTATATTTAACAAAACTGAAACTTATTCTATGATTGTTGTTAAACCAGGAGCGTAATTTTAACTAAACCTTAACATGTAAATTGTCTTCATTTTTCTTACTTAACAAATGTGAAGATCAATGCTTAATGTAAGTACTTAACAAATGTGAAGATGGTACTTAACAAATGTGAAGATCAATGCTTAATGTAGGTACTTAACAAATGGAAGATCAATGCTTAATGTAGGTACTTAACAAATGTGATGATCAATGCTTAATGTAGGTACTTAACAAATGTGAAGATCAATGCTTAATGTAGGTACTTAACAAATGTGAAGATCAATGCTTAATGTAGGTACTTAACAAATGTGAAGATCAATTCTTGATATAAGCACTTAACAAATGTGAAGATCAATGTTTAATGTAGGTACTTAACAAATGTAAAGATCAATGCTTAATGTAGGTACTTAACAAATGTGAAGATCAATGCTTAATGTAGGTACTTAACAAATGTGAAGATCAATGCTTAATGTAAGTACTTAAAAAATGTGAAGATCAATGCTTAATGTAGGTACTTAACAAATGTGAAGATCAATGCTTAATGTAGGTACTTATCAAATGTGAAGATCAATGCTTAATGTAGGTACTTAACAAATGTGAAGATCAATGCTTAATGTAGGTACTTAACAAATGTGAAGATCAATGCTTAATGTATGTACTTAACAAATGTGAAGATCAATGCTTAATGTATGTACTTAGCAAATGTGAAGATCAATGCTTAATGTATGTACTTAACAAATGTGAAGATCAATGCTTAATGTAGGTACTTAACAAATGTACAGATCAATTCTTGATGTAAGCACTTAACAAATGTGAAGATCAATGCTTGATCCCTCAAGTAAAATTATTCCTGCACGGTATAAACAATCACGGGAGATCGCATAGGAATTAAATTAATCCTTAAATATGCATAAGATAGAGATCAATTCTTGATCCCGAGATTCAACATTCAAAATTTCACACTTCTAAACATTTAATATAAATATTTTGGTTGCAACAATTGCAAATTCCAAATTCCTAGCGAAATTTCTGATTAAAAATAAAAAACAATTGTAACATTAGTTTTATAGTTTTCTGGTTTTCATACATGTTGTTCGTACTGTAGTTGCCACAATTCTTTTGATATTTAGATAAGAATTCTGAAAAAGCTTACAGAGACTTTTCCAAAAGTTAGAATAAACAAAAAAAAAAATTTTATCTCGTATTTGTTGTTATATCAATCAATAAAAATAGAACATCTTTCCCTGTAGAATTTCTTTATATCAACAGTCTACTAATATATGTATAAACCGATGTTTGCAAAATAAGCATGAATCACTGCAGTCTCTGAATAAAATGTTAAAGGAAGATTGTTGCGGTTTCACTGATACGTATATACATACATGTATATGTTTTTTGTCATTTTTTTAAGTGATGCTTTTTTAAGGAATTGTTTACCGTAATAATTCACATTAACGGTGTTCGTTAAATTTTATCTGAGTAATGAGGCTAATAATGAAAACAGGTATTTGTCCATAATTAGAAGGCTTTTTGTCCAATTTTGTGTTATTATACACGTACTATAATACAACACTACCACTTTCACTTGAGAACTTCATATTCATTAAACCTCTGAAATACAATTATTTAGTGTATGAGCTGCTTCTCTCTTTTCAGTTTTGACCTCTCAGAATACGACTATATTTTAGACTCCTACAGTCCTTTATGAAAAAAAGTAATTTTATGTACTAGTCCTCCTACTGCAGACCTCTCTTAGACTACAGCTCTTAAGTTACCATATTCTCACAAGTCCTCTGAAAAAAAATGTTTTAATTTATAATTATTTTTGACTAACTTTATGACTATCTCTTAATATATTATCTAAAGTCGTATAAAAACTGATATTCTATGCTCATGAGTGACTATCATTTTCACTAAAGTCCTCTGTAGTCACTAATTTCACAAATACTTATAACCTTGATGATTACCTCTTTTAATATTTATATTATCAAAAGTCCTCTAAAAACTCATACGCACATTTGATTTTATGACTAACTCTTATTATTTACAGATTTTATGTTTACTTTTGCTCTTTTGTTCTCTAATATGACTAAATAATTTTGCATTTTTTTTACCTCTATGACTAGTTTTATAATCTCTAAAGTTCTCTATGAACACTATTACGTTAAAATATTCATTAACGGAAATTAGATATGATAGATTAAATATCAGGTCCTTACTTTGAACCCCGGCCTAATAGGTTGTGAACCCAGCCCCTATATATAGGCCCGGACCGGCACTAAATTCATTGATTGATTGATAATGATGTGCATCAATTTCTGTTAGAGATTTTATGACTTTTTGCAAAATGTTGTGCAATGTAATTCCTTTCGCTTAATTCATTTTCGCGAAATTTCGCGAAAAAGTTTGCAAAATTTATAAAATGTTTTAATTTTTTCGCGAAAGTTTTTGTTTGCTGGAAACCAATAACATGCTTGTAAGCCAACTCATCTTTGCATTGAAACCAAGCTTTACAAAAGTCAACCTACTAAATTTTGAATCTTTGACCCAAATTAAGAACATTTCTCTTGTTATACCGAATTCCCCCAATCAAAATTTGAGACAAATCCGTCAAGGAATTTACGAGTTATGATCAAATTTACATACAAACAAACAGAGATTACTACTTTACATATATTTGGATACAATATCAAAATAAGATCATCTCAGATCTCTGTGGAGCCTCTTAGGAGCCAAAAACCTTTAATTTTAAAGAAAAATCTATAAACGGTGCCCATCTCTATTCTATTAGATGATTGGTTGATTGATGGATGATAAAGGTTGAAATTACTATGAAACGTATTGAGTTAAATTAGTAATGTCAGATTGATATAAATACCATGGCTGTTCAATAAACATGGGTCAATGATACATTACATGGTTACAAGTTACAGGGTCGTATACAAAGTTTGACACGTAAATGACGACATTTAAAAATTAAACGATATGAAGAGCTATTCTCTGCAATAATGAGACTGCTGATATAACAAAGCTTTTAAATGTACGGTTTTGAATCGGACACATGCCACTCAAAAATTAAGTTAAGTATATATTTTGAATTTAGAACGCAGCATTTGAGATTTATTTAGCAATATTTAGATATATTAACTTTAAAACATTTGTAGATCTTTAAGTTTTAAGAAATATTTTAATCAACATTTTTGTTGAAAAGAGTACTCAACTCATTAATATATTAAAATTCACTTTCATGATTGAAGTACTATAAATAAGGATGCCCTAATGAGGAAGAACTAGTATGAAGATCCACATTGATGACGCAATATTGAGAATGTAATATTTAGGACGCAATATTTAGGACGCAATATTTACGATGCAATAATTAGGACGCAATATTTGTACGGAATATTGAGGACGCAATATTTAGGAAGCAATATTGAGGACACAATACTGAGGCACTATGATGTCAGACCATAGATAAAGATAGATTGCGCATAAGACGACATTTTTCATCTTGAAAGATATTAATGTACAGAGATGTTTTAAAAATATTCCTATTATATAGATTTATTAGGTCGGTTGTGAACATTGGCTGTCCTTATGTCATTGAGTACTTATGGTGTACATGAGTTCTGTAGAGAGAAATTTATGTTAGTTTAGTCCTTCTCATGTCCTTCTTAAGTTCTCGTCAATATAATATATATTGCTCAGTGAAATATTGTTGTTCAAATAGTTCCATTCCCGGAGTTTTTTTACACTCTTTTATGAAATCCATTAAAACACCAAACCACCCCGCTTATCATTGAAGTACACTTTGACCTCTAGAAGTCTGAGTTCGCGGACTGTACAATTCTTGGTGATTTTGCGTACATAAGCTATCTATGTTTATTTATTTATCTATGTGTCAGACAATGAGTGCAAAAGTGTGGCGTACATACATAAACAATATATTTACACTGTTTTATTACATGAAACATTTTGATATTTATAAATTTATCCGTTAAAACAGATATTAATATAATGACAAAATATAAAGATTTATAGATAAAAGAAGTCTATTATTCAACTTTAAACTGGTCACAGCTGTTTAAAACAGAATAATCTAGTTTGAATAAAGGATTGTTAACAAGAACTCTCCTGCACTTAATTTCAAAAGTAAACGATGCAAATGCCAACTGTTCATGGCAGGGGGGGGCTATGGGGGCTAAGCCCCCCCTGGACCAGTGAAATCTATTGATTTTCAGGCCCCAACGGGTTTTGAGCCCCCTCCCCCTGGAAAGAGAAATAAATTTAAGCCCCTCCCTGGACAAATTCCTGAATACGCCCCTGATTCTAATTGACGTTTATTTAAACTAAAGGGACTACAGTTATAGTTTCAAGTAATTTTTTTTTAAAGAGGGGTGTGCGCTATGCATTCACAGCTGTCACTTAAAGGGACAGTAAGCTTTTTTTCAAGTGTTCCTCCATACAAAGAGGGCAGTGCCTGATACACAACAAACCCTTTAAATCGTTGACTGTTCATTAAGTAAAGAGATATTTCTGTTTAAACATATCGAAATCCGGTTGAATTCCTCTAAAACGCAGCGGCACACTGTGTGACTGTTTCACGTTAACAGCGTTTTTAAAATTAAATTTTTTTTTCTGCAACTTTTAAAAATATTATTATTTCTTAGGTTTTTTTAAAAATATTTTTTAAATATATGTTGATTTCCAGCTATAACTTGGTAGAAAATAATTTATTCTTAAAATGACTGAAAGCATATATTTCTAAGTGAATCTCCATGCAAAGACGACATTTCACGATGTTATCAATCATGATATCAATGGTATTGTTCTTAAAAACTATTTATTTTCATTTGTGTTTTTTTCTGCTGAAGTGACTTGCGTATCTCTTGCTTATAAGAAACAATGGAGAAATTATCAAATTAAACAATTTTCGAGTGAGAAAAACGGAGATGTTCGTTGTAAATCGTGTAGTGCCATCTTGGCATGGACTTGCACTTGAAATTACACTTACAGTTCCTTTCATTTTACTCTTTTTAAACTAAAAACAAAACGTTAAAATGAATTTATTTTTGAAAATGTTTTAAGTAGCTGAAGGCTTTTTAGAAATACTCAAATCTTATCAAATTTATATTCCTTTATAGAAATGTATTTAAATACTAGGCATTTAGGGCGCTTCCCGCTCATCTTCTTTTTTAACTTTTAATTGTTGTCTTCGCTATCTCTAATCTATAATAACTGTAAAAATTGCTTCTAATGAATCTAGAGCACTAGAGCAACACAGCATATGGTAAATGGTGATGTAAAACTAAACCACAAATTAACAAGATTTGAAAATTAGACGTCCCGCGTGTATGGCCGGGAACGTATGGACTTTTTTAAAATCATTTGTTAACGGTTTATAACTAAAGTTGTTCAAAAGTCCAGCTTTTCGGATATATCGTTCATTTATGATTTAATTCTTACTAACGACGTCAACAGAAGTTGTTTTTGAAATTGTTAACCATTTAACGATTTTTTCATGCAAAAAGACCAAATTCGAAATCATGAAAAAACGTAAAAAAATTTAAAATTTAAAAATCTAACTTTTATTTTCTATGCTATTTAAAGGGAGTGTTCGCGAAAAATGAAAGGGGGTATAGGCTTAATGCGATATAAAAGCGCTTTTGATCGCTACTAATCTTACTTCATCTGTTGTGTCTATCAGGAGAAAATTATTTAAAACGACTCACAACGAAGAACGTAGTGTAGATATAAGCATAACCAAAGATGAGTTTGAGACAAGAGACCAGTTCATGTAAATGCAGATATTATAAGGTTCTTGGAGTACCTAATCCGTCAAGGGATGGTTTTGTTATGAATGAGAAATTTCAAACTGCCGCTAACTATCAATCTGCAAAAACTACAATACTATATATTTAATGACTAGCTTGGGAACCCAGCGTTGCCCAGGTTACTCAACGTTACTCCCACCGTTTACCCGCACATGGTCGATTTTACCGGGATCTAAATTTTTTAAAAAGAAGTCGATCCACTCAACTTAGAATCTCAAAACTAAATTAAAAGTTAAAGTCAAAATTTGAGTCAAATCTATCCAGGGGTTCCTGAGTTATGATTGGATAAACAAATGGACATACAGATATTACAACTTTTTATATATTAGATATTATTATGCATGCATATTTGGGAAGGGAGGGAAATTGCGGATGGGAAGGGAACGGGAATCTGAGGGAAGGGGAGGGAGGAAGGAGAAGGTAGGGGAAGGTAGGGAAGGGAGGGAAAAATATGGGAACGTATAGGAACTGTTACACAGTAAAGAATATTGTTGTGTTATTGTATTTGTCCATATGAGGGATATGAGGTCACATTATTCAAATACAGAAGATAAAATTCACCTTCAAGGTTAAATTCACAAAACCAGATTCTTTAAATATTTGTTTTCATGAATACTTCTTTGTCCAGACTCTATAGACCCAACCTACTCCAGGTTAAAACTTATCCACACCCTTCCATTCTCAATATCTACATCCCATAATCTGTATCTCTACCTCCGATAATCAGTATCTCTACCTCCGATATTCTGTATCTCTACCTCCGATACTCTGTATCTCTACCTCCGATATTCTGTATCTCTACCTCCGATACTCTTTATCTTTACCTCCGATATTCTGTATCTCTACCCACTGATGCTCTACACTCAATAATCATTATCTCTACTCTTCGATATTCCCTCTGATACTCTATATGATACTCTGTATCTCTATTCTCCTATGCTCCTTTTTTTCTCAGATAATCTGTATCTTTGAATCTGATACTTTATATCTCTACCTTCCAATAAGCTGTATATCTCTATTCTTCAATACTCTGTATCTCTAACCTCTTACAATCCTCCTATAATATTGGTATCTGTACTTTATATCTCTACCTTCCAATAAGCTGTATATCTCTATTCTTCAATACTCTGTATCTCTAACCTCTTACAATCCTCCTATAATATTGGTATCTGTACTTTATATCTCTACCTTCCAATAAGCTGTATATCTCTATTCTTCAATACTCTGTATCTCTAACCTCTTACAATCCTCCTATAATATTGGTATCTGTACTTCTAATACTCCGCGCCCCTTCTCTTCTCTACTCCCCTGTCTACTTTACTATACTCCCTATTCTCTACTCTTCTCCCCCATTTCTATTCTACTCCCTCTTCTCTACACTACTCCACCTTCTCTACTCTACTCCCACTTCTCTACTCTACTCTACTCCCCTTGAAAAAAAAATAATCTTTTATGACAAGTATATACAATGATACACCGCCCCCAAGTAGCTCTGGACTTTTTAGCCTAATCTAGCTCATTCAAATTCAGCACATAATTCTGCATTAGCTTAGCGGTGCAATGCAGACAACAAAACCACTAAACCATTCAATTTCAGGTCTTTATTTCTGAGTACTGCATTGGATAAACAATCTTATATGTATGTACAACATGTGCTAAATATTGCCAAAAAATATTATTGTTCAAAAGAATTTACATTTACAATACTCTCATGATGAAATAATCTACAACGAATAAATATGACTAGAGCTCATTTGTTTGCCTCTAGCGGCGAAAGCTGGAATTACCATTGCTTCAATTTTTCAGGTCATAAAGTACAATTTAAAGAATTGGGGTTATCTGAAAACATTGATCAATGGCGGCGTTCTGTTTTCAAAGCAAGCCAGTATTGAAGTACATGGAGTACAATTGTGCTATGTCTGGTTTCAATTCAGGGCAGGATATTCTGTACATAGACTCAACTGTACAGTAAAGTCTGGTTCAAGTGTACAACTGTAGTGTATAGTGTACAGTGTACAGTGTACGGTGTACGGGAATTAGATCCTGGGAATCTCATTGAATCTTCCGGAAGGGACAGTGCAAGGTCCTCTCTCATTCAGGGGGGTCAGGGTACCAACCAGATGGATATACTCCCTTTAATATTAATAATAATAATCATAGTGATAATAATAATAATAATAATAATAATAANTTTACCTTGTAACCTCCCGAAGGAGTCAGGATTCTGATCACAAACATGAAAATCAGACTAGTATTTACCTTGGATCCTCCCGAGGGAAGGGTGCCAGGCATCCGACCACAAACATAAGAACCAGACTAGCAATCAACAGCTGACGAAGCATTCTAAACAATAACATTCATATTCATTCATATTTTTGCAAAGCATGAGATATTACAAATAAGCAATCACACTATGCAGTTTGGACCCGCCTAACCAGGGTTGGTTGTTTTTAGTGGTTGGCCCGAATATATTAATTCGGATTGTTAACAAAATTTCAAGTGACCCTCTAATTTTAAGTGAAATGTCCGATTCACAACATCAGTACCATTTAAATATTAGTCTTATGAAGGATACACTGTTGATCAGACGATTTTTCTAAATTCCTCTGTAAAGTCGAAACCAATTATGAGATTTCAACACAACACAATAAGTTAAATTCTTCTATTAATTGTATTGTTGGACAGTCTGCACATATGCTGTACTGAGGTTTAACAGTATATTTAAATAAATATATTGCCTGAGATTAAAAAAGATTACATGTTGATTTAAAACCACTTTTAGGATTTAGGATCAATGAATTTATGTTCAATTCTCACGGTTGAGTTGAGAGACGGTTTGCATTAGACAAATACATTGGGAGTATATTCATCATCATTGTTTCAACCCTTCGTACTGTCATTTAAAGGATGCGAGCTCTAGCAAAAATCAAAGAGAATTTTGCCAATTACTTCTTAAAAACTAGAGCTAACAAAAAGTGCTTTTTAGTGCTAAAGTGTACATGTAAAGGGCTACAGAAAAGGTGGCATAACACATAGAGCTTACATTATTTTATAGGTGGATATAAATATCTGACAGAATAAAATTACAAAGTAATTTTTTATGCTGATTAAAGGCTTTATATACGATAAAAACTATAAGTGTTTTTAAAGTTGTAAACTTGAACTGCAATTATTGAACAATAACTTGTACTGCAATTATTGAACAATCGCTGGAAATGAGAAGGCCTTGTATTACCTTCGTTATACTTCATGTAACAAGGATAATTGTGTGAGAAAAAATCGAATATTAATAATAATTATAATAATATTATTAAACACTATAATCATAATCATGTTCATTTGAAATTCATTGTAATACGTAATACATGTATAACGATAATAAGGTTGCTGCTGTTTATTGGTTATTTTTGTAAATTTACAAAAAATATCAAAATTCAAAAGAATCTAAAAAAGTACCGCGATTTTTTTACATCTACAAAACCAATGAGCATGAAAAAGGCCGAAATTGGAGGAATTATTGACATGAAAACAAGATTTAAGATTTTATAGAACAATTACATATATCGTTTATATCACATTTTAGTAAAAGGTTCACTTAGAAAATCTTAGAATAAGAGCTAAATAATGGTCTAGATAACCAGGGCAATTGTTTAGATACTGACCTGTCCCCCTCTCTTCTTCTCCCCCCTCCCTCCTTCCTCTCCATTTCAATGTGGTGGACCCACCAGACAGTCTGGCAGTAAAGTCCCTGGACCCTAGTTTTTCATAGCTTAGGGCGCACCAGTTTAGCACTTATGTATACTTCCTTGTAATCCAGACTTAACTTATAATACCACAGGATTGCTTAGTGCTCTAGCCACCTCAATAGACTGTTTTGTATGTATAAGATAATCATATTAGCAGGTTACTTTTAAGAAATTCACAACATTTTTGTTTTTCAATAAGATCAGTTATGTACAAAATTTTGTCCATTTAGAAATTCGAAGAAATCCTTTCGTTGTATAATTGCCATTGCAACCTGGATAGAGTAAACATTTGATGATTCACACTCTTACTAATTAGTTTTAAATGACAATGATAACGAAACAACAAGAGTTTACACAGATAATAAAAAGTAATTGTTAATTTTTTTTCGCATTCTTGCAATTTACCTTTTCTGTTTCGCCTTGTTTTTAGGGGGGAGGGGGTGGGGTATTGGAATCCGCAAACAAAATGGTACTGTATACCTTCTCCTGTTTCCCGCGCCACAAATTATACAGTTATAAATCTTTAACATTGCTTTGGGCAAGTTATTTAATCATTAAACAAATACGTTCAAAGTTCTCAAAGTACACCCCCTCCCCCCCCCTACCTCCCCCCTAATCAGCCATAATACATTTACAACTGATGTTTACAAATAATTTGATAAAAAAATTAACTGAAAACTTGTCTCAGACTCTATTTTTCTAATCCTTACATTTTTGCAACCTGATGAAACAAACCTTTGACTTTGACCATTTGATCCATTTGATTCATGAGTGTTAAGTATCAAAGATATTCGAGTTTAAGTGAGTTCAAGTAGATACAATCATACGATTTAATCGTTTTCATTTGCACAAAGCCAGTTTATACTGGTTTTGCAAATTAATATATTTGCACACGCTAATATTTCACACAAAGAAGCTGGCCATCGAACCTTATTAACCCAATCAGAAAGTGGTTTACAAGCAAATTACAGGTTCATTCATTCAAGCTCAAAATATTTAATTTCGTGTTTTGTATTTCAGAGTTAAGTTTTCTAAAAAAACACATTAAAACCCAAACAACGGTTATGTTCAGGTTTTAAAAGCTTATTTTAAATGTCATCTTAGTAAATTATCCATTTTTTTTAATTCGCACAAACCTTAATAGAATCTGATTGTCAAAAATGTTTCTTTTGTCATGTTTTTACTTCAAAAAAAATTGCAAATTTTGTACGATATTTGCCGAATTTTTTATAACTTAGAGTTTATTTTTGATATAGAGTTTGGTGTATTCAAAATGGCATGTTTATGAGAATACATTTTCTCGGTTCCATCGGGATTCCTCTCATGCAGAATTCCTCCTATGCAGAATTCCTCCCAAGGGATTCCTCCCATGGGATTCCGTGGGAGGAATTCCATGTGGGAAGAATCCTATGTGGGAAAAATCCTATGTGGGAGAAATCCTGTTTTGGAGGAATCCCATGTGGGAGGAATCCTGTGTGGAAGGAATCCTATGGGAGGAATCCCGTTTGGGAGTAATCCTGTTGGGAGGAATCCTATGGGAGGAATCCCGTTGGGTGGAATTCCATGACTACCCATTTTTTCAAATGTAATTTGTAAGTAGTGTGCCTTTAAAGGTTAATATATCAAGTTAATTGGTTTAATTATAATTAGTTTATAATAAAATGGTGCCTCAAGCAAATTATGGAGTACACTGTTGTAAGCACAAAATTACAGCAACATAGATATTCTCACAAAAACAAAATTAAATGGAAAGAGAGAGAAATTTGGTTTTATAAAAATGCTTTTAATGATAAAAATTTTCTTAAAAATGTTTTCTGGATAAATCACATATCAAGATTTTCTGGATAAATTACATTTCATTTTTTAAACTCACAGATTCTGCCAATTTTAAACTTTGCATTCTGCTCAAGTTCCTGAAAAAATGTGAATGGATTAAAAACTCCCGGACAAAAGATCGGCCCAAATTCTCGTTTTTCTGACAATAATATAAACCCTTCAATTCTGGTAGTTTTCAAGGTCAACTAAATTTACCTCTTTTTTTACAAATTGACTAGAATTCCTAGATCCGTGGAATAAAAAAACCAACACAATATTGCCTATGAAAACTCAACCCTTACTCAACTATTCCCTCTAATACTCTCCCCCTACCCTCCAATCTAGACTTCTGTAATAAATCGATGTACTACAACGCTGAACAATAGGAACTCCAAAATGTACGCATCTACGCCCCAAATTTAAATATTTCTATACAGAGATAGCCAAAAAGTATGAGACTGCATTCTTGGTTCCTCTCACCAAGAAAACTTAGTTTTTCTTTGTCAAATCATTTAGTTTTTTCTTGTAAAAACTGTTTCAAGACAGAACTCACAAATCGATATTTTTAAAGAGATTTATAGCTCATCCTTTATCCAGTACAATTATAACTAGTTATTTACCTTGTAACCTCCCGAAGGAGTCAGGATTCTGATCACAAACATGTCCTCCTTCCTCGTTTCAATTTTTTATTCTTACCCCGTTGTTGTTAAATGATTGCTTCTCCAAACAGAAGATAAATACTGTTGTTGAAGGTTAGGATTGTAAGCGTAATTTCACGTAACCCTCAACACAAAGATGGCAATGCCCGATTTACATCGGTACCTTAAAAACCTTTATCTAAAAACCTTTATTTTCTTACTCGAAAAATGTTTATTTCTGTGAAGTTCTCCATTGCTTCTTATACTAACAAGAAATTCACATGTCACTTTTTTAGAGAATCCGCAAATGAAAACAAACAGAAACAAAAACATTGATGTCTAATTAATACTTGATCAGACAAAGGTTTCAAAGGCACCGTTGTAGATATTGCCATCTTATAATTACGCGCTTGCAGCCCCTTTATTAAATCTAATCCCCAGAATCAGATTAATTCAACAGTTTAAACCTTGACGGGTTTAAATATTATTTATGCAGGGTGCTTCAAAATTGCGATTTAATTGTCATAAACATATTTGCCAATACTTAAGCTGCATATAGATGTAAGGTCGTCTTCAAATTTTAACTCATGTATAGACAATAACAATTTTGCCACAATCATACTTTTTTACAAATCAGGTTTGTTTGAAACTTTATTATGCTATTGAACGTTCATATAGTGTATACTACTGCATATAGTATACTTCAAAGACTTTGCTAATTAGCAAAGTCTTTGGTATACTTCTCCAGTTTCTAATAACCTGACGCTAAAGTAGCGTATATAAGTTAATATGTTGACGCAATATTAGCGTAGGATCCAAGGTCAACACGTGGCAGCAGTAAAACTGGCGGGCGAGTTCAACGCCTTCAGAGCAAACACATTCATGTAAAGGGTGTCCCAACAAAACGGTAGAAGATTGATAAATCTTAAAGGGACTGAAAGCGAAATTCCAAGTAACCCTCCATGTAAAGATGGCAATGCACCATTCACAACAGTACCCTAGAAACCTAAATTTGATTCAAAGTGTGGAGGATACTTTCGTTTTCCGGACTCCAAAAATATTTAATTCTGATAATTTCTCCATTCGAAACTTTAGAGACGTTTTTAATCAGACATGTATGGCTATAATAAACTGTTTTGTCTTTGCCTAACTATTTAATTTACTATAAAAAACTTTTCAGGCAGAAAATCTTGTTGTTTGTGCAAAATTTGGAATGTTTGTATTATTATAACTACTATTGTCTAGCTGAAGTGCCCGGCGTTGTCCGTGGAAAAAAACGAATTTTGAAGAATAAAATTTTGAATTTTGAGAAAAAAATTAGATTTTAAAAAATTTAGGCGTTTTAGGTTCCCTAAAAGCATGTCAGCCTATTTAGTTCAGCCGTATTGCCAGCTATAGCTAACACAGGTATAAATATATATACATGAGCGAAGAGCTTTTTTGTTATATAGATTACAATAATTTTTCTATTATCACTATATTAATATTAATATTATTTTATTATTATTATTATTATTATTATTATTATTATTATTATGATTATTATTATTATCATTATTATTATTATTATTATTATTAAAGTCGAAGTTCTTTTGTTAATGCATTCTTTGACTTTTTCCAACTATAATTTTTTCTCAAATGCAGTTTGAAATAAATGAAAAATTAAGACAAATCTTCGTGATTGATAGTGAAAGGGTGGTACCTGTACAACCTCTTGCACTGACGAACCAATACAAACTGATCCAACGATACGACCCTTTACGACGGACAACAAGCCCTGGGGGATTTACACACTACGACCACTATATAAACTTCGTAAATAAATATTCTCAAAAAGACAGAAATATCAATGATTTAAAAATGTTTTTACATGATTATTATGATTGGAAAATTAAAAGAAAAATATGAAAAATAATGAAATCTTAAAGATTTGGGAAATTAAAAAACGGAATTTTACGTACGTATACATCAATACCACAAAATAAAAATTAAAAATAAAGTTTTGAAAATGAAATTAAAGTTATTAGAAATAATAAAAATCTGAAACTTGTAACCGAACTTTACGCTAACTCCCTACACATCCCTCCCCCTCCCCCCCCCCATCAACACCACTTTAACTGACCTGTTCTATGTTGCGTATAACATTGCGTATATCTAGTCCGCTGTTCTCAAACAAATGCTTACGCATGTTTACGCAAATATAGATGTGTTGACGCTTTTTACGCTTGTCCAATAACAGCAATTGGTTTTCTAAACCTAGAAACAAAGGATGAAGTAATACGGTCTATCAGTGGAACTTTGCACTTTTATACCACCTACATCCTGCAAGCCAAAAAGTTAAAAAAATTTTAGTCCGAAAATAATTAATGTCGACATTTATCCAGGAAGATTTTTTCAACATTAACGGTCCATAAACCTTCCCCATGGGGTCATGCGAGCTGTTATAAAAATTTGGGCTCGATCGGTTTAGCAGTTTTTGCGTTTATTGGACACAAACAAACAGAAAGACAGACAAGCAAAGTTTATGTAAATATGTATAGCATTAACTTCAAGCTTTTATGAATCAGAAGCAAAAAAATTGTTTTCGCGTTGTTCAATCACTATTGCAGATTTTTCTGATTTTAATTCCCTAATTCCAAAATACGAAAAATTCGAAATTCGGCTATTAATGTAAATTGCATAGCACTAAAAGTTTGTTGATTTCTAAGTAAAAACTCTGGAATAGGAAGATGACTTTATAGGAATACTTAAATGTATTTTATGTTGTTACAAAGCTAGTAGCTTTTTTATACATAATTCTTAAATCACTAATTCAGTGAAATGTATCTGTTTACAATGCACAATTGTTGTGTCTCATGCTTATTGAACTTTTTATGGTCAAAACTGGATTCTTAAAGTCGTCTTTCTAATTCAGAGTTTTCTGGTTATCACTATATGTAATCAACCACCTTCATATTTCTATTTTCTCAATTTCTCAATTACAATGTCGCAACGTCATACCAGTAATCTCCTAGTTTGAAATTGTAAATGCATATTTACTAATTTAGTCTAGCGTGCAATGCCAAATTAAGCAACAGCAATAACAACATATTCTGCAGGAGGCAAGGTCAAAACATAGAATTCTGTTAAAACAATGCACAAGATGGTCAGTATGAATGGACCAGAAGAATGTGTCCCTTTTTTTGACATTATTTTACATTTACAGTTGTTTACATAGATATTCTCTATCCTAATTCCTACTGTACCCCAAGCTACGTCACCGTTAGAAAAAAAAACATTTTATTCAAAATTACGAAAATTTAAAAACTTCCAAATGCATATTGTGTGTCTCAAAAAGAAATATTCTACCCTGGACTGACCAAGCTGGGCTAGATGCAATGATGCAATAGGTTTCTTCAATTTTAATTTTATCACGTTTTGGTCTGAACACTTTACTTTCTTAAGCGAATTTCGAATTATTAATTGTAATAAACTATAAAAAGGAATTTATTTAATGGTTCATTGGCAATCTTGCTAAGCTTCAATAAAATCTGTTATAGAACTGATTAAACCTACAATACAATCTGTTATAGAACTGATTAACCTTTCAATAAAATCGTTATAGAGCTGATTAACCTTTCAATAAAATCTGTTATAGAGCTGATTAACCTTTCAATAAAATCTGTTATAGAGCTGATTAACCTTTCAATAAAATCTGTTATAGAGCTGATTAACCCTTCGATAAAATCTGTTATAGAGCTGATTAACCCTTCAATAAAATCTGTTAGAGCTGATTAACCCTTCAATAAAATCCGTTATAGAGCTGATTAACCCTGAAATAAAATATGTTATAGAGCTGAATAAAAAATCATTTGCTCAAATATATTTTACTTTAAAGATAATTTTACTATAATACCACTCCTATATAATATCTTTATTATTGTCTTTGGTATTAAACAACTTAACAAATGGAAGAGAACACTCCAAACTATTTACCAACTGTCATGTTTCGTGGGACACCCTGTAGTTAGATTCGTTTAACAGAAACTTTTAACATTTTTAGACTTTTAAAAGGTTTTGCGACAATTTGAGAAGGTTCCAACGATTTAAAATTGTATTCTGTATAAGTTTGTTTGTATCAAACATGCAAATTTAGTATCCTATGTAAAACTATAAGGCAAAAACTATCGTTTTAAATATTCTTCTGGAGTAACAAATATGCATGTTTGAAAAAAGCAAACTTCTATAAAATAAAGTTTTAAAATGTTGGAACCTTCTCGTATTGTCGTAAAACCTTTTAAAATTCTAGAAATAAAAAAAGTTTCTGTAAAACAAACCTAGCTATAATTACCCATCCCTATTTGTATGTTATGAACTGGTTAAACCTCTCATGAAATCTGGTTTAAACTAAGTAAACCTGTGTATTTGTTATGTACTGATTAAACTTATCTTGAAATCTGGTTTGAACTAAGTAAACCTGTGTATTTTTTATGTACCGATTAAACTTATCTTGAAATCTGGTTTAAACTAAGTAAACCTTTGTGTATTTGTTATGTACTGATTAAAGTTATCTTGAAATCTGGTTTAAACTAAGAAAACCTTTGTGTATTTGTTATGTACTGATTAAACTTATCTTGAAATCTGGTTTAAACTAAGTAAACCTTTGTGTATGTTATGTACTGATTAAACTTATCTTGAAATCTGGTTTAAACTAAGTAGACCTGTGTATTTGTTATGTACTGACTAAACTTTTCTTGAAATCTGGTTTAAACTAAGTAAACCATTGTGTATGTTATGTACTGATTAAACTTATCTTGAAATCTGGTTTAAACTAAGTAAACCTGTGCGTATGTTATCTACTGATTAAACCTCTCTTGAAATCTGGTTTAATTAAGTGAACCCATGTGTGTATGCTATGTACTGATTAAACTTCCCATAAAATCTGGTTTAAAATAAGTAAACCTACGTGTAAAATGAACTATATATGTTAAACCTCTCATGATATCTGGTTTTAACTAAGTAGTAAGTATAAACCTGTGTGTATGTTATGAACTAGTTAAACCTCTCTATAAATCTGGTTTTAACTAAGTATAAATCTGTGTGTATATTATGAACAGGTTAAACCTCTCATGAAATCTGGTTTAAACTAAGTAGTAAGTATAAACCTGCTTGTATGTTATGAACTAGTTAAACCTCTCTATAAATCTGGTTTAAACTAAGTATAAACCTGTGTGTATGTTATGAACAGGTTAAACCTCTCTATAAATCTGGTTTAAACTAAGTATAAACCTGTGTGTATGTTATGAACTAGTTAAACCTCTCATGAAATCTAGTTTATTCTAGTTTAATCTGGATAATTCTGGTTTGTTCCTGCGTTTGTCAGATGATTGCTATATGTCTGAAAAAAGTCAGAATTAAAATAAAATTTAGATACAATTTTTTATCCTTCTATAATGCGTATCTTTTTTATACACAGAGGCTTTTTAATGATAAAATGATACCAAAAGAAGGTACTATGACTTTTTAGCTTTCTAAAATTAAAAGTATTTTCGTATAATAATTCATAATTTCAACAGGACGACATCCCTATCTCTACCAATCAAGAAAATGGTATGTTTGATGGAACACCCTGTATCTACTCCTTTGTTGCTTATTAAATAATCTATAGTATATATGATGATATGAATTCTAGACTGACGTCTAGCTTAATTCTTCATTTTCCCACGCTTTACGCCTCATGACAATGCATGACCACACTGTAACTAAGCAGTATTAATATCGATGCTGTATCTTTTGACCTACGCACATTCGCTACACTACACCTCTGATCTATGCATCATCCGGTATACTACACTTCCGACCTACTAGCGCGTGATTTAAGAGTTGCTAGTTTGACATGATGCCGCAGAGCCCGGAGAGGGTAAAAAAACATATAAAAAATACCTAAATTATAAAACACCCGAATTCAAAACACCTAAAATTCAAGACACCTTAATTTCAAAAGGCCTAAATGTCAAAACACACAAAGCGTCAGAACACAAATTATTTTCAAAACACTCAAAGATACAATACACCTTAATTTAATTTACGAGTAAAAACTAGGAAGACGACATTCAAGCAATTTGTTTTATTGTTATAAAGTAAAAATCAACTGTGTTTTTGGTAGTTACTTAACCATTTCTCCAAGTGTTCTTATAAAATTGTGGAATTGAAAGACTACATTTATGTCTGCAAAGCATGTATAATCATATGGTAGGGCGAACCACGTCAGTTATATCTCCCTTCTATTCCTTACTCCCTGAGTACTATTCACTGGAAGCTAAGTTTTCTCGATGAAGGTCAACCTACTTAATGTGGTTCTCACCGAGATATATAATAAAAATTTGAGCCAAATCGGTCAAAGGATCATACCACTTATGCTTGGACATAAAAATTTACATTTTTAAGTTTTATAAAGAGAAGTGCTGTGCTGTTGAGCACAAGCCTATCGGATTAGATTGAATCAGATGAGTTTGAGGATGAGTCAACCCTAAGATTTGCATTTTTTCATGTCAAACTAATGTAAATTTTCTCAATCATAACTTATGTCATTAAAGATCTATGGATATGATAAAAATTGATTTTGCAATATGTATCCGGATAAGTTTGCAATATGTATCTGGATAAATTTGCAAGATATATCCAGATAAATTTGCAAGATGTATCCAGATAAGTCTGCAATATGTATCTGGATAAATTTGCAATATGTATCCGAATATATTTGCAAAATGTATCCGGATAAATTTGCAATATGTATCCGGATAAATTTGCAAGATATATCCAGATAAATTTGCAAGATGTATCCAGATAAGTCTGCAATATGTATCTGGATAAATTTGCAATATGTATCCGGATAAATTTGCAAAATGTATCTGGATAAATTTGCAATATGTATCCGGATAAATTTGCAATATGTATCCGGATAAATTTGCAATATGTATCCGGTTAAATTTGCTTGTTTCATACTCGTGCATAAAATCAAAACTATAGAGCATCTACGTTGTCGGAGTAAGTTAACTTAAACTTTGCCTTCTCTTCTGTCTATTTTACAATTGAAAAGAATGCTCGATAGTTGTTTGGAACAAATCAGGAACGATCTCTTTAATAAATTGCTAAATATTTGTCAAACTACAAAAATCTTTGATCCCCTCATCGTTTCTGGAAAGTTGGTGGGTTGTGGTTAATTATACTCTCTGACTGTATAGAAAGGGACTGTAAGCGAAATTACAAGTGACCCTCTATGGAAAGATGGAAATGCCCGAGTTGCGTGAGGTAGTATACCCTTGAAAGCTTTGTCTGATTAAGCATGAATTAGGTATCCATGCTTTTGTTTCTCTGCGTCTTGCGCATTTCTTGCTCTTTAAGAAGCAATGGATATGTTATCAGAATTAAAATGTTTCGAGTCAGGAAAACAATTGTATCCTCCACATATTTGATCAGATAAAGGTTTAAAGGGTGCCATTGTTAATCGGGAAATGTCATTTTTGCATGGAAGGTGACTTGAAATTACGCTTACAGTCCCTTTAATTGGTTTTATACACTTTACCTAGCCCTGTCCAATTTTTAGCCTTATCATATCCCATAGCATAGAGTCGCCTGGATATAGTTGGGATAGGATAGTATTAAGATTCATAGCATTTTTCCAATTTTTTAATTTTTCAACGCATACTCATTTTTTGCTAATGTTAAAAAATTGCAAAGGTTCTATGCTGAGACGTTTAAAAATATTAATTATTACAGAAAAAATTATAATTTAACATGATTAATACAGCTTGTGATATTTATACTTAAATTCTTTATATCTAAGCAATCTTAAAAATAAAGCACAGTATTGTTTACCTTGTAAACTGTGGTTTATGAAACTTTTTAAAGTTTTGACTTTAACTCGCTTATCATTCAATTTGCTGTGGTTTTAAAAACACCTACTGCACGTCCTACATAAGTTAGAAGGGTCAATAGTGTTGTAGTTTCTTGCAGTACAATACTAACCATGAAACTGATAGCAATTATTTTCTTAATAACCCTCTGTGGGTCCACACATGCTTTAAAATGCTATGTTTGCGAAAGTCTCAAAGAAAAATGCAGTGATACAGACATTGGAGTAGAGACGGAATGCCCGTCCGGTACAAAGGGCTGTATTATTGCCGAAATTACCGAATTAGGATCTAAACTGTTTTCTCGGATTTGTATTCCCACTGATCAACAGGCTGATATTACCTGCAGAGAAGTGGATACAGATAAATGGAAGGAAAGAGCTTGTGCTTGTTCCGGTGATTTATGTAATAAGAACTGGACTACAGCAGGAGGATCTGGGACTATACTTACTCTACCTCTCCTCCTTACTCTTGTAGTCTTCTATCTATCAGAATAAGAACTGGACTACAGCAGGAGGATCTAGGACTATACTTACTCTACCTCTCCTCCTTACTCTTAAAGTCTTCTATCTATCAGAATAAGAACTGGACTACAGCTGGAGGATCTGGGACTATACTTACTCTACCTCTCCTCCTTACTCTTGTAGTCTTCTATCTCTCAGAATAAGAACTGGACTACAGCTGGAGGATCAGGAACTATACTTACTCTAGCTCTCCTCCTTACTCTGGTAGTCTTCTATCTATCAGAATAAAAACGGGACTACAGCTGGAGGATCAGGAACCATTCCTACTATTCCTCTCCTCTTTACTCTTGTAGTCTTCTATCTATCAGAATAAGAACTGGACTACAGCAGGAGGATCTAGGACTATACTTACTTTACCTCTCCTCCTTACTCTTGTAGTCTTCTATCTCTCAGAATAAGAACTGGACTACAGCAGGAGGATCTAGGACTATACTTACTCTAGCTCTCCTCCTTACTCTAGTAGTCTTCTATCTATCAGAATAAAAACTGGAGGATCTGGGACTATACTTACTCTACCTCTCCTCCTTACTCTTGTAGTCTTCTATCTATCAGAATAAGAACTGGACTACAGCTGGAGGATCAGGAACTATACTTACTCTAGCTCTCCTCCTTACTCTAGTAGTCTTCTATCTATCAGAATAAAAATGGGACTACAGCTGGAGGATCAGGAACTATACTTACTATTCCTCTCCTCTTTACTCTTGTAGTCTTCTATCTATCAGAATAAGAACTGGACTACAGCAGGAGGATCTAGGACTATACTTACTCTACCTCTCCTCCTTACTCTTGTAGTCTTCTATCTATCAGAATAAAAACTGGAGGATCTGGGACTATACTTACTCTACCTCTCCTCCTTACTCTTGTAGTCTACTATCTCTCTGAATAAGAACGGGACTACAGCTGGAGGATCAGGAACCATACTTACTATTCATCTCCTCTTTACTCTTGTAGTCTTCTATCTATCAGAATAAGAACTGGACTACAGCAGGAAGATCTGGGACTATACTTACTTTACCTCTCCTCCTTACTCTTGTTTTCTTCTATCACTCAGAATAAGAACTGGACTACAGCAGAAGGATCCGGGACTTTACTAACTATACCTCTCCTCCTTACTCTTGCAGTCTTCTATCTATCAGAATAAGAACTAGACTACAGCTGGAGGATCAGGAACTATACTTACTCTAGCTCTCCTCCTTACTCTGATCGTGTAGTCTTCTATCACTCAGAATAAGAACTAGACTACAGCTGGAGGATCAGGAACTATACTTACTCTAGCTCTCCTCCTTACTCTGATCGTGTAGTCTTCTATCTCTCAGATTATATTCTGTAAAAGTTCAATATAGCGCAACATTACTTATTTTTTCTTAGCAATATTGCAAAGATATTTGTAAAATATATATGTTAAGATTTAGTTATTAAACCATGGGTGTATGTTCCTCCAGGGTGTGTGTATGTTCGTCTTGGGAGTGTGTATGTTCGTCAAGGGAGTGTGTATGTTCGTCTAGGGAGTGTGTATGTTTGTCCAGGGAGTGTGTATGTTCGTCTAGGGAGTGTGTATGTTCGTCCAGGGAGTGTTTATGTTCGTCCAAGGAGTGTATATGTTCGTCAAGGGAGTGTGTATGTGCGTCAGAGGAGTGTGTATTTTCGTCAAGGGAGTGTGTATGTTCGTCTAGGGAGTGTGTATGTTCGTCAAGGGAGTGTGTATGTTCGTCAAGGGAGTGTGTATGTTCGTCTAGGGAGTGTGTATGTTCGTCCAGGGAGTGTGTATGTTCGTCCAGGGAGTGTGTATGTTCGTCAAGGGAGTTTGCATGTTCGTCAAGGGAGTGTGCATGTTCGTCAAGGGAGTGTGTATGTTCGTCTAGTAAGTGTGCATGTTCGTCTAGGGAGTGTGTATGTTCGTCAAGGGAGTGTGCATGTTCGTCTAGTAAGTGTGCATGTTCGTCTAGGGAGTGTGTATGTTCGTCTAGGGAGTGTGTATGTTCGTCCAGGAAGTGTTTATGTTCGTCAAGGCAGTGTGTATGTTCGTCTAGGGAGTGTGTATATTCGTCCAGGGAGTGTGTATGTTCGTCTAGGGAGTGTGTATGTTCGTCCAGGGAGTGTGTATGTTCGTCCAGGGAGTGTATATGTTCGTCAAGGGAGTGTGTATGTTCGTCAAGGGAGTGTGTATGTTCGTCCAGGGAGTGTGTATGTTCGTCCAGGGAGTGTGTATGTTCGTCCAGGAAGTGTGTATGTTCGTCAAGGGAATGTGTATGTTCGTCTAGGGAGTGTGTATGTTCGTCAAGGGAGGTGTATTCCAGGGAGTGTGTATGTTCGTCAATGGAGTGTGCATGTTCGTCTAGTAAGTGTGCATGTTCGTCTAGGGAGTGTGTATGTTCGTCTAGGGAGTGTGTATGTTCGTCAAGGGAGTGTGTATGTATGTTCTTCCAGGGGGTGTGTATGTATGTTCGTTTAGGGAGTGTGTATGTTCGTCATGGGAGGTGTATGTTCGTCTAGGGAGTGTATCTGTCTAGTATGTATAAATCAGAGCCGTACACAGAATCAGATCAGTGAAATCTATGATTTCTAGAGGGGGTTTCAGGACCCAATGTCTAAATGTCGTCTTACAAAAAGCTTTTCTTCATTTTTTTAAAAGGCAGCTCACTGATCTGTCTTTTCTGTTCGGCCTCATGCAAAATAGATAGGGTTTCCAGGGGCGTTTAGAGAGAGGGGGGGGGGATTTTTTTTGGCTAGGCCCCCTTGTGAATGTTCAAAAAAAATTGGTACAAACTGTTTAATGTTTTATTATTTAGAGCGTCCCATATCAATTGTGTCTCCAAGCTTTTACGCCAAAATAAGCACATAATACTTGAAAAAATCTAGTATTTTCTGCAAATTTTTATATTTTTTAAGGTATTTAACAAATACTTTAGATGGACTGTTCGCTGTGATAGGTGATACAGGGTGTCCCAAAAAAACATGGGAATTCAGTGACGAATTCGATATCGTCTTTGTTATGAATTAGCATTGTAACACCTAATTTCAAAAGCCATAATATTATTATGTCTGCGAGAGTTTATTTATGAAAACGGTAAAAGACTGTAAATATGTCTCTGCAAGATGAACAGTGAAGACGGACAAGTTTACTCTGTTTGTATACTGCAATTTTCTTGTTTTACTAAGTACACCCGTATGCAGTCAAAACATAAACAAACAAAATGTGAACAAAGCAGACGAAACTCTTACAGATTACAAATTCCTCAGTCTAGGTATCACTTTACTAAATTAAAGAATTATTTAAAAAGACGATATCGAATTCGTCACTGAATTCCCATGTTTATTGGGACACCCTGTATTTAAAATCTTACTGTATAAATTTGTATTGCAATTTATATTTTATCATTCAAGTATACCGTAGAGATTCCTAATACATTATCTCCATTGGCTCCTGCTATTAGACTATCTTAGATTTTACCGAAGTCTCAGTAATTGTAAGAAAAAATAGCCATGCAATAAAGGAAACAGTTTTAAGAGCTCCATACAATTACTTAATTAGAAAGTTAAATATTTGCACCATTTCGTTATCAGCAGGTTTGGAAAACGACATTTTATAAATTCTGTTGGTTTAAATTGTAGAGAAGTTTAATACAGAAGACGACAAATAAAAAATGATTTAGTAAAGTTTTACAATTGTGAACTTGAAATATTGTATTTAGAAGAATATGATACAGTCGTCGTAGTTCATATCAATACAATAAAGACAATTATTTTCTTTTCAATTTTAATTTCTTCCTAGCTTTCAAAGAGTATGGATGCACATGCATAAACATTGAAATAAAAAGAAGAAGCTGTCAATTAACAGCTTCTCTTTGTTTACTTGTAAACTTTTAATCTGAAAAAAGCTTTTCTATAACCTAGCTTTCAAAGAGTATGGATGCACATAAACATTGAAATAAAAAGAAGAAGCTGTCAATTAACAGCTTAACTCTTTGTTTACTTGTAAACTTTTAATCTGAAAAAAGCTTGTGCGAAATCAAAACTTAAAATAGTAAAACATTTTTTTGTGTTTTCTTTTTTCTCAGTCAGTGAAACGTTGTTGTTTTATTGTATGTCTGAGCATAACTAAAGAAAACATCCTTCTTTTCCTTTCTAAAAATGTTTTATATCTTATTGTGATTTCTCTGCAAAAAACCGTAATTAACAGAATCCAAACCCCTTTGAACTTTAAAAGTATATTGTGTATCATTTTTATTGTTTATAATATGTTTTCAAAAATAAACCATTTAAGAGGAAAGATTTAATTCATTTTTGGGGAAAAATAAGTTTAGCAGTTTACATTAAAAGGAATCATTATCATCAGCGGCGTAAATAAGGGGGGTTATCGGGGTTACTTACCCCCCCCCTAGAATCTTGGGGACTCAAATATCCTGTTTAGTAACTTGATCTCCATTCTCCATGTCCATGATTACCATCAATTATTGGGAAAATGTTAAAAAAATGTTGGCGCTTCGCGCAGATAATCTTACTCAATCAACTTTATTAAAGTAACATAGATAAATTTTACCCAAAAATAGAGTTCTTTAATGCAGTAGCGTACTTCCACTATATGCCAAATTAAGTATGAAGCTCTTCCGGGGGGGGGATAAAATGTTAAAAGATCAAGATTATTAGGAATTAAAATTTAAAAAGTAAGACATTTATCTTTAACTATAGTGAAATATAAACAAAGACAATATTTTTTCAAAGTTTTGCAGAGTAGCTTTTCTAAAGATTTAAAAAAGTTACATCTTTTTCCTCTTAGAGTGAAACTATTTTTCATGTTACTTAAAATAAATTAAGTTTTTTTACAGATCTTTGTAGTTAATGTAAAATGAATGACTATAATGAAGGATATAAAACAAGGTGAAAGCTGAAAGGTAGGAAATGAAGCCTTTATTTGATGGAGTTTGTATTTGCCAGAAATGAGTGGAAAATACAAATCAAACCCAACTTAAACCAATAATTTGATATACATCATGATATTTTTCTAGGCGGGGGGGGTAAAAAAATTCAAGGGGGGGTAAAAAAAAATTCCGCGCGCTTCGCGCGCCACATTTCCCCCCCCCTCTACAGAATCCTTAATTACGCCCCTTATTATCATTTTAATTTAATACTTAAATATAAAGACCTTTATAGTACAGGGTGTCCCACGACAAAATTAGACCGCGTCAATGGGTCTAAATTACAATTTGGGGGACAAATCAGAAAATTTAAGAAGAATGAATCATTTAAAAAAATTTAATAAGGCTAATAGAAATTTTTATTTGCAAAAATGCTAGATTTTTTGAGTATTATGTGCGTATTTTTGCGTTAAAAATTGGAGATAATCTAATATGATATGGGACGCTCCGTATATTTTTTGCATAACGTGGCCGGATTTTTGAAAAACGTATTTTCAGGTATTTAGGTTTTCAGGTTTTCAGGTTTTCAGGTTTTCAGGTTTTCAGGTTTTCAGGTTTTCAGGTTTTTAGGTTTTCAGGTTTTCAGGTTTTCAGGTTTTCAGGTTTTCAGGTTTTCAGGGAACTATTCACCATTTGTAAACGGAATAAATGCCGGAAGACATAGATGTTGTGGCATTGAAGAAAGAACGGTTGTGGCTTATGGCTGCCGAAAGACAAAAAAGGTAATATTTGGCATGGAAGGGGAAAATGTTTTGGCTTACAACCACCTGCCTTCCCACGCTCTCAATATAAAGTCGTTTTCTTTATTTCTAGGTGCGCCATGGCCTTTGTATAATTTGGTCTAAATTTGTTCCAAGGAGTTTGTTCTCATCAGGCGTTCAGGCCTCTCTCATCTTCTCCCCAAAACCTACCCCCTTCCCGATCCTATGGTTAACCATGCATTTGGTTAGTTAGCTCTTGTTGTGTGTAGATATTTTAATTACTAAATAATAACCAAAATTTATTTAAAATAAAGGAATTGAGTCTTTTGTCGCAAACTCAAATTTTGTAATCCCTATCTATGAAACCTTACGGTTTATATATATTTCAAAACTTAGATTAATTGATTTACCAACATTTTTAGTTTTAGATATTTAAGTTTATTTTTACATCATTTGGTATGGGTTGCAAGCTCTTCATTGGAGGTCCCGGATTTTTATTTGAAACCCCCAACCTTATCATCAGGGACTCCAAGCTTATCATCAATTAAAATTTAAGGTCTCCAATGAAGTTCGTGGGGACTCCAATAAAGAGATTGAGGTCTACGTGGATAAGCTTGGGGTCTCCAATCAAAACATTTTAATACATTTCAATAGGTTGAATATACATTTCAATAGGTTGAATATACATTTCAATAGGTTGAATACATTTTAATAGGTTGAATACATTTCAATAGGTTGAATACATTTCAATAGGTGGAATACATTTCAATAGGTTGAATATACATTTCAATAGGTTGAATACATTTTAATAGGTTGAATACATTTCAATAGGTTGAATACATTTCAATAGGTGGAATACATTTTAAAAGGTTGAATACATTTCAATAGGTGGAATACATTTCAATAGGTTGAATACATTTCAAAAGGTTGAATACATTTCATTAGGTGGAATACATTTTAATAGGTTGAATACATTTCAATAGGTGGAATACATTTTAATAGGTTGAATACATTTCAATAGGTTGAACACATTTCAATAGGTAGAATACAATTCAATAGGGCGAACGAATACATTTCAATAGGTTGAATACATTTCAATAGGTTGAATACAATTCAATAGGGCGAATACATTTCAATAGGTTGAATACATTTCAATAGGTAAAATACATTTCAATAGGGTGAAAGCATTTTAATAGGTTGAATACATTTCAAAAGGGTAGAATACATTTCAATAGGTCGAATACACTTTATTAGGTTGAATACATTTCAATAGGGCGAATACATTTTAATAGGTTGAATACATTTCAAAAGGGTAGAATACATTTCAATAGGTCGAATACACTTTATTAGGTTTATGTTATAAAGCAATTTTTTCTTAAATAAAATAGGTTTTTGAATACTGCACAATTGTTTTGTTTCCCGTTAATTAAACTATTTAAAATTAAAATTTGATTCTACTGATCGTTCTTCTATTCCACAGTTTTATGGGTCCCCCTGTATTTGAACAAACATCAATGTTTGCACGGATCTGTAGTGTAGAGTAGTTATGTTTTCTCCCTGTATAAGTTTGCGAATAAATTGCACACTATTCTGCAAAGTTCACTGAACTCGGAGAGACGTCCTTGCAGATTCTTTGCTAACCTAGCTGCTGGGGGAAATACAGGGAATGAAACGGATTAAATTGGTGAAGGTGGGGCGGGCGAATTTTATAAGATTAAAGCAAATGTCATTGTAATTTTCAGCAGAAATTGCAATGTCCG